GTTCTGTTGAAATCTACCCCTTAGAGGTTTTACCATTTCGGCTGTAATCTTAAAGTATCCCTGCCTGCACGTGAGACCCCAGCACCTGTTCAACAGCAACCTGTCTGACTATCGGCCATCAAGGATCTATTCCTGGTCATGTTAAAAAAAGAACTAGTATTTCCTCTGAGCCCAATAAAGAAGCATAGCGATCTGAATGAATTACAATGTGAAGCCGCACACTCGCGGGCAACATGTAATATATTGCGATAGGAGCATGCAGTTGGATAGCCCAGAGTGTCTGTTCCATATAACGTAGCCTCCAGTATATCGCCTCCAAAAGGGCCTCGCAAGAGCTAAGAGATGCCCAAATAAGCCGCCCATCTTGAAGTTTTCATCTATGGGCTTCGTGGCGGGATGCCCACTAGGCTTGATTACAAGCTTGGTCAGATATCAGGATGTATAGCGTGCCTATGTAAAAATATATTAGTCTGTTCTTTGGTCTTTAACAACAATGTTAGAAGATGCATCAATGTATCGTGGTATTTTAACAGATCCGCGGGCACCGAACCTAGCCGACAGTGCCCCAACGTTTGAAGGTCAGTGCTACATAACCACTTGCCGGCCATAAGTTTAAACTTTAGGCTGTTGACTCGGGCAATTGGGAAATGATACTGAAAGTCAATGAATTAACGCCACCACTGTAAAATCGTTTTGACGGCCGTTTACTCCCCATTAGCCTCGTTATACGCCCGCTCGTTGTTGAATGGTAATTACATATAAAAGATATCTCATATCCAACGGCTACATCGACCAAATCTTAGTCCTTAACTTTTATTCTTCGACCTTGGAATTAAAAATGCGCTTAAATATCGCGTTGCTATTTAATGTTGCTGGGGCCGTCGCAACAACGAATAGGCCACGACCGTTCTCACTCCCGTCAAGCAACGCTTCAGGCCGAGCTGCCGCAATTGAAAAGACGCGTCAAGGTTTCCAGTACGGAAAAGATGATACCCTCATCGGTGTTAACCCATGGCCCTCGGGACCACTCGGAAAAAAGGCCGTCAAGGCGCACTACAGTGCTTTTGAAGCAGCTGAGGCACCTGTCTACAAGCATGTTGAAGAGGATGCTGCCCACGCCCAAGCGTCCCTAAACGGGGTAAGTCATAAGCATACGTCCGGGAATGTTGACCATTGCCCTTGCTAATTCTTCAATATCAAGACCCTCCACTTAGACTCTTTCGAAGATTATCTGAAGCTATACGATGGCCAGTGGCAGAACAGCGTTCCAGACGGGCTCGCTGAAGGAGTCCTTCGCAATGCCAAGTCCGATCTGTCGTTTTCAATGGAGCGCCTCTCAGTACACCCTGAAAGTCTACGACGAGTCAGACCAGATGAGCGTGTAGCACTGCGCGTCGAAGACAAGCTTACACGGAAGATCACGACAAAGACACAGCGTTCTCTCCAGAAAGCAGGGCGTTTATTTATCGTCGATCATAGCAGTCTGGCGAATCTGACTTTGACAAAAGGCCGCTATGCTGGTGCTTGTGAGGCGCTGTTCTTCATTCACCCTACTACAGGGGAATTCTTACCACTAGCTATTCGTCCCAACAACGGCTCACCTTTGATCTACACTCCTCTCGATGAAGAAAACGACTGGATTCTAGCTAAGATACTACTTAACATGAATGATGTCTGGCATAATCAGTGGTATCACCTCGCCGCAGCTCACATCTCTTCCGACCTCATCTACATGTCAGCTACCCGGTCATTCAGTGACATGCACCCAGTCTGGGGTCTGGTCCGTCGCTGTAAGTTTGACTCAAGCTCGCTCAAATAGCAGAACTGATCGCATCGTGTAGTGGGCGTCAACTCTTTCGCATACCGGGTGGGAGCTAGCACATCCCTCGTCAACCCCGGCGGCGACATCGAAAAGAACTTTGCTTGGAATGGTGACCAAGCAATCAAGTACAGTAAACAGGTTTGGCATTCCGAGTGCGCCCCCTGGCAGGCGAATTATCTCGAAACAAAGCTCAAGCGACGGGGTTTGATAAACTGCGATTACGGTCCTGAGCTGGAGTCATTCCCATATTACGAGGATGCATCCGTCATTTTAGATGCTCTGCGAACGTTTATCACAGCGTATATTGACGCATATTACCCTTCGGACGATGCCATCGCCGCGGATAATGAGCTCCTCGCTTGGTTCAACGAAGCAGTCAACGTCGCCTCTATCGTTGACTTTCCGGACTCCATCACTACCAAATCGGAATTGGTCGCTGTTCTCTCCCACCACGCGTATCTCATCTCAATTCTTCATGGATCGCTAAATAGCAATAGTCTTGTGCATTACAGTGCCGTTTTGCCGATGCACCCGCTGTCACTATATCAACCGCTGCCAAAGGACAAGGGCATCTCTAGTCTCGTGTCATTTCTTCCAGACCTAGAAGCCTCGATACAGCAGATCGCGCTCGTCACCGCGTTCAACCAAGCACAGATGGCTGGCACCACCGATTCGTTACTTTTTCTTTTCGACGAACCTGAGTTCCATTCCCGCATCAACAAGGAGGCACGCGCAGCTGCCAAAGTGTATTCAGCTACTTTATCGAAGTTCAGTGAGGACGTCAAAGCGAGGAAACTTGATGGTAATAGTTATAGCCAAGGAATGCCGTTTGTGTGGAATGTCTTTGATCCGAGTACGGCACCCGGAATTCTTGCCGCCTAGAATACTTTCATCACGGACCGGGCGACGCTACGTTACAACCCCATCATCAGCCCCAAGTGCATACCCTTTTATGCTATCTTTTGCTTCAATTAACTTTGGATTACCCGTGAGGAAGCACATAATGCTGAAGGAGCAATTGGGATTTAGAACTACTAGACTATTATGTTACTGTCACGCCATTCAAGAGAAGAGAACTTGCTGAGGTTGTGAATAGATAGGGCTGGCGAGCTGTATTTCGGCCTCGAAATAAGCGGGGTTCCACTCAGTATCGGTAGAGTCCGAGCTTCTAAGCGCTGCCAAGATGCCGTTCAAGACTTGAGGCACTAGTAGGCAAATAGGACTGATGAGCCCCATGCTTATGTCTACATGGGGTGAAGTACGAGTATTCCGCAGGAAACAGGATCTAAGCTTAAAAGTCTCTTTTTGAGGGAATCCATGCTTACTCTGTGAATCTCAATGACACCTTAATGGTAGGTAGTTTTCAGCTTCAACAGAATAGTGGATTCACCCCTGTCTTTATTACTCAGATATGCACATAGATGGATCTAACGACCTTGCGCGGCATAATCAGAATAAGGCACTAAAGAACTGCAGAGTCGGCAAGCCCGAATGCAGCATTATACCCGCAGCTGGCCTTTTTTTTTCAGATACTGACGATCTAGGTGTAAGCCTCGCTGAATTGCACAGCCCGCTCCGGATAAAATGGTTCTTTCTGTAAGCTGACAGCATACAGCCGCAGAAGGCTTCCTATTATGTGTAGCTATTATCAACATATTATCGTATTTTACTGCAACTCTGCACTGATGGTAACGCTTCTTAAGAATATATAAAGTTACGAGAACCTCGCCCTTAAACCCACGATCAAGTTCACACTCAAGTCCAGATAACCCTGCATCAAGACCCAAAACAATACACCTTCTTAAATACTTTTCCCATTATTAATATGGCTCTAAAACTCTCTCACTTAGCCTTAATAGCTTTGGCTTTAGTTTCTTCCGCTCCTCTTGCCGTTTCGCAGAACACACCAAATGAGAACCTCGTCCTAGCTGATTGCGGCATCGGTCTCGGCGAGAATGGCGGCTCAACCTCCCGCGAGGCCATCTACTACAACGGCGACGTCTGGACTGGCCAAGGAGAGAACACCTACAAGCCAACCATGATGGTCAACATACCATGGTCTGGCCATTATCCTTGGACGCAGCCAGGCGGGCTTGGGTTCACTCTACCGAATGGCGACGAGTTTGCTGTGCTTATTGACGTAAGCGTCAAGGACCCCAACAAAGCGGGAATAGCTCACCATTCTTTCGAACCTAAGCATGACCTGACATGCTACTCGTACCACCGCGACAGAGTGTTCCAGTTAGCCGATGGCAAATGGTGCTCAAGCGCGTATGTCTGTAACCACCAGCAAGGTGGTGTTTACAACAGCCCTAACGACGCGAAGCCCGATCCTCCGAAGCCTAAGCCCCAAGAGTTGGAGATTCATGGCTCCGTGAACAAGGACACGGTCGAAATCTACAACATTCCAGCCAGCAAAATCATGAACACAGCCAGAAAGGCCTTCCTCAAGGATAGTTATATGTGTGACACTACCAAACAGGCCATCAACGGCAAGTGTACTATCAGTTGGAAATGCCAGGGTGATCCGGCTACCGATGCTCTCGAAAAGATGACCAAAGTTTTCGACGAATTGGCGACCAATAAGGATTTTTCGACGGAGCGAGAGGTAGTGACAGATGTCTGCAGGCATCCCGATACGCGACCGGGCCATGAAGGCCAGTGCCGACTGTACGAGCAGAAGGTTGATAAGTACTACAAGATGCCTGGCAGCATGGACCTTACCATGCGCAACAAGGCGAGGCCTGAAACAGGCGAAAATTCCAGCGTACATGGGACTCTGGAGTATCAAATTGAGTGCGAGACTACTGCGTGGGATTGTTTCTTTTGTAATAGTGCTGGAATTATCCTGAGTGCCCAATGGCCTTGGATTGGTGCTCCTGTACTAATTGAATGCCTTAGGTGTTAGATTTAGCTGGAATAGAATTAATCCATCATCTGACAAATGCATTGCGAGACCGTGGATATCGAACTTGAAATATTCACCAGTCAGTGATGTTGATTTTGGCTCGTTAGGCACGGTCTGTGACATGGCTGGACTCTTTAAGAATGTTGCATCAACAAGATTGTCCTTCTTCTTTTGTTTATACGGGCTTACTGCATATATCTGAATAACTGTTAATTCCAAACCTTGCCCTGCAAGGGGCCCACTACTCATCCAGCCAACATCAACTAGCCATGCAACCACAGGTCCTGCACTTATCATGAAACTGTCACAAGCTGTAAAACCATAAAGGCCTGAATGCCAGTTGCTATAAGACCAACAAAGCTGGACCACTCCGTCGGAGCTGCGAGATAAAGTGGCGGTGCTATAACCGTGCAGACCAGCGCTAGCAACATCGGTGGCACCCAAGTGCGCTTCCGCAATCGAGGATCTGCCTTTAAAGGGATGCCTGAGATGATCAAAGTAAACCCCTGCGTGATGCAGCTTTGCATGAGAAACCAGAAATCTGCGTCTTTTGTAGTTCCCGGTGAGTGGTCTGAGTAGTTGTAGGCAAGAGCAAAGGTCCAGACATTAGACAATGTTGTTCCCACGAATGTCAGCCAGAGTATTGTATTGAATGTCTGTTAGGTTGAAGTGAGCTTATATCCAAAACTGATTCCAAGATATACGTACACCGGACTGCGTTGGAAGACCTGCTTTGGTGTCTTGAGGCGACACTTTCGGTGCCGCTTGGACTTTGCGCGCTATTTCGGGCCTGAACCATGATTTAGCTTGCTTTCTACATGGTTGGATGGATCACTCACCATCTTGCAATCGTTCGAGGAGATTGCGAATGCTGATGGTATAAGTTGAAGGCGCTTTCGAGAAGATCCCATCGCTCGGAGAGCACCAATCGATAATCAGATGCCAGTGCCCCTGCCGCACCTGCATCAAGCAGTGCACTCTCTATATCGGCGGCATATTCTGTGACTCTCTTGAGGTTCCCCAGCGAAGGTTGGTGTATTTCATCCCCTGCTAGGAGATTCTGGGAAAGAAATGAAAAAGCTCTTCCCCAGTAGTAAAGGATATGTCTCTCCTTCAGGTAAAGGCTACTGAACACAAACCGGCCGTTATTGATATCTTGAATCTGAGTTATGATCGTCCGAAGATCCTCCAAGTCGTTCAGAGCCAGTCTCTGCGCAGATATATCGCCTGGGTTGAGGTCACCAGACGAGATTTGCTGGTAGAAATGTTGACAATAGAGAAGAAGAAACTGGTCTAATTTAGAGAGGCTACGCGCTACAGCATATAATTCCTCGTTTGTGAGCGCAGGGCCGTAGTTGCTGTTGATAATTGCTTTCGGTGGTTGGGTTGCTGTTGGCATCAGTGATTAGAATGCAAGGCCGCGATCGGGCGTACATACAAGGGGAGAGCCATCCCACGTTAGCTCGCCTGTGCGGGGCTCGCTGTGAGGTTTCTCCTTGACTGTAGGATGTCGTTGAGGCCATGATTAAAGCGTCTTTGACCCCGCGACTTGATGGATCGATGATGGACTGGATGCCTTGGGCAGGCGAGGAAAGTTAGAGAGGTATTTATTGATTTGAAGTAGTTACTGACAAAGGCGCAGCTTATCGGCGGTGGCGCAGTATATTTATTGGTGGAGGCGCAGCCTAGTAGTATTCTAGGCTATGTACATATCCTGAAGATTTCTGCCCGACTTAGAGGTTTACTTCTGTAGTCCTCCAGCCACAGCATATTAAAAATATAGAATTCTCTCATGGCATATCCACAATGTTAGCACAGTCAATCACAGTCAATGTTAAACACCTGCGTTGAGGTCGGGGTCATCGACGCCCAACGGGGTTGAGCTCACAAATCGCATAGTTGTTCTTCTTTTAAGCTTCAAGCTGCTGCAGCTAGCTGTCTTGATAGACATATGAGTCGTGTACGTATTAAATTGCTGCTTTTGTCTAGCTGGCCGCTGTACTAAGTAACCCTCGACCGGTTTTATGGCAAAAGTTGTGTGTGCAGCCGAAATTTAACCATGTGGGCAGCACCTAGTCAAGCAGTTAATAATCATGGTTATAGTCAAAGAATGCCTTTTATGTAAAATATTTCTGATTCGGTGAAGGCACGTGTGATCCTTGCTGCCTAGCTGACTTTCGTGGCGGACTGGACAGTGCTATGTTACAACTGCATTAACTTGACAAAGAAATCGCAGAGCTATCGATAGATATTTATTGCCTTAATAAGCCTGTTTACAGAATGTCAGTTACTCTGATGGAAGCTTGAAGCTTCTTACATCCCGTTCAAAGTAATCTTTCTGTCGATAGTTGGAAAGAAGAAGATAGGCCCAAGTAGCGAATTCCATAACAATACTCCATAGCCACGAAGACGAGCTTCCAGCGTTCCAGCGAAACATCGTCTCAGCGTGCAGCTTCTTAATGCCATGCCGTCTCAGGGCCTCGTAGGCTTCCATCACGTAAGGGACGCCTGTTGATATCCCCTCGCTAAGTACGTGGCCGAAGAGCACACCGTCTTCAATCGCGATACCGGTACTTTCGCCCTGAGGTGGCATCTATTTATTGATGTTAGGTGATATGACCAGTGTGAAGGGGGTACACTACTTACAGCATGAGCGGCATCCCCTAGAAGAAGCACTCTCCCCTTGCTCCATCTTCCCTCAGGAGGAAGCATATAGACAGGATAGAAGTACCAGTCGCTTTCGTTGATGATCAGCTCTAGACCTTTGATACTGCCTTCCTTAAAGCGAGCAACAATATCCCGCTTAAGTGTGAGTTTGTCTTCCCCCAAAGCCTTCCATCCTTCTCGTGCGTCTTGGTTCTCTGCCATCGGCATGATAGCTAGAGCATAAACCTTCTCCCTCGATGGTTCGAAGTAGGTCATCAGGAACGATCCATGCTGACCTTGGATCATTGTAGAGTCCCGGAGGACTGGCTTCCCACTCGATGTTGTAACACCAATATGCCCAGGAGAATCACAGTTGACGTATCCGTAGGCGATGGCACGGCCAGAATACGTCCTCTTCCGTTCACGGTCCACAACTGTGGTCCGAACGAAAGAGTGTATACCATCGCATCCAAGCAGAATATCACAACTAATAGACTCCTGCGACTTATCAGCATCAAACTGTACGTCAACACGAACTGTTCCCTCGTCATCTCCCTGGTCGTCCAACTGTTGTATGTCGGTGACTCTCGCACCAAAACGCAAGTTGACCCGGTCCTTGGGTAATTCAGCAACGGCATCCGCCATGCACTGCACAAGATGATGCCTCATAACTCTCAGCACATCTGTCCCAGGGAACATCTGGCCCAGCGTCCGACCTGTTCGAAGAGCCACGACGTCGACACCTCGGACCGGGATACCCAGTTTCCGTAATTGTGATCCGACGCCAAGAACATCGAGGTACCGTAGCGCCAAGGGTGTTAGCAGAATCGTTCCTCCGAGTGTTTCGACTTTTGGGCGCAGCTCGAGAATAGTAATGCGAGGCGGAGAGCCTTGGATGGTTCTTTGGGAGAGTGCGAGGGCGGCTGCGAGGCCCGCTGGACCGGCGCCGATAATGATGATTTGCATTATATCGGCCGCGAAGATTTACCGACAGACTGTCAGTCAGTTTTAAATACTCTGATAGAAGAATGATCAAGAAAGTGACACTCCCGGGCAGCAATCTTATAATCGCGGAACGTCGCAAAAGGCGCTAAGTCCTCTGTGGTAATAAGCTCTGGGCCACAAGTCTCAACTGCAAAAGGCACGAGTAAGACACAGAGCACCTCGGAGCAATTGAGACCCGACGGTACCCTCCCCAAGACAAGTTCGCGGCATATTCAGCTCCGACTTCGGGCTCTTATTGGAGTGGCTTCTCGCAGTATACTGAGGGTCTGAAGAAGGATTTGTTATTGCGGCATGGATCCTGACACCGCCGTGCTAGTTGCTCCACAAGTCGTATTGGTCGTGTTGGTCGTGTTGGTCGTACTGGCTGGTGGAGCACAGTTCCATAGAGCTAAGTTCTCTGTGCTAATTTAAGCTCTCAGCCACAAGTCTCAACTGCAAATAACACATCTGGCTCACAACTTAGACATTATACCAAAATGCCTGTCCATAGAGCTCCGAAGACTGCCCCAGGTATAATAGTCAGGTTTCTAAACAGATAAACTAATCCATACTAGGTTTGTGTTCTATAAGGTATAATACTAAGTAAAGTTAAGTATTATATTTCTGAGTAATAGATTTGATATATTAGGCTTAATTAATTTAAAGAAATTTTGTTAATAGCTAATGAGCTAAAATTTATTAAAATATAACTAAATATGTTTTGTATAGTTACGGTTATAAGTGTGATTATACTAGGTGTTTTGCTGTAAGTGAGTAGAAAATATAGGGTACACGTAATATAACCGTGAGGGTCGTAACAGAGGTTAGTTAGGGTAGTTGTGAAAATCCCTGCAACGTGTTAGCTACAAAACCCTCCTAAACCAGACCATAAGGGAGGTCTTACAGCCTAAAACACTAAACCAGGCCATAAAGAGCGTTAAGATGCCTATAGTTCTCTTTAGCGCAGTAGCAGCAATTTAATAATATATTCTGCCTTTAGTGGGATAAGATAACCTAAACTCAGCTAGCGATGCGCCCCAAGAAGCACTGCAGGATTATAACCAGCATAATTCCATAAATGACGGCTCTGGGGTATCCTGCGCTGGTCTCAGTGATGAGGCCGAGACCAAGACCAGTCTAGGAAATTGTTATGGTTGATGCGAGGCTGATAAGACTGAGAGTGCTGATATGTCTGGAGTTCCTGCTTATGGCCTTGTGGTGCTTAGCTTGGAAATGTTCAACTTATGTTGGCTTGTTGGTTGACTTACCTATTTGTGCGAGGCGAAGCCTATCGGGATTCATGATATGCTTCAAGTCTGCTGCCTCCATGCTATGCCCGCTGTGCGCCACGGATATGTCTTCGGATTTGCCCATATTGACAGGTTGTAATCAAAACAGCGTTTCCAAACCAGCTCAATATCAAGCTTGGGTAAGAGTGGTACAAAAGACACGCTATAGAGTCGCATCCGGAGTAAGACAAGCTTTATTTTATTCATATCTTGCACTGCATCTTCACTACCACGTAGCATATCCCCTCGGAATCGAAGCACGGAAATGCGGCACCAAGCCACGTGAGGAGTCGTCCGTGTCTGATAAACCTTCAACCATTGTCCACATTCAAAACTACCCTATCTCTCATCGCCATTTACTGTGAACCGTGACTCGCAAACATTTGATCCCGGAGGATGAATCAGGTTTTCATCACATTAATGAACGGCGCTAAAATGCCTTTTCTGGCCAACTTCCGGTGATCGCAGCTTATTCCCCCACAAACTTCCCCAGAAACCCTTGACAGCGGGAAAAGATCGTACGGTGGAGCACGGGTCGGTATAGGACGGTCCGAATTCTCTACCGCTACCTCGGGTCATCTCCACGTGAGGTTATCAAACACACATGCATCATCATTTCAAATCCAACCCGGCTATCAAATCTATATTTCTATTGAGGTCTTATCAACGGAACACCGAATTCTACTACCACTGTCGTCTCCGAAGAGCAGAAATTAGTTATAAATACGCCATTTTTGACTCTTAATACACTCAGAGCAGTCCCAACAGCCCTTATCACTCCAGCTCAACTTCGTATCACCAAACTGCTGCCACGTAATATCCTTAAGCTGGAAACCTCCAATAGCGCATTTGCCATACTCCTCAGACCAGCCTGACGCTTGACAGTCAGGGTTCGAGTTACAAAGAGCCGCACAACGCTCCTCTGAATCTTGGTTGGGAAACTTGGAAGGTGCCTCGTCCCATTGCCATGGGAAGTAACCCTGATGTTGGCAGACCAAATCGCCGTTGTCAACCTGCTTGATCGAACAAACAGCGTCCTCGCTCGTAATGCTCGGCGTGCAAGTCGCCGTAGGGAGAGCAGTTCTCAGCGACGCAGAGTATGCATCACGATCTTGGTCGTGGCAGAAGCATTTCCAGCAACTTTGGTCACTCCAATCCATATCCTGGTCGTCTCCGTTGCCGGAGGTGAACGCGGAGGTAAAGATAGAGTTGGAGGAGAAGACACACGCTTGTTGGTTCTGATCCCATGCGGAAGACTTGCAGCGGTGGGGCATTTGGTTGCAGATGGCTACACAGTTCTGGTAACTGTTAATGCCCTCTTGCCAGGGGTACTCATTGTCGCTGAGTGTAAAAGTGTTCTTCATAGTTCCCGATTTACTGCAGTCTTGATAATTATGGTTGTTCTGATCGAAGGTGCATCCATCGGATAAAGCAAGGGTGCATTGAGGCATGGCAGACTCGGTGGTTGTTGGGACGTAAGAAGAGATGAAGGTTGTAAGAGGTTCAGTACGTGTTGGGGTTATTGTCGTGTGTTCAACGATATGTTCAGTAGAGCTAGGAGCCTGGCTGGTAGTATCATGCTGAACTGAGCAATCGTTGGAGCAGGACCAGCAGCCCTGGGAACTCCATGGTAGAATGTAATCATGGCCGTCCAAAGCCTGTGCTTCCTGGAATGCGCTGCTCGTCATGGCGACATTGGTAAAGATGCACCGTCCCCGCCCGGCATCGTGAGCTGAGGCAGCACAGCCGTCCAGCTGATAACAGATAGTCGCACACTGTTCCGAGTTTGTCTGCATAGTGGCCTTATCGAAATCATTGTTGGCATAAGGCTGGAGATCAACAGCGCCGAGGTTACCGATCTTCTCACAGACAAGGTTTGAAGATGGTGAGCTTTGGAGATGGCAGTTGGGACAAAGAGTAGGGGTGGAGGGAGACACTGATGTAGTCATAATTTCTGGAAGAGAGGTGGTTGAAGGTGCGAAGGTCGAAGTCTCAATATCCGCTGGGTTCTTGATATCACAATCCTGACACTCGAAGCAATCGAAATCATTCCACATCAGAGAATACTGCTGATTCAGATCAATACCAACGACGCCCAGTCTGTCACCAAGCATCCAGCAGCTAGTCTCCCCGCCCAAGTTATACAACGCAAAGGCCTTGCAAGCAGATCCTTCTTGCTTGCAAAGGAGGGCACAGTCAGCGATGGAGTTTTGTCGAGGGTTGCTCGACTTTGTGCGACCCCATGTACCTTGCTTTGCCTTTCCAAAGGCCCAACAGGCTCTGGGGGCGGTAGGACGATCATTGTCAGACAGTTGTGGAATTCCTGTCAGGGACACGGTCTGGGTTACTTCTGGCTGCACAGGCTTGCAGTATCCAGGTGGAGGGGCTCCAACGGGGCAGACTCGCGAGCCAGTTGGTAAAGAGCTTTCTGTCGAGGGGGAAATGTCACTTGTGGTTGACGGATGCAGGGCACTCGTGGTTGGGTTCAGGGTGAGAGTCGGAATATCGCTCTCTGATGTTGTTCGCGGGTTCTGTGTAGTAGGCTCAGAGGCAGTCGATTCGCCAGCCGCGCTTGTAGGTTCTTTGGTCTGAGCTCCATCAGAACCGTGGGTTACAGTATCACTACCGATGAAAGACTCGGTTGATGGATGGAAAGTCTCGGTATCAGAACCCATGGAAAGACCAGTTGTCGGGTGTGCAATCTCCGAAGTGACGGCATCAGTTCCAGTGGAAGACTTGGTTTGTGTCGATGGGCTGTTGGTGCTCTCGTTACTGTTTGGCGCATTGGATGTCGTAGATCCTACCGGCAACCCACTCGTAGTAGCAACATCATTTCCATCAGCATAGTCAATCGATATATCGTTGATCGTCTGAGGAGTGACCTGGTTAGACATAAAGATCGAGTCGACGTAAATAGCCGCAACTCCACCAATCGGGCAATTGACCGACACTGAAAAGGCACCCTGCGTGTTGGGAACATCGGTTTGCTCAAGAACAGTATTCCAGTCGATAGCTGTTCCAATACTAAGGATTGTCGATGTATAGAATTGATGGCCGGCGATAGAAGCGCTTAGGGTGCAGACATTGATCTGGCTGGCAGTAACCACAGCATAAAAGAAGCGAACAGTGTACTTCTTCTTGATGTCGAGGGAGTCAAGCTGTTGAGAAATGCTGACGATGTTTCCAATGGCTCGCTTACGTCCGGGAGGGCTGTTAGCAGCTTGCAGCTCGACACAACCCGTCTCTTTGCTGCCATCGCCAGTATAACCCTTGTTCTCGACAATTTGACCCTGGCCTTCGACGGTGTAGTTGGGGATGTTGCTTGGGTTGGTGGGGTCTCTGAGGGCGAAATTTCCGTTACCAATCACGTTCTTGACAACGAGGGGTCCCTTTGTCTCCGAAGTGGTCGGGCCAGCTGTCGTTACTGTTGCTTCGGTATGACTGGTCGCACCATGGGGCTTGCATGGGCCTGCCAGGGCAACATTAAAGTTACACAAGATAGCCAGGCCCGTCAAAGCGAAAGCAGAACGCATGGCGAAGGATTAACGAGTGTAGTGGCCAAGGGAGGCGCTGAGAGGGTTAGGTAAAGCAGCAGAACGACCCGGGCAGCGGCATATCGACTGTTTATGAAGATACCAGCTGCGGAATGCGGTGACCTCGGCCCCTAATTCAGTAGGAAAATTTCCCAAGAGAGCGGTCGAGACCTTTATTTCTACGCTATGAGACTATTTACTTAAAATCAACGGGTCCGCCAAATCGGTGATAACTAGTGAACGCCTCGTCCTCCGCTCTGAAAGGGAAATATTTCCGCTTTTGCGGGACGAAAATGGTTAGGAGGCCCATTTGGATGTTGTTTTGCTGCATCCAAAAATCTTTTCACTATGAACATGGCCATGAAGATTTTAAGAGTATTGGGCCAATCGGTCCAATTGATGATAGATTATCTACCTCCTAGAGACAATTATGTCTTTTTCCGTCATCGCTGGACATTAGAAACTACCCCTGACTTCAGCTTGAGACTAGTCACTAGCCCCTGTCTGTGAAAGTTCCGTCAAAGCCTAGAAGCCAATAGCGCGTCATAGCGCTTGGCACTATTTAATCTTCTAAATATGCTTGCCGCAAGTTACGCCATGGCGCCGTATTCGAGACCCAGATATTACATATGTGGTACATACAGCAGCTAGGGCGAAGGAGAGCGATTAAAAGAGCCTTGATTTCTTTTTATGGAAGGGGAGGAGCTGGTCGCTTTTTGTAGAATGGCGCATGGCCGGCTGTTAGATAAGCGAGCCAATCATACCTTCTCACAACATAATTCAATAACAAAAAGGGTAGTCGCTATAGGCTGATTTCACTTGTTTAGCATTGACTCGCTTTGCATATACCGTATCTCAACTGAGCTAAATTAAATATTCCGGCTTCCAGCTCGATGACTAGCTAAGAATCTAAATCCATATCCCAGAGCAATATCTTATAGATTTCTAAATGAGCGTATATTCTCGATCGAGATATCTCTCCGCATCAGTAGCTAGCCAATTCAACGGCATCATGGGCTCATCGTCGCCACCTCCCTCCCACTTGTCAGAAGGCTCCCCGGGTACAATACCAAGACCAATTCTCTTGAACTTATCTGGTCTATTCTCTACTCTCTGCAGCAAAAGTTTCAACCTCGCGGGAAAATACAGCGTCCATGATGGCGGCTTCGTATGCCCAGTCTTTGTCATCATCTTGCACGATACACAAGGCGTCGATCCATATGTATTGAAATTCCAAAGACCGAGCTGCGAAGATAGCATCCCGCATGACGGCTGGGATAGAGTCCATCGAGATTCCACCCATGTTTTGTGACAGATGGCCTTGTGTTGTAATGAAGAGGTTCTTGTTGCCCCAGCAATACGACAATGCGCAATAAGACACAGGCTCAAGTTCTTCGGCGATCCGGGGTTGGCTTGTAGACAACCCCACGTGGAGAAGCCTCCTCGGGAGTGTATCTTTTGTTTGTCGGTCGCGATGAGCTTCCTGACACTCAACGTGACTTCCATCAGATTGACAAGTACCAATCCAGTTCTTTGCTCTCTTCATAGCAGTTTCCGAACCTGTGTCAGTGTCTGGCTCATCAATTGCAAAAGAACGAATCAGAGAAGCATACACCCATATCAACGTCGACTTGTGATATACAGAGAAGGTACCTATTGTTTGCTGAATCATCTAGGCTCTATCAGCTTTATAAAGTTCAAACCTGAACGTGGTCTTTGCCTTATACATCATTTTGACTCCGGTTTGAAAATCGCGGCAAGAAGCGCATATCCTGCTGTGGTTACTGGGTTGACTGTCGTTGGCCGTCTCACGCAGGTCCTGGATGAACATCTCGATGTCTGTGTTTATCGTAGAGTCGCTCTTTGACAAGATAAAACAATATGTGTCGTAGAGCTCTTTTGGAGGGACGATATCACTACTTCTTGAGAATGCAAGAAGATCTCGAGATGGGCCTTCATGGGCGCTTTCAGATGAAGTTTGAGCAGATCGCTCTGGGTAATTTCACACCCTGGGTTTGCAGGAACTCCATGGTTCTTTGATCGCCGGTCAATAATGCCACATCAAGAAGGGTCCACGGGTGTTGTGAAAGGGGGCACAAGTCTACTCCTACATTCACCAACAGCTGTACTAACATGAGATCTGAAACCAAAAGAGCTCTTTGAATGCAAATATCGCCTTCAGATCCCTCTATATCCCTTTATAGATCTTTGTACCGCACGCGCACGCCAATAGTGCTCTTGTCGACATCGGCATTATTGGCAAGGAAGAATCGAATACCGTCATGGTTCTGGTTCCCGACTGCCTCGTGCAACGGCGTCACACCAACGGCGTTATAAAGATCGACGTCAGCGCCATGTTCAAGCAGAAAACGTGCCAATTGAAAGTCTGAGAAGCATGTGGTACGATGGAGCGGGCTATTATGGTGAGGCCACGTTTGCGAATCAAAGAGGTAACCCGGGAGGACGCAGCCTCCTTTTGGTTCCGGTTCAATGAGGTCTTCTTCTGTCCAAAGATTATTCGAATCCAAGCCATGCTCAATAGCATATTTGGCTGTTCCAAACTCGCTAGAGCCATCCCAACGTCTTGATATATTTGGGCATGTCATGTCGGGGATTACCCTTTCTGAGCGGCAGCACTGGATCAAATTCGATGGCCTGGAGTCGCACAAATGGAGATTCCAAAACCGCATCTGAGGTACTTACCAGCAGCGTCGGTGGAAAGAGGCAGAGAAGTATTGACTTGGCATGGGAAGAATATAATTGAGTGGCATATTTGGCCCCTGCGACACGACCTGTCAGCCATGAGGGCTGTGCTAGGCACCAGACGTCACTGTCCAATTGGAAACTGCCGTTGGTTAGGTAGATTCTAGGTTTTCATTGCTCCGAAGGGTTACCAGTGCGATGAATTAAATGTAACTGTTCGCAGATACTGTACTGTACACGCCTACGAGTGCCCTAAAAGGGAAATCGTCGGCCATCGAACTAACAATGTAGATAGATTGTATATAAACCTTAGAAATATATATTATATTTATTTATAGTTTAATTACTATTAAAGTTTACCCTGAAATTTCGAGGCTTAAGGGGTGAAAGGAAGCTTCAAGATAAGCACGTCCGGAAGTTCTTCTCTATGATGCAATCGTTTTTCCAGCGGTGAGCTGTCTCAGAGACAGCCAGCCACCAGGTTTGTCAGAGATGGCAAGATAATGTAGAAATCCCGATTGGAGTTCAGTGTCTTAAGAGTTATGCCATTTCACTAGCTTTAATAACCAAAGTGGCTGTCTTGGCAAGCATGAAGTCAAAGTTATCACATACCATTACTGTCACACTGCAGGACAACTGTGACGACAATGCTGTGACAGCAAAATATCAATACTTCAGCCGGCAATGACCAGGATTTGTGTTAGTTTGTATTGATCCAATAACATCGGTTGGGGGATAATTGGTTAATGGTCAGTAGTATGCATTTATTTCACGTATCTTCGCCAATACTGGCCAGATCAACCACTAATTCCTTGTTAGCAACGGCCATAGCCGCTGTGGCATTCACCATTTTGGGCAAAAAGGGGCTAGTAATGTCTCAAACGAGCAGCTGAAGTGACAGAGCGGGCTAGCCTAGTCGCTCCCCGCAGGGACTAGCGAATCTAGATCCCTTGGACCTGGTCAGTGGCTAGCTGATGACTGCGCAAGATGCAAATATGGCTTGGTTGAAAGATATACAGCTGAGTCTCGTCAACCTTGGCATAGCAAAGGAGCTATGTGCAATGTGAAGTGATAACTGTCACATAACTTAGCTTCAACAAGGACTGAAGCGAAGACGTCCCAGCTGGAGATAAATCACAGTCATCGGCAAACGAGCCCTTGCGATAAAAAATCTTAAGTTTATAAATATCAGCTATCTAACACCAAATAAAATAAACATCCCTCATCACAATCATTTCCCTATTCGTCCAAGAATATTTCTTACATCATGGCAGCTTCCACCAACAAGACCTTTCCCATTACGGGCATCCCCTCGGATGCTAAGCGAAACACCAACAACATTCCCTATGCTCCTGATCTTCCTTGCCGTTATGAGATATCCACTTTCTTTCCTTCTGATGATTCTTTCACTCAGAAGCAGTGGACTCTTATGGTTCTTGCCCTCAATCGCTTCAAGGCCCTTGAAGTAGATAAGAAGCTCTCTTACTTCCAGGTCGCGGGCATTCATGCTTATCCTCTGCAGCCATGGGATGGTGCTGAGTCTCCTTCTAAAGACCCCAAAGATACCGAGACATTGCCCCCTGGCGCGAACCGCTACGGAGGATACTGCGAGCACAACACCATCACCTTCCCGACGTGGCATCGGCCCTACATGCTGCTTTTCGAGGTACGTACAATAAGTTCTCTAGCCCTTGCGACAAGCTGTTACTAATTTTTAACTGAAGCAACCTGTGTGGACGCATATGAAGGACCAAATCAAGGACTGGGAGCTTGACCCTGCTCAGGCTGCTGAGTGAGAGAAAGCAGCTAATGAATGGAGACTCCCGTACTGGGACTGGGCTCGTAAGCAGAAGTACAGTCAAGAATACTCACTCCCAGATATCTTTCGCTTCCAGGTAATAACCATATATCCTCCATACAACCCCAGAGGAAAGACAGACGTCGAGAATCCGTTTTGGGGGTTCGAGAACCCCGAGAAAGACGAAAAGGGTCTACCAAGGGCATTCGGAGACATGCCAAAAGGCAAGACTGACTGGAATATCCCGGACCACGTTGAAACGGGAAAAAACCCTTTCAGACTTCCAGTAAGGCCCCATCTGTTTCTCTTGCCTTTACTCCTTCTTACTAATATCTGCTTAGTGGAGCAAATGCTCGGCGACAAGCCGTTACGGTATCCGGAGCGAAGATGGCGAGAATTGGACAGGCCTTAATGGTCTCAATAACTTCGGAGAAGCCAACAATACTTTGAGCAAGCTCCAGGAGGGCTGGTATCCTCCCTATTTGGAAGAAGAAAAAGAAAAGCGTGAGAAGTTTAAGGGTCCTGGCACACTGACCGATGCTGTCAATCGTCTCTTCTCTTCCGAGTACACGGACACTTGGGAAACCTTTGCCAGCACCAAATGGTGGAATGAGAGCGCTCGTGAAATAAGTACCGGTTATCTTTCGCTGGAGTACATCCATAACAACGTTCATGTAAGTAGACGTCACCTAGAATCGATTGCTGAGGTGCTCACTTGTTGAATAGAACCTCACCGGCGGTTCAAATTACATGAAACCTAGGCAAGGTCAGAGTGGAGGATACGGTCTTGGCCACATGTCAGACGTCCCTGTGTCAGCATTTGACCCGATCTTCTGGCTCCATCACTGGTAAGTGGAGTGTCTCGGCTGGAAGTCTTTGCTAACACTGCTCAGTAACATCGATCGCTTGCTTGCAATGTGGCAGTGTTTGAACTGGAAAGCCTGGTTTGATAAGGCACACTACAAGAAGAACGTTACAAACGTTGAGGATAAGAAGAAGGACGGTCCTCTATTGCCGTTTCACCGCATAGAAACCGACAAGCCAGAGACTGGGTACTGGACGTCAGATGCTGTTAAAGACTGGACCAAATTGGGCTACCAGTATAACGATCTAATCCCTAAGCCAGGCGCAGTCCTTCCTGGCGACAAGGGGCTGGACGAGAAACAGTTCAAGATCGACCTGGCAGCCCATATCGAGGACATCTATCCCAGCGCCCAGAAGTACTGGGAGGCGGTCTACAACAATAACAATAAACCCGATAATGTGAAGTTTTTTGGACCTACCAACACCGAAAATGAGACTTGGAACGACTATGTCATTAACGTTATCTACGATCGCTATGCCCTGGGTGGCAATTCTTATTCTATCCAATTTTGGCTTGGTGGCGACGGCGAGAACCCTGACACGACGTTCCGAGACGAAGAAAACCTGATCGGCCAGGTTTACTCATTCGCTGGAATGGATCCCTCGGTCGAAGGTTGTTCCAACTGCGCTTCCCAGAAAGACAAGAAGGTGCTTTCACGCGCTCAAGTTCTTCTCACCATTCCAGTCATATCCCAGGCGCTAGACCGACGCTTCCAACACATTGACACAACGAGAATAGATGGTGTTATCATTTATCTCCAGAACCATCTGCGATGGAAGTTTGTCCAGATTGGAGGTAAAGAGAGGCCTACCGAGGACTTTCCTCATACCACTATCTCTGTCCTCAGAGGTATTGGTAAACGTCAGAGTGCTGCTCCAGAGGGGACCGAAGTGGCGCTCCCACCTATCTACGCCAACTATGAGCTCTTGCACACGGTCACGCAGAAGAAGCCTTGCGGGCTGACGAAGGAAGATAAATTGCTTGGAGTTTCTCAGGACATCAACTTTAGAACGTTCAGCGATTAGTGACTTTTCTAGGGTAGCTCGTAAAATTGGAAATTACGTCAAGTTAGACCCGCCGCTACTGAAAGCAGGATCGAGGCTAAGGGGGTTTTGGGCTGGCAGCGGAGGTTTTGATTGGCTAGCAAACATTCGACTCCCTTTGAAGATCGATAGTTTACAGATGGACTGCTTTCTAGAGGACTATTTTCTCAACACTAGACCTTTTGAGATGAGATTTGCGAAAGGGGACAGAAGTAGATGCCGATCGCAAAAGGAATCAAACACAAGTATCTCTTTACTCTCTGTACCCTACTCACTTCCTTTTCGACACTTTCTGTCCAACGACTGTTGTTTGTGTAACGCCGATGATCATTACAATGAAGGTGACATTGCTGTCAGCTCTGCTTATCGCATCAGCATCTGCCGATTCAGGCACTTGCACCAAGGTAATCTCAACAATTCACTGTGGTATTGCCTCGCTGACAGTTGCAGGACGCATGCCTAAAGGCGGTTGGACTGTCCAATTGCCGAGCTCGAAGATGGCCGCCCGCACATGAGGGTGACTGTTCCTCATTCCTACGATACACTTCGATCCCTTCAGCGACGACTGTGGCTGCGACTGGGGAGCAATCGACCGTGACATTGAAGGATACCGAGACTCTGGGCCCGGAGACGGATGAGGCGACTGCGACACAGTCAGATCAAACGTAGGTCCCTTAAACATCTGCAGCATAATTACACGACTTGTGAGAAGAACTAACATCATCTAGTGCCACCACCAGCATTACTTCTGACCCTGTGACCGTGTTCGTTGCTATCACCCCGACCAAGACTGTCACCGTCACTATTGTAAGTATCAGGAAGTCCAATTCCATCCGTTATTAGATCATGTTGCTGACTGCATTATAGACACCAGACCCTTACCTTGAAACCAACGTTAACATAAGTATAGCGAGATGCTCATATGAGCAATATAGGGACTGACAGAACGCAGACCAAAACAGTTGTTCAGAATGACGTGAATACGTATGTATTGACCTCCTATAGTGAAGCTAACTCTAGCACTCTTTTAGCATTACGGAGACAACCTATTTCGGCCTGCCTTCCAAGTGTGCGATTGCAGTTCGATCCACCAAGAATATTCTCAGGCCAACAGATATCCCATCCTATGCTGGATCATGCACAAATGCCGAACAGTACAGCAGTGCTTGTGCCTGTATGGGTGTCCAAGAGACTACTATCGAAGGAACCGGTTCTGTCATCACTGAGACTGTTGAGCCTCACCCCGAGACAGTGGTCAACGTTCACACGGAAACCCGCCCTGCAGTGACCGTCACTACAACACTCCCAGCCAAGACACGAACTGTGACTATTACTCTTCCCGGACCCCAGATCACCAAAACCACAACCGCCGACGCTACCACAGTTTTGACCTCCTTCACTGCCGATCAAGATACCTCCGTCATCACACAGCAAGCAACCGAGGTCGACAAGACGACATCCGTCACCACCAAGACCCGCTCCGTCGGACCAATCTGCACCACCTACACGCCCTCACAGACCTCATGCAACTGCAAATTCGAGGTCCTCTGCGACCAAGCAGTTACCGTCAATTTTTCAAACTTTCAGAGAAAAATAGACTTCAACACTTATGTCGGTAGCTTCGAGGAGTGTATGCAGCGCTGCGACAACAACCCGAGCTGTCAGTTCGGTGACTTCGCATCCCTTCCAAATGGTGGCCTTTGCTCAAGTTACGGTGGCAATCCAGGAGACTCTGGTACTGAGTCTCAGAGCGGTACCAAGTATTTTGAGAAGGACGGAAATGTCGACTGCTGGTCTTGTTCACAGTAGAGCAGGGAAAGGTTGCGGAAGAGATTAAAGTTCCCGAACACATGTGTTCATTATATAATATACTATTAGTCACTACTATTCTTACACAAACGACACAGTTTTTCATAGAGCTAATGTCCTACTGGGGATGCAATCATATCTTGGAACATGTTTCTACACCTATTCATATCTAGTGCGGTTAGCATCGGCATTGGTAGATTTATCGGCATGAGCTGTTGCCAAACCATGATGGAGTTACCGAAACCAGTGGACTGGACACGCTAGGTGCCTGCGCCTTGTATTGCGAAGGGCGTACAATGAGATATTTCTTGTCCAGATTTTTTTTAAGAGAGTGATTTGTGGTAACTCATGAAGTTATGAATAAAAACGACAGTAGACAAATTGATTCAGTTGAATAAACTATATTTCTATACTCAGAATTTTATCAATACGCCTCAGTCAAGACCAGCCAATATGAGAATTGGCTTCCTAGGCTTGGGAACGATGGGCACGCCCATGGCCCTCAATCTTCGTCGACAATTTCCCGTCACGGTGTGGAATCGAAATGGTGCCAAATGCAAGCCCCTCATCGAGGCCGGTGCTAAAGCGGCAAAGACTCCCTCGGAGGTGGTTGAGAAATCCGATGTCATCTTCACAATGCTCTTCGACGGCAAAGCAATCCAATCCATGATCGACAACGACCCCGATAACAGTTTCATGAAAGCCATCCGTGGTAAAACACTCATCAACACAAGCTCAGTACCTGTCGCGTTCAGCCATAAACTTGCGCAGCAGGTCCAAGGTGCGGGAGGGAAGTTTGTCGAAATGCCTGTAAGTGGCAGTAAGGGACCAGCTGAGCAGGGGCAGCTTGTAGGCATGATGGCTGGTGACCCAGAGGTTGCTGAGCAGATCAGACCCGTTGTTGAGCCCATCACTACAGCCGCCATCTTTTGCGGTCCTATCGGGTCAGGCTTAAAGGCCAAATATGCTATCAACTTATTCTTGGTCTCTGTGACAGCGGGTCTCGCCGAATCGGTGAATCTCGCTCGAGCTCAAGGTCTAGACTTGGAGGCCTTTGCACAGGTCGTCAACAGCAGTCCTTTGGCATCTGCATACTCCAGGGTCAAGATTGCCAAGATACTCAAGGGAGATTGGACACCCCAGGCTGCCATCAAAGACTGCTATAACAGCACTGAGCTGATCAAGTCGGCTGCACAAGGCGTGCAAGTTAAAACCCCACTTATCCAAGTTTGCAATTCTCTGTATAGAGAAGCTCACGAAAATGGGTTGGGAGAGGAGGATATGATGGCCATCTACAGACTGTTTGCTGAGACTCCGAGTAGATATGCTACATAATCAAACAAATATATCAAAAGAATTCTATGACTATAGTTCATGAAGACCTCTAGTACTTCCCACAATTTGACATGTCTTACACTTCTCATTTCGCTTTTAGCTCCGACCGGAGCAAGATATCAGAGGATATGCGTCTCCAAGTCGGCCTAGCCAGGATTAAGATGAATAAATGATATCTCCAGCCTTTCCCCTTGATATTCAGTATTTACTCAATCTGTTCAATGTGACAAGTCCATACATGCGGTTCATCGTCATATTGGAACCTACTGGCGGAAGGTTAAACTTCGGGAAAGTGGATTTTTCAGCCACTATAAATATGATCTCAACACCATGGCTCATGAGGTTTGCCCTCCTTTTGATACACAAGAAACAGATTTCACAAGGCGTGTCTGTACTCCTTAACCGTGAACGGTTTACCTTTTGAAAATACCCCTACGACACGACGATCTCGACCCACCACGTTTGCGAGGCAAATATAGACCGTCCAGCGAAACATCGAGGTTGAACAACAAGTTTGGGAGATGATATTTGGGACCCTGTGCGTTCAGGAATCCTCAAGCCTCTCCAACCTTTATTTTTCGCTAGGTAGTATTGGCCAGTAAAATATGGCCGAGCCAAGCAAACGTGTCGGGGGTCAGTACTCCAGAAAGCGCGCCTTGCACGCGTGTCTAGTCTGCAGAGCAAGGTTTCTTGTCCCGTCGTCTTCAGAGCCTTAGAACCATATTAACTGAATCCAAGGAAATCTCGGTGTGATAGCCAACGGCCCAGTTGTGGCTTCTGCGTCAAGACCAGCTCAGAATGTACTTATCCAGACATAGAATCCGCTAGGTGAGGTGACCGCGACTAGCCTCCAGTAGTACCCAAACTGACATCAGACCTGAAGCCTAGACAAAGCTTCCTTACTCATCTTGGACAGAATCCATACTATGGAGAGTAATGTCCTCAAACAGCTCATGGACGCTACAGGCAGTGGAGCATTAATAGCCCCCAGTGCGAATTTACCCACGTCAGCTACACAGCAGAGGCCTAGATCATGGAGCCAGTGGCCGACTGGGGATATAATAATGTCTTGGGATGTGCTTCGAGAGCCTATCGCCCGCTGCGGCCAGCATCGACATTGGGAGACGTATCGAAATGAGCTGCTACACAGCCCTGATGGAAGTTCAGAAACACCTGGACCAAGTCCTTCGATAAAGGCAGAGTTTGTGAGGTCCGATGTAACAACTGGTCTATTCGATTATGACCAAGTCATGTCAGAAGATATGCCAGTGGATTCCACTCCAGAATCAGCAAGTTTCACGGCATCACTTATCAGAAACTATGTCGTCAATATCCACAGCAAGTCCCCAATTCTGGATCTTGACTTCTTGAAAGACTTGGAAGACCGACTATTAAAGGACAGCGAGCTTCAAAACTGGCCAGTTCAGAAGCAGCTACCAACAGGACTACATCCCCCAGACATGGCAATCTTGCTATTGGTACTCGCCTTGGGAGAGGTATCAGCAAGGACAGCCCCAGAAAGCCAACCACTTGGAGAATCCAATTATATTACTATGGCGCTTCCTTGGCTTGGAGTTGCGGCTTACAGCGGTGGTTCGCCCATTAAAGACTTACAAGCACAGTTGCTCTTAGCCAGTTACCAGATGTGGATTTTGAAGCCCTGGAAAGCTTGGTGCTATGTTGAGACAGCAGCTGCCAAAGCGGAGACAATACTGCTGAGGTATAAATATTGTTATAGCTCCAGTTCTGTGATTGGAATAGCTGACGAAATAGGTATCCTAATATTCTAGATCAGAAGCTAAGCCACCGCGTTCTATGGGCCGTTGCGAAAATGCAGCTCGAGCTGACTGAAGAGATCTACCCCTGTCTTGGACTTTTGAAGCGCAGCAGACTTGGACAGTTGATCCAAAGCACTCCGATTCCACCACCTCCCCCTCAACCATTCGAATGGCCTAGCATTGGGCCTCAACTTGATACTGATACCTGGTACTACTACCTGGCTGAGACTTCTAGTAGGCGATTAGTCGAACGTATCAAGGCCGAACTTTATAGTGGTAAGACGTCTGGTGCGGTGTCTTTGGACTAGTATCTGATCTTCCAGCAGATGATTTCGACGTATCTGGGAGAGCCTCACAGATAAGTACCAGCTATTCTTTAGCATGTGAGTTCGAACGTCAAATAAACGAATGGTAAGTCTGCATTCGACTCCTCGTGGACTTTACAAGGAGTAGCCACTAATCCATTCGTAGGATGAGCTCTCTGCCAGCAGACCTCCGTGCTGCATCACAGCTTCCATTGGACATGTCGCCCGGAACAGTAGAGACACTTGAACAGTCAATCAAATTCAGGATGCGAAAGGTTCTCGCCGATAGACAAGGACAGCTTCTCATGCTTGTATTCCGGCCCTTTCTCTCCGCCCTTGCAGACACGACGAATGATACTCTAGTGAATGGTTTCAATCAGGATGCGTTGAAAAAAGGCACAGCCAAATATCTATACTACGCAATGAAGTTCCTCCATCAGCAGACCGAACAGCCTGTTCGGCATTATGGCTGCTGGCTTCTAGCACGGAATGTCTGGTCAGCTGCCATATCGCTCATCGCTGCATGTTATCTGCCAAACGTTATTCGCTATATGGATTCAAGCGAGCCAGAGACTCAGAACTCTGACATTGCAAGCCCAATGTCACAGGGCTCAGTCATGCCTAATATCTTTGGAGGGTCATTTTCCCGGCATGCTCTGGATGCTTGTCAGCATGCTTATCGCCAACTTCGACTTTGGGACAAGGAGAGTGCAAGTCTTTCGTTTTGCGAGGATCAGCTATGGGCGTTGATTGTGGATGCTCAATGGCATGAGAGTAGCGCTGCTGGGGACGATGTCGTTGGTCATGAGCACACCTAATCTTTGAGTTTTCTCTTTCGTAGTAACGTGTTTGGGTGGTATCACAGCACTTTCACATGACAGATATTCTTTACGTTAAAGATCGGCATTATGGAAAATGTGATAATATGTTTTAATAAGCTTACTGTTCGTATACAATTTTGTTCGCAATAGCACCAATGTCATCTATCCCAACCTTGGTAACATCGCCCTCCTTCATACTGATCTGGGGTTTTCTGCCAAATCCAACTCCTGCAGGGGTGCCAGTAAAAATCAAGGTTCCTATCCAGAGTCAACCACTTGTCTCAATGCGTCTGGGAGCAGTGAACCTACCAGGAAGCAGAGTCATGCCCTGACTCAAGAAAGACACAATCTCCGCCACAGAGAAGATCATGTTGTTGGTGCTACCGTCTTGCACCTGGGTATCGTTGAGGGTACCGCGAATTCCAAGACCGATTGCAGACCCGAGGATATCTTTTGAAACAATCGCCGGCCCGATAGGTGCAGAAGAGTCGAAGCATTTCGAGTAGCACCATTGGCCTCCGCCCAAGTGAGGTTCAAGTTGCCATGCTCTGTTTGAGATATCGTTACCAACCTACAACACCATGATTAATGAGCCTCTCTTGTAAGTTCTGATCACTTACGGTGTAGCCGAAGACATAATCTAATGCGTCATCCTTGGACACCCGTGAGGCCTTCTTGCCAATCACGATTACCTAGGATGATAAGTATTTTCTCTATCGCTTTTTGGAAGTTCGTACCAATTCCGATTCGTAGTCAAGTCTTCCCTTCTCCCACGACGTACGAGGAAGAACGAGGTCATCATATGGGCCAGTAAGTGCGGTCACTGGCTTGAAGCTATCGACGGTGATTGTGAGACCATATTCTTCAAATTGAACTGCTTAGGTAGTCCGAGTTACTTACAAAACAACCGGCACCTTTGGTATAGCCATCCTGGCCTCTTCAGCGTGGTCTGTGTAGTTCAGCCCGATGCAAACAACCGATCGAACATGTTCAAGGTCAATGGGACACAGGAGCTTCGCAATACTGTGCTGCCTATCGACGATCTGGATTGAGGCAGAGAAGGGATTTCCCATTTCTAAGGGTCTAGCGTTCTGGAGGGACTCATTTGCAGCACCATAATACGTTTTCCCGTCATCTTTCGAGACGAAGCGAATGAGGCGTTGAATCGACATTTTAACTAAAGAATTGGTAAATAACTGATGTCGAAAGACTGAAGAGGGCATGGACATATCAGATCACTAGAGAGAATTGCCGAGCAGATGACGCTGAAATAAATACTGGAACCATTTGTAGTAATTCCCATCCGTCATCGGAAGGACAATGGTCTAGGGTGTTGAGTGGTGGAGATCACTGAGTCAAGCCCGTGCGTATAGTTTTGGAGGCGTCGGCTCAAAAGCCGAAATGCCCCGAACGATCAGCTTAATTTAAACTAGAATAGATCGTCACTTGAGCCATGATGCACGGAGGAGGCGAAGCTTGTAATCCGTTTCATACTGGGGTATATAACCAAAGATAACCTCAAGCTACTCAATAGTGCACAGCTTCTCACAGTGTCAGCCCTGACTTATCACAATGGCTGATCTACAACACCTCAAGCCAATGCTAGAGCGCGCAATTCAGCAGCGTCCCTTACTCATCGCTACCACTTCTGGGGCTGCGGCTCTAGTAGCGTTCGCAGCATGGTGCTTCAAAGACTATCGCGACTACCTTGCCCTCGGCCCTGGTGGCCCGCCTTACAATGCGAAGGGATGGGCGTGGATCACCTTTGGCATCCGCCCTTTTGCGTTGAGCAAGTCTGGGGCGACTTACGTTGCCGATTATCCTACGGAAGGAAGCCATTCAGAGATCCAGAGCCTACCTCGGCGCCAGGGAGAAAGGGCGCTTCTTGGGGGCATTGCTCCTCATCGGCAATTGTCACAGCATGCGCCTACGCGTATGAGAACCGTAAGTCCTCGATCCTAGCTGGTTCTCCGTTCTAACAACTCTGTCTGTCAGTACATCGAGAACCTCTTCACCAACGCCGCCCGACAACACCCCACGATCCTTGAGACCAAGAAGTCACTGTATGAACGGCACCACGACGCACTCTTCGTTTCGCCCAAACTCCTCGAGTCGCAGCCCGAAAGCCTTCCCAAGACAGCGATTATAGCGAGAGGAGAGCTGGGACATGTACACCCTGATCTATCGGTCCATCTATACCTCTCACCTGCCGACGCTCGCGTCATCATCGAGAAGGGATGGGCCGAAAGGCATAGACTCTCGGTTCCTGAGACCTCATGGGTCAAGAATAAATACGCTATTTCTAGCACATACTTGATGATCTATGGACCTCGTGATGAGGCGGAGATGGAAGTTTTGAGAGTCATTCTTGAGAACAGCATTCGTTTCATGACTGGCGAAGCTGAGGTGGAGACTGTGCAATGGAAGAAGCCATTGTAGAGCACTTGATTGCTGTTATTATAGATAGTACTGCGCGTGGTCTACCCTATAATAATTATATACTGGTGTTTAGAAACATGATAGAGAGCCATTGGGAATTGTGACCATTAGAAACGCTTGCATCAGACTTGCTTCTCAGCCAACTTTGAGCCACCAAAGGCACATCCGGAGAAATGGCAGGCCAGTAAATTGAGTTGAAGCTCCGTATATCTGTATTCTAAGCTATCGTCATACCTTCATCAAATCTCACAGTAATGTCTTCAATATTCTTCCAGTCTCCAGCTCCTCGCGGCCCGGCTACGCGAATCCTGTAATTTCCAGTGTCAACGCGCCAAAAATGATCTTTAACATCCCACCACGAGAAGTCCCGAGCTTTCAAGCAGAACTCCAGATCTTGCGAAGTTTCCGGCTCAAGAATCTCAGTCTTTGCAAATGCTCGTAGCTCTACGTTCGGTCTCGGTGTCGCCGGCTCTAAAGCTTCAACAAAGAGGAGCACGGTCTGACTGGCAGCCAGCGACCCTGTATTCCGAACTGTCAAAGCCACCTGGGCTGTTTCTTGACGGGGGTCAAACGTAAAGTACATAAGGCTTTTGACAGAACAGCTGAATGTGGTGTATGACAAACCATGACCAAATGCGAATCGAGGGTTGTACGTCTGAAGTGACTGTTGACGGTACCCGACGTAAATACCCTCACGATAATGTATCTCCTTGTCAGAAGTCATCAGGCTCTCGACATGACCAGCAGGATAATCTTCCACCGTATCCCAAAACGTGGTTGGAAGTCGAGCGCATGGCGATACTTCTCCGGATATAACTCTAGCCAGCGCATTGCCGAATTCCATACCTGGAAACCACGCGTAGATAACTGCGTCAACTGCATCGATCCAAGCACTCGTGTCAATGGGCGATCCGGCATTTACTACCACGGTTGTTTGGCCGTGGCATGCTTTAGCGACACGAAGGATGAGCTCATCTTGTCGACGTGGGAGCTGCATGCTCACACGGTCAAATCCCTCGGATTCCCATTCCGTACCAGTCCCAACAACTACCAGGGCAGTGTCAACAGTCTCTGCGAGTCTCTCTGCCCTGGCCAAAGCTCTATCATCATCGCTCGCGAGTGCTAGACCCAGTCGACAACCCTGGATGAAGAACTCACGGTTCACTTTGTGAGACTTGTGTTTCGAAGACCAGCTCAAAACCTCAAACTTGTACCGTCGACCTGTTTCCAGCAGTAGCGGTTCATCTCGACAGATTTCAAGCTTGGAACGTTCAAAGAGAAAATCCTCAGTAGAAACGTTGAGATCTCGTTCAACATCAAGAACAACCCAGTCGTCCAACAGACACTTTGCGTTACCAGGGCCACTCAAACTAAGGTTATATGGCCCCGTCTTTTGTGCGACAAACTCGAACTTCATGCTTGTGCAAAAGTCAGAGCGGTCCAGCAGACCATGTGGTGCATGCTCAACAAGCATGTACAAAGTGTCTTTCAACTCCTGAGCGTGAAAAAGCTTTTCTGTAGAGGGCTGGTCTCCGTTATACCAAAGAAGCGCGATATTCTCGATGTCAAGGCCGGATTCGTTCGGTAGTGGCACCAGTCGGTTGACAGCCACGCCGGCCCCAAGCGTGGAGTTCTTATAGGTCTTCTTGAGAGCGTCCCATGGAGTTGAAGAGTATGGAACTTTGAGGCTAGCAGACCCCCCACCGAACAGGGAAGGCTCTGTAGCATGATGCCCAAACACAGCGAGTCTGGTATCTCGATCAACAAGTGGAAGTATATCTCTATCATTCTTGAGAAGCACCATACTGGACTCAGCAGTCTGTCGAATCAACATTCTCGACTTGATATCGTCGAGGTAGTCTGGTTCTTCGGCCTTTAACGGGAGCGGGAAACCAGGTTCTCCGACACGATCAGTCTTTCGAAGAAGATCGATAACTCTCGTGGCTGAGTCCGTGATCTGATGCTTCTTTACTCCTCCCCTCTTTATAGCCTTCAACACTTGATCATATTCGCGGAACTTCGTCGGGCCTGGCATTTCGAGATCAAGGCCAGCTTTGAAGGCTTCAGCCGTGCTGTAGGTTCCGAACCAGTCTGAGATGACCGCGCCATTGTATCGCCATTCGTCGCGGAGGATGGATAAAAGATTCAGGGATTCAGAACAGAATGATCCGTTAACAGAGTTATATCTGGTATGACCTCCACGTTAGTGAGGTGATATCTTGGGATGCATGTCCGAAACTTACGCAGTCATGATACACCATGGATCTGCCTGTTCCACAACAATTCTGAAAGGCTCAATGTATATCTCCCGTAGTGCTCGCTCTTCGATAACGCTGTCACTCCATCGTCGGCCGTTCTCTGCCTCGTTGGCTAGAAAGTGCTTTGGGCTGGTGGCGATGCCCTGTGCTTGGAGACCATTGACGAAAGATGCAGCAACGAGACCAGTGAGCAAGGGGTCTTCGCTGAAGGATTCAAAGTTTCGTCCACCTAAACAGTCAGTTCGAGCCTATCAAGCAACGAAATAGTACTGACACAAAGGGTAGCGATGGATGTTCATGGTTGGAGCGAGGAGTCCATGCACGCCTTTACGCTTACATTCTCTCGCGAGAACACCAGCCAATTTCGATACCAATTCGACATCGAAAGAGGCACCCAAAGCTGTCCCACAAGGAATGGCTGCAGATGGCGCTCCATTGATCCAATCTTCGCCTCGGACGCCATTTGGGCCATCAGAGAATTTGAGTGAACCAAGGCCGAGAGCTTCATTGGGACGAGTATGCCAGAAGTCATGCCCTGAGAGAAGGCTCACGGCATCCTCTAATGAGAGCTCGGATGAGATGTCGCGATCTATTGAGCCCATCGTGCTTGGTCGTGTAATTGTAAGTCGATGTTTGGTCAAGTAGCAGCTGGCTTACTACTAAATGCGAGTGATCTCACGGGTATGGATTTACAAGGCCTTATCGAAGATGATATCTTAAAAAGGAATGGGATAATGGAAACATCTTGCCACGGAACACGGGGTCCCCGGTTTGACTCCGGGGCAGCTCGGGGCAGATACCTAGTCCAGGTCACCTTTTTCTTGGAACCCTCAACACCAGCAACAGGGTAAGTCCATCGCCCGGGCCTCGTCGGGGCAATTCGGCTGTGGCGCCGACGCACCCAATTTCTCTTAACTCAGGCTCTGATTGGCCGGGGCATTTCGGTGTATAAGCCGAAGTCATGAACCTCCCAATCTCCACCATAAGCTAGCGCCTCATTTTTTGCCCAGCTCGCTAATAGAGTTTTGCGGAGAAGAACCAGCAATGGGCTACCCCAGATGGGGTAACAGTTCACGATCCAGATTTTTGGAACGCGTCGGGGTCTTTAGTCAACTGACATGTTGATTTTCCACGATGAATGCAAGTCCTTCACCTCGAAGTGATCATAAAAAGGCTATAACCCAGCCTGAGTTGAAGATCATCAACAAACAGATCTCTGAGTATCATCGACAACCATCAACTTCACGATCATGACGGCTCCAGCTTCGAGTTCGCTCTTGAAGAATCCTAGCCTTCTGAGGCTATATCTTCTTCTTATTCCTGGCTCTCTGATTGTCAGCGCTGCAATGGGATATGATTCGAGTCTCATGAATGGCATCCAGGGAGTCGATCGATGGCAGAATTGTTAGTGGCTTTATTCTGCTGCTTGACAATGGCTAACTCTTGGTTTTTACAGACTTCAACCATCCTCAAGGCTCTCTACTTGGTATCATGAACGCCATTCTTCCTCTCGGCGCCGTCTTCGGAACGATCCCTGCAGCCTGGCTGTCTGATCACCATGGAAGACGATGGGCGATGGCTGTTGGCGATGTCATTGTCATACTCTCGACCGTCATTCAGACCGCCAGCATCAACAGTCAGTTTTTCCTAGCGATATATTTACAACCTTTAAGTCGAGAGGCTGACCCTATCCCCAGCCCCCATGTATATGGCTTCACGATTCCTAATCGGTCTCGGAATCACCATCGCTTCTAGTTCCGCCCCCATGCTCGCCGCCGAACTTGCCCATCCCCAATCGCGAACGACTCTAACATCGATGTATAACACTCTCTGGTACTTGGGAGTAAGTCCAATATCTCCCAGATCCATCACAGACCAACTGACGGTTCTAGTCCATCATCGCAGCATGGACGACATACGGTACTTACCGTACCAACTCCGAATGGTCATGGAGACTCCCTACAGCTCTTCAAGCCCTTCCCGCCATCATCAACCTCGTCTGTCTCTGGTTTCTCCCTGAAAGTCCTCGGTGGCTTGTAGGTCAGGATCGCCATGACGAGGCACGTGATATTCTCACCAAGTATCATGCCAATGGCGACCAAGACTCTGCGTTCGTTGCAGCCGAGTTTGAAGAGATCCGAACTGCACTTCAACTTGAGCTGGCTGGCTCTAGATCCTGGAAGGAGTTGGTCCAGACCAAGGCTAATAGACATCGAACATTCCTTGTTATTTGCTGTGCTTTCTTTCCTCAATGGTCTGGCAATGGATTGGTGGTAAGCCAGCTTGCTCAATGTTATATAATCAACTCACTGATCTGTCTAGTCTTATTACATCGCCCCTGTCCTTCGATCCATCGGTATCAACTCGCAAGAAGACATCACTCTTATCAACGGTATCCTTCAGATCTGGAACATGATCGTCGCTATGACTGGTGCCAACCTCGTCAACCGAGTCGGTCGTCGCCCTCTCTTCGTCGTCGCAACTTCATGCATGCTAGCTGGCATGGTAGCATGGACTATCACCGGCAGTGTCTTTGCAAGGACCAAATCAGAAGCCACTGGCGCAGGAATCCTCACTTGTGTCATCTTCTTCGCTTCTTCCTACAACATCTGCTGGAATCCACTGGCTGTCGCATACCCGGTCGAGATTCTTCCCTTCAACATCCGCGCCAAGGGTATCGCACTTCTTATGGGATCCATTAAGGGAGCTAGCTTCTTCAACCAGTTCGTCAACCCTATTGGGCTGAAGAACCTTGGCTGGAAGTACTATATCGTGTACTGCGTCTGGCTTTGCATTGTTCTAATCACTGTCTTCTTTATGTTTCCAGAGACCAAGGTAAGTCTTTCGCTATTCCTTTACAGCCTTGACCTGTCTGACTGGGTTTGTAGAACCGATCACTTGAGGAGATCTCCGAAGTCTTCGAGACGTACTCTGAGAGTGCCTCCGAGAAGAAGCTTGAGACGACTGGCATTGAGTGCATTGAGCATCAGAGGAACGAGAAGGAGTAAAATGGCAACTAGACTTCGATCGTGTCCGAGGTGGTCAACCCATAGCTCATAGCCAGGATGACCTAACTGGTGGCGTGTTTTGTATGCTTCATAAACAACGAAAGAGTTATGTTGTATGCTAGTCAATTCATATTTCTCGCTGGCGCTATGCATATCATCCAATCCTTGATATTTCTTGAGCATTACACTTCGAAGATAACAATATTTACAACCTCCTCTGAGCCATTCAACTAGGACATCGTATTGTAGTAAATTGACCTGATCTATTGCGGTGACCCGCTTCTCGTTAAGCTTTACAGCACTGGCACTTTTATACAATTAGCCACTCATGTATGAGCCCCGAGGTCGTGTTAGACTTACCGAAACAGATCCAGAATCATCGTCAGGAACAACCATTGTTGAACATTGGCTAGGATTTTCCGTTGTACCACAAACGTTGATGCCAGACATACTGTCACAGACTGCAATTGGAGACTGTTATGTGCTGTAAGTTCTCGGGTATTCTTTTGACAATTCCTGTTCACTTACGCAAGGGGTGGTACGCTGCACGCAATCATCTGCAGCAGCGAATGGCATGAAGGCAACCGCCAAGACCAAGATGCTAGAGAGATGCATGGTGCGGAATTCAGTGATATCTGGACTTGATGCAGTGATGAGGTGAGAATATATGAGAAAAGAGACACAGAACAGCTTGTATGCAAAGCTGGGGTATAAGTACTCCAAGCTGGATACCTCTTCAGGCCACTATGAACACCTGTCTCGGTCCTCCTTACCGACTGTTTGAATGCCAAGACATATGATCCAGTTTGCAAAGTCAAAAACTGATTGTTTACTTGGTGGGTAAACAAAGCACCGATAACAGTTAAACTCAAAATCGCAGATCCTTACCTCGCTGTTTTGTTTCGCCTTTCAGCTTACGTATCTTGGCATCCGCGTTGATGAAAGGTGGATATCGATCCCCATCTGAAGTGGGTTACATATATTAAACCAAGACAGACCCTTGAAGAGCTAATTCTTATGACTCGTGCTATCTCCGACACTGACAGTTTTCTCAGCATCGAAGAGGGTAATCACGTTGAGGTCTTTTCTTCCAAGGCCTGATGTAACATACATTCTCCAGATTTCGAGCTATTCTTCAATTCACACCACATATAGTGATAGCATCTTCTACTAGGTTTATACTTACCAATCCTAGCATTCAGACTAAAAGAGAAAATTTATGAATTTGCTTTTCGGAAGCGGAAGGTCACCAACATAGGCCAAGTTCCGATCCGAAATCCGGAAGCACGTTTGCTTCAGCCGATGACCTGTCACGAGCGGGTCTATGGTTGTAGCTACGTGTCTAAATACATACTTAAGAGGAGTATTTCTGCTATCACGAAGTCATTTTTGCTTATCATAATATTTTAATAACTGCTTTATTTTGAACTACCATATTTATATCTTGGATCTCACAGAAAATGGCACCAGGTCGTCGAGACGTTGAGTTCCCCACTGTTGACGGACTAACCCTTAGGGGTTGGTTCTACACCGCCAGCGGAGATGGAAAGCACCCATGCATTATTATGGCGAACGGAGTGAGTTCTCCCTGAAGAACTAGCCTGGTCATCTACTAATCTTTTTCTTAGTTGGCAGGTTTGAAGGAGCAGTTTTGCCCCAACTTTGCCCAGCGGTTCCAAGCCGCTGGTTATGGAGTCTTGCTCTTTGACCACCGCAACTGGGGTGCAAGCGACGGTCTTCCGCGGAACGAGACGAACCCCATCCAGACTGCTCGCGACTACTCAGATGCCTTTGACTACGTTGCCTCGTTGGACGAGGTTGATTCTTCCAGGATTGTCTACTGGGGGACTAGCATGTGCGGTGGTTCCGTTCTGCATGCTGCCGCTTTCGACAACCGTATTCAAGCGGTGATTTCACAAGTCCCGTTTGTATCTGGTGAACTGCTCAGTACGCACCTGGCCCCGATTATTGTGTCCCTGTACAGCAGCCGACAACAGGTCAAAACTGGTAAACCTACCCCACTGATCAAGCTATTTGCTGAGACTCCCGAGGAGAGCCTCCAGCCCGACTCCAACGCCCTTCTACACGATGAGAATCTCTGCGATTTCATCAAGGCTTTAGACAAGGACAAGTTGCCTTGGACTCCGAACGTCACACCGCAGACCCTTCTTGACGTCCTTGCATTTGAACCTCTGGCTTTTATGCATCGAATTGCCCCTACACCTCTTCTCTTGGTCTGTGCAGAGAATGATATGTGTGCACCAACATTTACTCAGCTCAAGGCCCATGCGCTAGCCTATGAGCCGAAGAAGCTGGCCATATTAAAGGGCGCTGGTCATTTCGACCCCTACCATGGCAAGGTCTTTGAGGAAAATGTCAAGGAACAGTTGGTCTTTCTAAAGGAGGTCATGTAAGAGGCTTCATTAATTGATTGATAGTTGAAGCTTATGATATCTCCACGAGATGCATCAAGCTAACACACACTTCATGTCTTGTAACTTAGAACTTAAAATCTCCACTTATTATAATTATAACATGGAATGTTGAATGTTTTCTTAGCTACAGCATGATAGTGGAAAAATCAACGGCTGACTGACGGCTTTTGTGTTACAACAGGTTCGAGGTCGACCACCATCACTTGACGAAGTACAGCTATTAATTAGCCAACCAGCAACATATCCTCTAATCCTCGTCTGATAGAAAGTCAGTACCAAATTCAGTTTGAGAGGCATTGCATGGATAGGAGTGGCATGTCACTGTTCTCAGTGTCTTAGAATGACAAGCATGTATAAAAGTGAAGTCTAAGACTGAATAAATCCTGGTAAAACTAATTCCGCATATACCATGCCAAGTCCCCGTCGTTCTTCTCTCTAAAGGTCAAGCCATTGCCCATAAACTGTAACCGGTTCTTGCTGGTATACTTGAACACGAAATCTTCGGTTCTAAACTCTTCTAACATCTCCTTATAGTGAATCACACTACCAGGGTATATGGCTGTAACCCTACCGTCGCTGTTTCCTCTCTTAAACCAGGACCTGCAGTCACCAGTCCAGACTGTTCTTTTAATCAGTTCTTGGGTGTAAACATTAAAGTCATCCAACGCATCCTGACGAACTTGGACTGACCTAAACGAAGTAGCAATTAGTCAATATGAGTTCTCGTGGACTTGAAAAGAAAATATAACCTACTTGATATTCTGTGTCGATATTTTGCGGATCCATCTCGAGATGTAGTCCACCGTAAATGACATTACGGCCAGTAGGCTTCCGTGTGCCAGAGGGGTGTTTGGTCCGTTGATAGTGAAGAAATTGGGCGTGTTTGCAGCAAAAACCCCAAAGTAGGCCTCTGGGGCATCTTTCCATTGCTTGGCGAGCGAAATCCCGTTCTGACCCAGCACCTTATATCCAGGAACGAAGCTGACATCAAATCCTGTTGCGCAGACAATTATGTCAAACTCTTCCGTCTTTGTTAGGCTGCGGATGCCACCCTCAAAAATCTCCTGAATAGGTTCATCTTGGAGGGTAACACTTTCTTGCTGCAGCGCTTCGAGATAGTTCTCACCAGGATTCAGTCGCCGATAACCAACTTGGAATGTCGGGATAAGCCTGGCGCACAGATCAGAGTCGTGGTTGAGTGCGTCCTCCATCTTTGCCTTGAACTCCCGGAAAGCGTGTTGCTGTTCTGGGCTATCCTTGATGGAGACCCTGAAGAACTTGTTCATTGAATGCTCAATACTATGCCGGAGCTGGAAGAACATATCCTCATCATCCTTAAATGATTGGATCTCCTTGTCAGTGTATGTAAAGTTCTTGCCTTCTGGTGTGAACTCTGAGGCGAACGCGCTACTGATCCAAAACGGGCTTCGGGCATAGTTGACGATCCTGGCTGCCGTAGGTTGCATTTGTGGAAGGACTTGCACAGCGGAAGAACCGTTTCCGATGATGGCGACTCTCTTACCCGACCAGTCAAGGCTTGTGTCCCATGCAGCGGTGTGAACCAGCTTCCCCTTGAACTTGTCCAGCCCTACTATCGTAGGCCAGTTCCATTTGCTGAGGAAGCCCGTGGCGTTGATGACTATGTCTGCTTCCTCCTGGACGATATCGCGGCTATGAGCCTGTTGGATCTCAAGACGCCACTTGCCAGTGTCATCGTCCCAGACCGAGGATTTGACTTCAGAATTGAGTATAACGGGCTCATGAAGCTTATACTTATCAGGTGTCTTCTTGATATATCTCCATATCTCTGGGCCTGAGGCGTAGAATTGACTCAAAGAGGGATTGGGCTCGAAGGGGAACGCGTAGATGTGTGCGGGAACGTCGCATGCGACTCCAGGATATGTATTAACCAACCAAGTTCCCCCAATGTCATCATTCTTCTCATAGATCTTCAGGTCCATGAAGTCCTCCAAAGGCGCGTCTCCATGCTTATGCTGATATGAGAGCATCAGCCCTGCAAACCCAGCCCCTATGCAAACAACCTTGAGTTTGCGGGGCTGAAAGGAAGGGCCCTCCTGTATAGGCACCCAGTTGTCTCGTTTGCCCATGTTGACATGATTTAATGAAGCCATTGTTGTGTGCAACTTGGATTAGTTTGGGCGTTTTGCAATTTGAATAGTATCGGCCTGGATAGTGGCGATGGGCGATTGTCAATGAGGTATGTAAATTTAGTCAATAAGCCGCTAAGGATTCTCCATGTGATGAGCGTACAGCTCTGCTAGGTAACCCCTTTAGTCTTTTACATTTAAGGCATTACCGGATCCTTGGAATTAGAGATCTTCGGATCTACTGGTAATTCGGATGGCTCGAAGCCCGGAGCCGGAAGCCCGGAAGCCGGCCGGGTCGGATCAACTCCCGCTTCCATTGGATCTTAACAGATGGCAACTAATTCATCCATGTTCGTCCAAATCCAATCTATCTTAGTACTGGGAATTTTATCACCTTGAAAATATAAAAAATCTAAACTAAGGCTCACTTAAGCATAGAAAAGGTTATAACACCCCAGGGATAGTTCTCAGCTTAGAGCCATTTATATCACAAAGCCTTTTCATCTATAGGTTCATTTTCAAAAAGAGCTTTGTTTTGCAGAAGGTCAGTCTGGAAAAGCCTCGAACTGATCATGGCGACGGAAGCGACGTTAGAGTTCTACGGTATGTTTTCTCAAAACCCTGGCAAGCATCTCAGTCTATCTCGTATATACTAGCTGTCCAAGTCTGGAGTGCAAGGCCTCAATAAAACACTATAGAAGTTACTCACTGGTCAAAATGGTATAGGAACAACTACTTTTAGGCTGAAATGGAAGGGCTTAACCATCTTCCACGACACTTGGCTCGACAAACCAGCGGGTTTGAAACGATACCTCGAGCTTGAGGATGTAACGGAACTGGATTACATTGTCATCTCGCACGCCCACTATGATCAGTAAGTCTGAACGAATATCTCAGTCACACAGCTCACTAATTCTCAGAAAGCCTGCCTGGCTCGGACCAACTCGCTCTCAGAACTGGTGCCACGGTGATTGCCAATGGTGAGGCTATCAAATGCCTCCGAGATGCCGGCGTCCCCGACGCACAGTTGATCCCAGTCAGTGGTGGCGAAAGAGTACCATTATTTAGCAAGGAAATTCTCAGAAAGGCTGCGCAAGGCCTCATTGATCGAGCTCCAGCACCACCGACAGCGCCTCCTATTCCCCATGTCAAGTATGCCACAGCGGCAGTCCACGTTTGGCCTTCACTGCACTCCCTGATACCTGCAATTACACCGCACGACCTCCCTGAAGAATTCAATACCGCTGAGCGCTATACCGGCGAAGTCACCCCCTACGACTGTTCCTTGGACATCACCAAACTGATGCAGTTTGGTCTTTTCAAAATGAAGGAGTTTCTGCCCGAGGAGATCATGGCCCCAGGGACGCGGGCCTTTGCCGATTATGTGCAGGACCGTCAGAAGCACGTCATGTCGCACTTTGATGGCGGCCAGCTGATGTATAACTTTGTCGCTGACGGGAAAGGCATCTTGTTCAACAGTCACTTGGGCGTGTATCAAGGCATCGCCCAGTGTCTGACACCCAAGCCTACTGTAGCTATCCTGGGAGTTGGCGGTCGAGCAAATCTTGATGGCAGACCGTTCCAAGGCTCGGCAGCTGAATTCCTTGTCAAGCAGGCAAAGTGGCTTGATGAACCTACCAGCATTTATTTCTGCCTCAATGATGAAAAGTGAGATTCCAATAGCCATGTCTTTTAATCTTATTACAATGCTAACATTTTCAAGTATCATCAAGCCTTTCAGAGTGGATGTTACTGCCGCAAAGGATATGCTCGAACAGGAGACAGCAGCTAGAGCTATTGATACGCAGCTGGGGAAAGTTTACGCCTTGGATATCTAACTTGTGGGCGAGAATTAGCAAGGACCACTATTTCCATAGATTATGCTAATAAGAGAATTCTTCATATAACCTTACAATCATTATCTCATCGCTTTCATTAGAACCAGCTCAGGCTAGAGAAAGTTAGACTACCTATATCTGAAGTATCTTCGATATGGGATATGTCGACCAACGAGGACTCTTGAAATAACTCCAAAGACAGGTCGGGAAAACTTCCACCAACACTAACAGGGTCACCCTCTAGGGCCGAATCCTCCGTCAAACAGATGGTTGATAGAGAGGTTAAAGGGCTATGCAGCCCCTGGGCGGTAACTGATTCATCAGTCCATCCACCGTCCATCCTCCGGTTCTTGTATTTTGGCAATGGTGCCTTTTCCTGAAGACGTCCAAATAGCTCACCGACCAAATGGCTCTGCTTCTCAACGATACGGTTATTCCGTTGCTCCACATACTCTTCACATACAGATTGGAGCTGCTGCACAACCTGACAGTAGTACCTGGCAATACTATCATGCTTTTCAAACCTCTGTAGCAACTGGCCCACAGTGACTAAATTCGATCGTAGCGGGAAAACGTGGTCCAAATCTGCAAAGGTAGCGACACCTAGGGTCAGAGCAGCAGTAAAGGCAGAGTGGACCGGAAATGGTAACCGTTTGGGTAAATCCTCTCTTGTAAGGATAGTCTCAAGCAAGTGTACGATGCGTACAGCTGAGTCAACTGAAGCATACACAAGAGCTGTGTCGGCATGTGATGGTGGTGTCGCTCCTTGTTGATCTCGATAGCTGTTATCACTGACACCTCCACGCATTGCATGTGTGGCCGCTCGATCAAGGAGAACAGGCCGGGTCAGCAGCATGATCGACCAGTAGTATGACTGCTTCATGTTGGAGGATGCCAGGGTGGGTACATATTCACATCCTTGAACTAGTTCCGCGCCCTCTAACCCATCAGTCTTTAGACCGGAAGCCATGCGAGTTGCCCATGAGCGATGCTCCTGAGTCATGGTAGTGATGAAATGCCTTGAAACCTTGGAAGGCCCGTAGACCTCCCTCAAGACGGCTTCGATGATAGCTGCCATGTCAATGGCGGAAGAATAGCCCTTCTCGGCCTTTGTGTTGCGAGTCTCGTATGTGCAGATAGGTCGACCTAGAGAGCCACTGGCAAATGTATCAAAAAGTCGTAATGCTTTCCAAAGACGTTCACGGAAAACAGAAGCATCGTGACTCATGTGGTGCGGTTTGTTCACTTTATGGATGCCCATGGCGCATGCAAGTCGGCATGCGACCCCGATGGAGTGATATGCGGCGTCTCGTCTTCCTGAGTTTATCTGGTAGAAAGCGATCAAGTTGTGACACAGGATCGACGAGAGATTTGGCCCTTGGCTCGATTTCGAATTTGTCAGATACCTTGCATATGAGTAGTATGCTTCCGCGGTCGCATCTTCATCTCCCGGACATGTAAGCGCACCATTTGCGAGGATCAGATAGCAAATTGCGGAGGAGAGGCTTGTAGCGTCATCCTCTCGTTTAAGCCACTGCTCTATCTGCGCTTGAACTTCTGATTCGTCCAAGGCACCCAGCAAATGACTTGTTGCCTGCATGCTCCAACTAACCAGTTGTTTCGCATGGGAAGGGCTGGGCTTTGGTGGGGAATCAGACCCGGCAAGTGGGCAGGAGGGATCATGATTGGTATGGTATTGTATTGGCTGTTCGACAAAAGGGCACGGTCCCAGGGTCCGAGTAACGAGTTGGCGGATCTGCTGAAGAAAAGATTCATTGGCCGCATCTCCGAAATAGACGGAGCCTTGTTGGTCGTTCTCTGCTAGTCGATAAGTGTCAGGGGATGTGGTGCCGAGGTCCAAAAATGAATCTCCAAGCTGGTTCGCGGTCTGTTGAAGTGGCTGGTCTTGGGTAACAATCGAATAGTCCAGCAGCATGTCTGTCAGTGGCTCCGGGGCGTCTCTTGGATCTACACTGGAACTTTGGCGGGAGGATATGGACACCCGCCGTTTTGGAGTTGAATAGCGGCAGTCCGAGGCAATCTGTCGGATGGCGCATCGGCGACATGGCAAGTTGCCGTCGCATCGCTCTTTTCGGCGTTTGCAGCTCTCGCACGCTGCAGCACAGCGACGACGCATGCTATCGCTGAGCTTCTTAGTGGGCATCTTGCATAAGAGTCTCTTATATAGGCTTGTTACTCCAGAGTAGAAAATGACGAGAATAAGAAAACCGATAGTTGTCTACGACGTACTCCGTAGAGTATTTGTAAACTCGCTACCGATAAGACTACCCGTTAAAATGCGGGGAAAATGGGTAGTAGACTAACTGGTAAACTATGTGTCGGGTATTGAGTCATAATTAGCCAGCTGGTATCAACGACTAACCATCTGCTAAATAACATATATAATCGGCTGGCAAGATATATGTACTGGGAGGTGCACACGAGCTACATACAGCCGATATTAAGAATTCAAAGTTAAAACTCTATCAAGCCAAGCAACTTATATATGCAATTAAGACTTTAGGATGGTTACAGCATGTACAATTTTTACGGTGATCCTGCCCTGCACTTCAAGCCTCATACCCCAGATAAATACCCCGCCTTTCATCCGCTACTACCGGCCATTCCGGCCTTCAGCAAAGTCCATCCTCCGTCTCGGTGTTGCGAAACTCCGGAAACGCAACAATACCGCTAATCATTTCAACTCAATATCTCACCTCCGTGACGACCTCTACTGCTTAGATCTTTTGGCAGTCTTGTACAAGATAGTGGCTACAGGCAGCAGCAAGCCTGCTAGGAAGGATATAACCCTGCCCAGAACCCCATCGAGGTCGATGGTCTTGAGAAAGTCAGCACTTTCAAGCTCCTCGATCTTGAATGTTAGTACAGCATAGGTGTCGACTCACCGGCTGGGCTGTGCCCCCGCTCTTAGCCACCCAAGCAAAAGAACGGTCAATCATCTTTTTCTCATATGCATTGCACCTAGTCTCGATCTCTCGGGCAGACAGTGGCGGGCCCACTTCTGCCGCTCTTGTCAGTGCGAGCAATTCAGGTAACATGTCAGCAATGTCTCGCATAGCTTGGTTCCCGCCCATTCCCCTTGTGTCCTGTTAGCAGATTCTTACTTGTAGCTTGTGAACCGACTTGCCGGTTTGGCTGCATGGCATGGACAGCGTCGCCCACGAGCCATACACGTGGGTGGCCCTCTTCAGGGACATTGCCATTGTGCGCCCGAAGTCGCTGCCGCCAGTCTTTGGAGAGCTTTTCACTCGCCCGGAGCCTTGTCACAGTTATGTTATCCTCATCGCCAGCCCCAGCTGAGAGCATGACGTGGCTATGCAAGGTGAGTGAACGATAACTAGACAAGAAATGGGTTGCAAAGCTTACTATTCTGGAGCCCAGTCGCGAACCATGTCAAGACAAAACTGTCGTCTATCGGGAACATCACTTGGGTTATCGAAGGGGCACAACTCGCGAGGAACGGTTAAGCTCCAGTAGAATGATGCTTGATTCTCGTCAAAGTCGAAGTCGTCATCTTGCTCCTGACTTCCGCCTTTTTGTTGGGAGGCGGGCAAGTAAACTGCACAATGTCAGTGGTGAAATGGTAGAGTATCAGAATCAATAGTATCCTACGCGCATAGTAGAGAGAGATGCCATTCTTAAACACCAGAACTGGCCCGTCCAGAAGACGAGGGGGCAGTTGACGCAGGCGTACCTTGGTAGCATTCCCTTTTGACAGAAAAGCCACATGACTTTTCATATCGACGAGATTCTTGGCCCCAATCTGTTTGTTTATCTGAATAATGATTTGAGTACCTGCTATAGTGGAATGGGGAGAGTGGGTAGGGAATCAAGTTTGTTTCACTAACCTTTGACCCGCTGCCATCCGCAGCGACCAGAATGTCACAATACTCTGACGAGCCGTCTGTGAAGTTCACTTTAACGCTCTCGTTTCCACTGGGCCCATTCTCGATAATCTCGTAATGCGAGAAATGCTTGCCGAACTTGACCTTCCCCTCTGCAATGACAGGATCAAGGAGCAAGTCGCGCAGAACGACGCGATTGATGGCCGATGACTTGGAGTAGGTCGGAAGCGCTGACAGGTCCAGAATAGTCTGGAACTTGGTGTTGCAGATACTTGGTGCTGTCTTGGAAGAGCTTGAATATCTCCCGAGCTTTTGCACGATAGATTCCAACTGCGAGTCGGTCAGGCAAGAGGCCAGGCCCGTCAAAGCAGGATCACCGAGACGGATCTGGTACCCTTCCCTCTTCAGGGTTGCTTCGTCCCGCTCGAAGATAATCGTGTCAACGCCATTGTTGATAAGTCCGTTTGCTAGCAGTGAGCCCGCCAGACCACCGCCAACTATACAGACTCTGAAATTACCCATGGTGAGTGTGTGAGAGAGCAGAACAGATGATGATTTTGTTGATTTACGATCGATTTGAAGACTTGAGAATGTTTGGTGAAAGTATTAGTAAATAATGTAATCACCCGGAGCCCACCTAAATTAAATATAATGCGCTAGGCAACTGACCGTTGCATGTCCCGGATTGAACTGCGAAAGCGTGGAAACTGTTCCGGCCCGGGGACCTGGGATCCGAAGGTTGGATTTAATATGTTGAGGGGAATAGGTGGAGCTAAGAAGTGTTTTAGTCCCTAAATTATCTGGTAATAGACACTTACGGCCTTTTGAATTTTGCATTTCCTTATTAAAATATGTATTAGGGTTTAAAATTTATTATATATATTAATTAAATATTAGAAAGCTTAAGTAGTAAATAGAATTGGATTATTCCCTCCATATAAGAATTCAATAAAATAGTCCATTTACCAGTTCAAGCCTACTTATTAGAACTAAGTTCCAGGAGTAAATCCTGCCTTTATTAAATATCTATTAAAAAAGATGACTACTCTGTTCTCTAATGAGACCCAATTACTCAACAGACAAGTATCTGCCTCACCCATCTCCACACTGGCATAGCCGGTCTTCCGTGATGGGGTTTCGGGACATGGTGCATCTGCATCTCACCCAAGCCGCCAAGGCCAAGGACATAAGCGGGGGGAATGTTGGTCATTTGCGCAAGCCGAATCCCATCGGATCGGGGGGATCCCGTGATGTTTCCGTGTGTTGGTATACCGAGAGGTTGCTGGTCCACTGTGGCGTTCGTAAGCATGGCATCCAGGAGCCCTTAGGTATTTTTGATATATGAGCAGTTCTGTATATGCAGGCCCCTTATCTGACATATCTTCAGTAAACTAAAAGGCTCTTGTTCCTTTCAAGACCATTCAACATTTAATTTCTCAGTGATAACATCCCACTTCAGTCATCTGCTCTATTGCAAACCGCAGGTCTTGAAGGCAGAAAGATGGACCAGTCAGTAGCCTGGGCCCTTGCCCATACATCAGAATTCTTCGATCTCCAAGCTCACCATACCCTCGTTGTTGGCTTCGTTGTTGTATCAGCTGCTGCATATTTCTTGTACGCGGCTGTTGACAGATTCTACAAACTTCGCCTCCACCCCCTGTCCAAGTTCCCCGGTCCCAAAGAAGCTTGCCTATCGCAAAAATGGCTGCTCCGAGTTTCTGAGCAAGGCAATCCAGAACATTTATTCCAAAGGTTGCACGAGAAATACAGTCAGTTTCACCCGTTAAAGCCTTCCTGTTATTCTTCTACTTACCGCCAACGAATCAGATTCAAGAGCAATCCGAATTGGCCCCAACGAGCTACACATCGATGATGTCAAGCTGTACAAATATATATATAACCAAAGCTCAACTTACATCAAACATGAAGCATTCTATGCCGGCTTCAATACTCCACACACTGTTTTTGCTCAACATATTCCCAGCCTCCACAAAGAGCGACGTCGACGTCTGAACCCATTCTTTTCCCGCCGTGCGATTGGACAGCTAGAAGGCTTGCTCAAGGAGAAGATTGAAGAGCTTGGAAGACGTATTGATATTCAAGACGGCCCTTATAATATCTTCAACGCCATAAGATGCACCACCGTCGACATTATTTCTCACTACAGTGTTGGAAAGTCACTTGGGCAACTTGAGAAGAGCGATAAAGGGTTCAATGGGGACTTTCTAGAGGCCTTTGATGCGCTTTCAAAGGTCCTTTGGAAGTTTATGTACAAGCCGACGTTTCGAAGAATTGTCACAAGCATTCCCACGCGAATCGCCAAGGCTGCGAGCAACGAGACTCGCCTCATGTTCACGATCTATGATGCGTGTTATGCGGCTGCTATCAACTTCAAACGAAGTCCGCCGCAGTCTCCCTATGGCACGATCTTTTCTAACCTCTCCGACCTTGATGAGAAAGAGATGGGAGCTGAGGCGGTCGACCTCCTCATTGCAGGATCTGACACCACAGCATATACATTAGCAGTAGCTGTTACCCAGATCGCACAGAGTAGCCGGATCAAGAAGAGGCTTGTTGAGGCTTTGGATACTCGTATTATCAATGCGGAGAGCTTGCCGTCCTTGGTGGAGTTGGAACAGATTGAGTACCTGAATGCTTCAGTCCGTGAAGCCGTACGATTCGCCATTGCCTCGCCGGGAAGGCTTCCACGGACTGTACCTCGCAACGCCCAGCCTCTGGTCGTGGGTGACCAAGTCGTGCCTGCAGGTAGCATCATTGGAATGTCAGCCTACACCATGAACTTCAGCAAAGAGCTCTGGGGCGAAGATGCTGATGCATTCAACCCTGACCGTTGGCTAGGTATTGGTGGGAAGAGTCTGGATGCCAATATGTGTTCATTATCTAAAGGCATACGGAGCTGTCTTGGACAGAACTTGGCATATGCAGAGATACACTACATTCTCGCTTATCTTTTCAAGAAGTACGAAGTTAGCTTGGTGGACAACGAGGCTATGATAGAAGTCTTTGATCGGTTTACAAGCTATGTAACTAGCCACGCTGTTATGGTGGACTTGGGACGGCGCGAGGCACAGTGACCGCAACAGTTGGCAGGGAATTGTGATAACTTTAGGAAATTGTCAATATCAGAGCTTTGTAGGTAGTTGGTTACTTTAGTCTCTATTTGCTTGGGATGTTAATACAAGGGCCTTAATGCCTGCTCTTGATCTTCTTTCACGTAATAAGATAATTAATTATATATACCAAGGAATTAGGTTACATCCTTTACTATTTACTATAGTTTTATATATACTGGTATTGCACGCTGCTGGGTCATGCTTGGCTTGCTTTTCTCAGTAGCCTCTAAATATTAGATAAGAACATCTAACAGGTAGATAACCCTTGGCCACTCAATGACTACAAATTGGGCAGAAACCATGTTCCTGTTGTCGACGGAGAGATGAATGGCCCCTCGGGTGGACAGAGCATCACTTGGACTATGAGGGGCTCGCTTCTGTGCCAGCCCCGAGCGCTCGAGCTGAAAACTATACTAATCGAGTTTATTTTAGCGGGACGGCCTTTTTGCGGACTTCTGCTAAAGTCCGGTACGATCGTTTCGTCCCGCTGCCGCCCGGTACCCGGACCCGGACCCGGATCCGGGCTCCGATCCGGGTTATGTAAGAAAGAAAAGTCGACGTGCAGGTCATGGGGTACTATGAGCCCCTGGAAGTAGACTCCTAGGAGCGAGTTTATAAGAGAGGATTCATGCTATAGGCCAGACCAAATAGCAATCACAAGTCCATTGACCACACTCTTCTATTCACACAATTAATCACCAGGATATTATGTCTCTCGACGCAAATTATAGAATTCCTCAGACTCAGCAAGCAGCTGTTAGAGAAGGCTCAGGTTCTGACTCGAAGGTTTCCGTAAAAACTATCCCCGTCCCTCAGCCGGCCTCACACCAGATCCTCGTCAAGATCAGCTGGAGTGGTCTTTGCGCGTCGGACAAATGCTTACTCCGCGACGAATGGACCGCTTACAAAGGGATGCTACCTCCCATGGCCCCCTCATCACTCGGAATCGCGGGGCATGAAGGAGCTGGAGTAGTCGTAGCTGTCGGCGATGACGTTTCTGCCCTTTGGAAAGTTGGCGATCGGGCTGGGGTGAAGTGGGTTGAGTCAACCTGCGGCGTTTGCGAGATGTGCTCCAACGGCTTTGATGAAGTTCATTGCCCACAAGTCGTCCATCATGCCGTCGAGGTTGCAGGCACCTTTCAGGAATACTGCGTCACCGATGGGAGATACGCTACCAAAATACCTGATGGAGTCAAGGATGAGGAGGCTGGTCCTATTATGTGTGGTGGGTTCTCAGCATATGCGGCTTGCAAGCGAACGGTTGTCAAGCCTGGAGAATGGCTTGTCATCCTTGGAGCGGGTGGAGGTGTCGGGCATTTTGCGTTGCAGTATGCAAAGGCTATGGGGATGAGAGTCATTGCTGTTGATATGGGGAAGGAAAAAGAGGAAATTTGCCGCAGATTGGGAGCTGACACGTTTATTGATTCTTCCAAAGATATCGTGGCCGAGGTGATGAGAATCACTACCTACGGTGCTCACGGGGTTCTGCTTGCCACCCCATCGAAAGGGGCATATGATATAGCGCCACACACTCTAAGAATCCGCGGAACAATGGTGGTAAGTACTCTCCCTCCCTTCCAACTAAGCTTGCTCACAAGTTCTACAGGCGCTTGGCATTCCAGACTATCCTGCTGTCATGGCCGGATCATCAGCTGCTCTTATCATTGGAAAAAAGCTGAGCATTGTTGGAAGTCTTGTTGGGACCAGAAGGGAAGCCGACGAGGCACTCGACTTTGCAGCGAGGGGATTGATTCATCCTGTTTTGACTAAAGGGACGTTGCATGACATTGAAAACTTCTGTGACATGCTCCAGGAGGGTTGTATCGCCGGAAGGGTTGTGATTAAGGTTTCGTCTTGAACTTAAGACAAAAAAAGCCCTTTTTATTAAACAAACTCTATAAGAATTATAATCCGCTTCCCTGTAATTAATTCTTTAAATTCTAAACATTTTGCCTTTATTACTAGGAATATAGTTTAACTAAGTAATACTATAAGCCCTATTAACTCTAGAATTAAAAGTCCTACTGGTATATTATTTAATATAAGTTAATTAACATTAAAGGCTTTAGCTATTATACTAGGGCTTAAAAATTCTACTTTTCTTAAAGGACTTGATTTAGATATTTTTAAACTTCTGTTAGGGTTAAATAATAGCTTATTTTAATATATCTTCTAATACTAATCTTAGTTACAATAAGTCATAGGCTTTTAAAGTATATTCTAAGATATTATTATATCCGTAATTAGCTACTAATTATATAATATAAGCCTCTGCTATCTAGCTGACATTAGAAGTTTATACTGCAGGCTATTAAAGCAGACGCCATTAGAGATGGCTCAGGTCCTGACTCTAGAGTTTTAACAAATACGTCAAGACCTAATATTCAAATCTATGTACTATAGAGATATATACTAAAATGTTATATAATTCTGTAGAATTCTACCCCAGCGCATGCTCGATCACAGCCACTGAAACAATCTAAAATACCTCCCTTCTAGGCATTCCTCTATGAGAGTACAGACACGGAAATCTTGTCTTATCGCCCGTCACTCTTGAACTTTTTCTCCGCTCATCGGAAGTTTCCTTGTCCGTTGCAGCGAGACAGGGGAGGGTTGCTACCAGGCTTAGCACAAGCAGAGATAGCACCTTCAATCCAGGTGATGCCGTTGTAGCTTCCCTCGCCACGGCTATCGGCATACCAAGTACCGACCTCAGTGGCAGATCCAATGCAGCCGCGGAACTGACGACCAGAACGACGAGTGGTGAGAGGCTTGGTGATCATGACACCACACTGACCGTCCTTGATCGTAGCTTTGGTGATGACGGAGGTCTGCGTGGTCCAGGTGCGGCTGTAGTTGATGCCAAGAGACCCAGCCAGTTTGTCCTTGACGAACGTGAGATCGACTCCAGCACTGCCTCCAACGGTGTTGGCGACGCTGTAGCCTGAAGACACACTGATGTCCATGTCCCCGACGGCGCAGACAACAGGCGACATCTGCACGTCCCAGTCGACAAAGGTCTCAGTCTTGTCGGTGGTGATGTAGAAGGTGCCGTCACAGTCAGCTCGCTTTCCGAGCTGGCCTTTTGAGGCTTTGGGGTATTTGGGCTTGGGTAGATCAGTACCGTTGTAAGAGATCCAAGACGGGTCCAGCTCGGGAGCACCAATCTTGATGCCTTCGGCCTTGAGCTTGGCAAGGTAGGCCTCCTCCTTGACGACGTAGGCTATTAGGTTTTCAGCATATGTTCTCGAAATAGTCTTCAGAATGCCAACTTACAAACACTCTTTACAGGAACAATGACATCGCCAGGCTGAATTCGGTGGTTGGGAGTCCACTTAATGGCTTCTGGGAAGGGGGAGTCTTCTAACGGAATCGCGCCAGTGGCAGAAATGAGCAAAGCATAGACGAGGCTGAGATGATGCATCTTGTAAAGATTATCAGACTTGAGTTTGATATGAGAGATGAGGGAGAATGTGATTGTATGAGTTGGCGCGGTTGATTTGCTCTTCGTTAAGTAGGAGCCAACCAAGTATTTATATTTGAGCGTGATACTCAAACGCGATGATCAAATTTTGGGTCTTATTCCAATGAAAGTATCATCTTCTGACTTTCATGTCGCCCAACAGCACTAAGTCTAACGGTCCTCCTAGTACTGCTCAGAAAACGGATCACGCATGCTACGTCACTCCATGCATTTGACAGCTTCTAGGCACGATGTCAATCCTTATTTCAATAGAGTTTGTGTCTGGGGCGATTAAATAACGCACTTTCCTTTTCTGACGCGAGTTCTGGAGTTCTGAAGTGGAGATTCGTCTCAGGTTTCTCAGGGTTGTTGATGATCAAGTCACTATTGTAGTTAGTGCATTGGTGGGGCAACCAAACTAATAGGAACAGCTGCTCGTATAGTGAGAGACGTTAGATCCTTTGGCACTGGGTTCTTGAATCATGCCATGAAAATATCGAATTTGTGTTACCTGATAGGCGGGAATATTGTACCAAGCTCAACTGCCGATGTACGGCTTCACCGATGATCGGTTTACGAATATCCTGTTTGGATCAAAGAGTTGTTGTATAGGCCCTTGTATCTTTAGCTATTACAGAAACTCTTCTCGGACCGGCAAGAACTATAATGAATGAAGAATAGAGAGAAACTGTATAAAGATCTTAGCTCATCTACCGTAGAAATTCAACTAGCCAACTCAACTTCCTCAACCTATTCTTTCTTATTGTATCCTATTCATCATGCAAATTTCTCTCTTCACAGTGGCCCTCATGGCCATCAGCGGGTTCGTCACGTCTACACAGCCCCCCGACGTCTCCTTGCAAAGAAGCTAACGACTTCGTTGACTGAACGGATAGTGCTCACGCTGCTCTTCACAAGGCTGCTGCCTGTGTGTCCAACAGGGTGTCGTCCCCCGTAGGCGGAACCCCATTCAGCCCAAGCTACAACTGGCAGACCACCTATGAAGTCCTTGCCGATGCTACCAAGTGCGCTTGCGATATGTATAAGCAGCGAAACACTGGTGGTGAGATGTGGGACACGTGCCCTGATTGTACTTTTGTGAGCTTAGGCTGCTCTAAGCCGGATCGCCTTTTTTTCGCTAATGTTCTCACTAGGATGGAACAATATGCAACTCGGCAGAGGGCCACATGGGTGGCGATGAGGTAAGATTAGAGAGATTAATGTGAAATTAAAGATACTGATCAGTTCATAGTTTACGTATTACTGCGAAGAGAAGTGTGGGGCTCAGGGTGCCGAGGCTGATTAATAGTTTTGGGACATTTGTAGTATCATAGTTATACTAGAGTAGCAGTTTTATCTACGAAGTTGTTTTAAGACATCTGTGTGTCCAAGCTGTCATTGGTACATGTGTTGGAAAAGCACCACAAATAGTGTAATTGTCTCAATCTTCCTTTTCAACAAGATTTACACAAGCTGTTTGAGAGTACGAATAGGACTGGTGAGGCTAATGCGAGGAAAGCACCTTGGCGACAACGCAGAGTGCTAGGGTTACTCCTGTTTAGTCGAATGGTTGAAAAAATGCAGTCGAGAGCTGACGTTATCCTAATGGAGGCGAGGGTCGTGGTTGAAGGACATAATACAAGAACCCAATAGTTCGACTGATGTTGGGTATCGCGACATTGACTATGGATCTTGTTCCAAGACCAGTTCGCCTTACCAGAAGGTTCAAAGGCTCTTGCAGAGTGTAGAAAAAGACCTTTTAGAGAACCTGATTACAATCGGCTTATGGCAGAATCGCGAGAAGGGACGACAGGCCAAGAAACCACGCTGGACTTTCTATGACGAGAGTCGGTACAGGAACACTATATCAGGGCAAAGTGTCTCAAGCGATCACCTCATACAAGAACTAAGGCATACTTATTCAGATATCTTGAACTTCATCGACTTACTCTCGGAAATCCTCTAGAAAATAAGAAATTATCTTGACCAACAACGCGCTGATGAAATTAAACGGTTTACCTATGCCACAGTTATCTTCTTGCCTCTGGGGTTCTCAACCGGGTTGTTTAGTATGAGCAGGGCGCCAGGCAGTTTAACTCTGGCCTACATGATCGCTACAGCAGTTTCTGCACTGCTCATCACGACGATAATTTTGCTTGATTCAGAAGGAATTGAGTCGCTTTGACAACGGCAATCCCGGTCCAGTTTCTCTCGTTTCCATCATCAACCGCGTGTACCTCCCTCCAACCATGCCGAACAGAACAAAATGACCGCAGAGAGGCCCAGACCATTGGAGGAAAAGGCTAGGAGGCGGTTTCATTGGCCATTTCATAGAAACAGAAGAGAGAGATGGTAAACAGACGTTGGCAGGCACTAATTACTCTGGCGCTCGAGATGGCCTGGAAAGTAGTGTGTAGGCAGTTGGAGAGTCTCACCTTAACTAGACATTCTGAGAGTCCTGGCGCGCTCTGTTCTGACTGTTAGAAGCTCGGAGCCAAGGAGCCCATCAGTCCCAGAACATACTGTTATACACCTGTGAAAGTACAAGTAAGCTGCGCCGAAAACGCCCAACCGGCTGTATTTTAGTGGCCATTGATAGGAATTAACTGCGGCGAAACAAGGCCACTCGGATAGGATCAATAAAATAGAACAATTTACAGCGCCAAACTCCATGATATATGCGACAACGGTTATTATGTCGTCATTCAAACCGGATATGCTCCTTCATAACTCGGTATTCTCCACCAGGTGCCAAAGGCTCTCTCACATACTCCAACCATAAATCATCAGCAGTATGTTTCTTGACGACGACACTCAACACCCTCCGTTCTCTCGTGATTCCATAAGGCCAGATAAGTCGATCTCTCGGCCATCCATTAGCCAGCCCTTCAGCAAGTTCTTTCTGCTCCCTCGCAGCAGTAATACCGGTCAACTTTGTTGGAATGTCAGAGCAGTGACTCCCCAGATCCCACAGCACAGGCCACTGTTCTTTCTGATCGGTGAGAAAGCCCTCTGCCCATTCGCTGGACTCTTCTCTCGAGATAACTTCATACTTGTTTGGGTAATCTTGGATAGCTTTAGTGCCATGTGGTATCTCAAGTCCCTCCTCCTCAATCTCGATGACTCTTTTAGCCATTGCAATAGTATGCTTTATCATTGTAAGGCTTTCGACTCGGCTTGTCTTTTCTCGCTCGTAAAGAAGTTCAAGTGCTCTTCTCCGAATGGCAGGTTGTCGACACTTGGCCGCTATCCAGTAAACTGGACCAACAACCTCGCTTTCAAAAGTGAATGATGGTCCCTGTAGGACATCATTATCGTATTTAACAACGAAAGCTGCGGAATCAGTAGCAATGGACATTTCGCAAAGGCTGTTTCTGTCGCAGACGTAGTCGGACCCCGAGACCATTGAGTCAAGGAACACTATCATGAGGCAATGGCGCATCGTCAGAAGCTTTGCCGTTCTCATGTCTGGTCCATGGAGATCGCTGAACGCAAGGTACGCTTCAAAAGCGTGACGCCAGTTCGCCAGCTCACGGATGATATGTTTGTGTCGTGACTGCAAAGTATCTCCCTCAGTATCCGAAGTCTCCTCTTCGGCGCCCTTTGAGCGGTACGACTTCACCTCGTAAATGACAGTGAATCCGAGATCCACGAGGTAGTACAAGACGCATCGCGCGTCAAACAGAGAAGCGAACTTGAGCGGTGTCGTCGTCATTTGTAGAAGATGCCGTGGGAAGTCAACTCTGTCATTACCGACATATGCGAGGCGTAGATATATCGGGGCTAGGTATTGTCGAATGATGTCGGTTTCTGGTGTTTTGCGGTCCTTGATATTTGCAAGAAGCCTTCGTCCTTGGAGGATATGCATCTTGGCTGCGTTTTGATGCTCGTGGCCTAGCATGAACTCAATACAGACAAACAGCAAGCATACGAGGAGGGGCTTGACTCTTGACTCTGTGGCTAAGGGCCATGACCGCACGGCGAGGATGGCTTTGTTGTATTCGACGATGGCGGGTCTGTAGTTTGGACAGATGTCTCTCGTATCCTTTGTCTTTTCAGCATACATCAGACTGATTGCTGAGATGGCATGCCGTATCGCGGGATCAGTGGGTGCAAGTCGCAACACTAGGTTTCCCCAGAAGTCGCTGTCCACTGTATCGCCAACTTGGTGAGAGACGTGGCCTCGATAGTAGTCAAAAGCATGAAAGCTCAGCTCTATCCCAATATCGTTATTGAGGGCACGTGTAATTGGTGGTCGTTCTCGAATGATTAGTGTCTGCTGGGTCACACTGTCCGTATCCCCATAGCCGTCGCATTTGCGGCCAGTGCCAATGCATCGTTGACAGCCCGGCCTCGCCTCGTCACATTTGATCTTGCGGATTCTGCATGGATCGATCAGATCAGCACGCGATGTGATTTGGGTGGATCTCGTTAATCTCACCTGCATGTCATGCATCCAGTGCGAGCCTTGGGAAGTCCCTTACGGTGTCGCGGCTGAGCAGCACGAAGTAAGACTCGTGGTCGCTCTCTCGACATTAAATTGGTGGTGGAAGGGTTTTACTACTTCCTAGTGCGTTAGCCAAGCGGCGCCAACGAGGCGAATTGGACATAGAAGCCATTTTTCTGATGATCGGAGCAAGAATATCACAGGCAGTTGATGTACAGAAGGGCACAGGACTTACAGTATTAGACGATAATGGCACTTTGTTGGGCTTCGGAAAACGTTAAGCGGTGCTGACTCTGGGAACATGCAGTCAGACCTCAATTAGTACCGTCATCTGAAACGACCCCTGCGGCGTAATTTCGACAGTTTGTATTAGCTCTAACCAAAGACACGGGTTGTCGGGTAATAGTAGGTTAATGATCGGGTAAGCACTTGACGCTTTGGCGTCGTATGTTGCTGATGTTGTATCAATGCGACGCTGAGGAGATTGATATTGGCTAAGTCGGTGTACACGAGTCATGTGGTCCATTATGAAATTACTTGGCCGAGTCAGGAAAGAGATAAAAATAGATCGTATGACTTTTTGGAACGGGGCAGTGGGCGGGTAGCTCGCTTACACTTCTAGAAATAGTTAGGCCATTTCATTCCAGCTCTGTGAACGGAGAAGTCTAAAGAGATACTTCCAAGCCGTGCAGAAAATTATTGAGCATATGCGGTATATATGCGTGAGATATACATTTGCGTAAAAGACTTGTTAAATTTTAGAATAAGAGAGTACTGAAGAATGGTAAAATATAGAAGGTAGGAAATGAAAGTTTGTTTTGGTCCCTTGACCATCGCAGGGCACTATGGAGAACTGGATTAGGTGCAGTCGAGAGGATGAAGAGATTCCATTGTGGGCTCTCCAAAGACAACAATCTTTCTGCAGCAAATAACGAAACAAGTCTTCAAATACAACAAGTCAATTAATAGGTCATATTTTCCATATCATGAATGAGAGCCTTGACCTGGACCATCTCCCCATCATCATACTTTGGGTTACCCTGTACTGACCCAAGCGGCGCTGCCCAGGCAGCCAAGGTATCGCCAATTTGTCTCTCGGTAAGCTTCCATCGCTCAAGCATTGCGCAAGCAAGATGATAATATTCGTTGGCATGTTGCATGAACCCGACACGTTTCCACATATTTTCAACGGAGTAGCCGTCGGAATCGACCACTACATGGCCTCCTCGTTGCCACAACCATTTCCACTGACTTAAGCCAGTGGCTGCTGGCGTTACCTGTGACACGTCCACCAGAGTGGTCTGGTATTGGAATACCAGACAACAAAGAGCTACACTATTGTCAGACATGAAAGGGGGGAGGACGTTGAACCTACCCGAGATAATTGTAAACATGTTGAAGGAACTGAGGTTGTGAAAAATGCTCGGGTCTAAGCTGTGAGGTGAGCATAAAAGTCGAACAGCAGACGATACTGTTAGCCTGGATTGGTTTTGCTTTCCCATGGTAGCCATGTGCAGTTGTAGGAAGCATTCCGCGGCTGATTCTGCCTGGAAGCACACCTCAGGACAAACCAGTCCAGTATTGAGCTCAAGCGATATTACCCTCGGCGGCAGTCTATAGTACAGAACAAACGCCGAGTCAAGAAGATAGATATAAGTTGCCGTCCTAGATAGTCAGAAGAAAGCAGATAAGGAGTGGAACTTGAGCTGTGCATACCGAATCATGCTTTCAAGGAGTATAAACCTGGCCCATTTCTGTTGAGTAGAGAACGTAGTATCCAGCTTCGCCAGGCTCAAGTTGTAGAGACCAAATGATCTAGCGATCTACCAAACACGATTAGCGAAACTCCAAGATGCGCATGCGATGAGGCGTACCGAGACAATGCGACTGTAGCGATCCTTTCGAACACGCTGTCTCCCCTCTTTCGACCCCTCCCAATTCTGCGCAATACATAGAAAGTACGCAGCATGCAACGCCTTCAGCTTATCCCACACTACTGCCTCATCCCCAACAAGGTCTGAAGACGCAATGATAGAATCGTCATATAGGATATTGTCGGCAAAGACTACTTCCTCAACGGGAGTAAGCCATGCCATTGCACGTACACAGTCATTAGAGTCCGGAGATAAACACGCTCCCAGAACAGCCATCGATGCAATCAGTCCTGGGGGCTCAGCTTCGGAGTTGAAGGTTGGTTTGTGAATTATGGGACTATTAGGATACCAGCCGGACCAGAAGAGAAGTAGGAACCTGTGGAGATTGCCGGGTGAAAAGAAGTCGAGACAAGCCTTTTCCACGATGGGAGACCATTCTATGCTGGCATGGGAACATGATCGCGTTCGAGTCAGAGTTCTCTTTATTATGCCCAAGATCTCACCTGTTTTAGCGGTCAAATCTTGACAAGAAGAGTCGTTGAGGGTGTTGTTCAACTGGCGTCTTTGAGCTAAGGTACCGCAGTCGAAACCATCAGCGATGCCGGATGACTCGGTAAATCGTTTTAGAAACGGTACAGTTAACTTTTGTCCTGGAACTGTCTGATCGAAACAGGGTCCAAGATGCAGGTTACTTCTGCGGATATCATTCCAGACATCGAAGTTGAGGACTGGAAATGGTAGGGACTCACATCGAAGCCACTCTAGTGAGTAGTCAATGACCTCAGCCAAGACGACAGGCATTGCGTCAGCTGCTTTAACAACACCATCGGATATCTCTTGTTGGTATACACCATTCGTCTCTGCTTGTGACGAATCTTCTGAAACTGCTGATGTCTTGGAACTAGCTGCCCGCTCGTAAGAGCACTCGTAGTTCCGTATACTGCATGTACTGCAAGGAACACTGCGATCGCAAGCGCGCTTCAATCGGACGCAGCGACTGCAGGCCCTTGGCTTCTTCAATCTGGGTCTACGAGCAGGCAGAAGTGGTATATCTGACCCATTTTCGAGGCGGACTTTGCAAATTCCCCAGTGGCGCTTGAGAGCATCTCTGAGAAGCATCATCAATGGGCATGGCTGTGGACATTGGGGCGAGAAAGACATACCTGCGAGTGAATCTCCGTTGGCAAAATGAACAAACAGAGGGCGAGTCCGAAATTTCTGCCAGGTTGACAACGGCCGTCAGCAACTGGATAGTTGAGAGCAGCTTTTAAGAGACCTGGGCTGCAGTACATACCTGCACGCCGGGCCAATGGATCTGACAGCTGCAGTTGAGACGTAGCTGTCGCCGTGTCCATGGTGCGCAGGACAGTCTCCAGGTTATCCCTGAGTGCATGAGGTCGACGTACCCCGAGAACTGTCAAGATCTTGGCTGAAGATGTTTGCGGACAAATGGCAGTGCAACTACCGATATGACAATCCCACATACAGATCATATCCCGTTTCGTACTTAGCCAGAACCTTGTTTGGCAGAAAACGCGGGGAAACTATAATAACTTCATCGTCATTGGACATTTTCCATTTTGTGGCGGTGGGCTTTTCCCGCTCTCCCCACATGCTGAACAAGATGACTTGCCCTGATTTCAATTTAGTCACGGTTGTCTAGGGTGCGGAGGTGGAAGACATCGCGACGCCAAGCTAGTGGGGCCGCGAAGATATCATGACCGACTTATAGCGATATAAACGGCCTGACGTCGCGTTGATATACGAGGAAAATGAAGTGTAATAATTGCTCTACTGTTAATTCAACCACCGAAACTCTCAACAGGAACAACTATTGTCATCATGTCCCCACCTGAAGAACATCATGGTCTCAAGTCCAAATGGCCCCAAGCCTTCGATCTCGCAGGCTCCAACTCCCCCTGTCGAATTGAAGGAGAACTCAGTGATCTCGTTGTCCTCGGTGAAATTCCATCTGCCATCGACGGAACATTCTACCGAGTTATGTGTGATCCCTTCGTCCCTCCTCACCCAAACAATGTGCCCCTTGACGGCGATGGTCACGTCTCTGCCTTCAGGATCCACAACGGTCGAGTTGACATGAAGATCAAGTATGTTGAGACAGAACGATATAAGCTTGAAAGAAAAGCCGGAAAGGCTTTGTTCGGTCTCTACAGGAATCCCTTTACGCATCATCCCTGCGTGAGAGCAGCCGTTGACTCAACTGCCAACACGAACATGGTCTACTGGGCGAATCGTCTCTTGGCGCTTAAAGAATCTGCGCTTCCTTACGAGATGCATCCTGATACCCTCGAGACTCTCTGCTACGATCCGTTTGGAGGCCAGGTCAAGGCAAAAGCATTTACAGCTCATCCGAAAATTGACCCATTCTCCGATGAACTCGTTGTCTATGGGTACGAGGCCAAGGGTCTAGCGACTAGGAATATCGTCATCTATGCGCTCGACAAGAACGGGATTAAGCACGATGAGCAATGGATTGAATCTCCCTGGTGCGCCCCCATCCACGACTGCGTTATTACACCAAATTTCATCGTTCTCATTCTTTGGCCATTTGAAGCGAATGTGGAGAGGATGAAAGCGGGCAAGCAGCATTGGGCTTGGGATTACAACCTTCCAGCTACTTTCATCGTTGTTCCTCGTCGCAGGACCTCCAAGGTTCCAGCTTCCTGGAAGCAAGGAGAGCATCGAGTCTACCATTGGAAGAATTGTATGAATATTCATGCAGGCAGCGCTTGGGAGGAGGATAATGGAAAACTGTATCTCGAGTCATCTCGGGTTCACGACAATGCTTTCCCATTTTTCCCGCCTGAGGACGGGAGAATGCCAGCTCCAGACGCCAAAGCTGACTTTGTTCGTTGGGAGATCGACCTCAATGCCCCAAGTGGGACCCAGCTGGTAGATCCAGAGATTATCCTCGACGTTCCATCCGAGTTCCCACGAATTGACGAGCGTTTCATGACGAAGAGAAATGAATACATATTCTTGAACGTCTTCATCCCCGAGACTTCCCAAGGTGGCAAAAATATCTTCCACGGACTGAATGGATTGGCAATGCACAGTCACAGCACTGGCGAAACTAAGTGGTTCTTTGCAGGCAAGGACTCTCTCGTCCAGGAACCAATTTTTATTCCTCGTACTCCTGATGCACCCGAAGGGGATGGATGGATCATCGCTATGCTTGAGAGACGTGTTGCCAATCGGAGTGAACTTGTCGTTCTTGACACCAAAGAGTTTGAGAAGCCTGTTGCTTTTATACAGCTTCCTATGCATCTTAAGACTCAGGTCCATGGGAATTGGATTGACAGTAGGACGCGGGCATCTACAGAGGCAATTGTAAGGCAGATTGGTCAAGTCAAGATCAGTGGAAGAGGAGCTCTGGAGCCTTTGGCATGAGTCTTCAGTCACACTCTTAGCTTTAGCCTTGAGAATCAGGAGATTGTGTGTATGAGAAGTGTCTGTTATAACGAGTGTCTAGTTATTGAGAAATCTCAACATCTCAAGCTACTATTGCCAAGCCTTTGAAGTCATTGTAGATAAGAACCTCTATCCGTTTGCATGTAGAGAGTCCCCATCAAAGTCAAGACCAAATAAGCCTAAGTCCAGCACTGTCCAGATCCAGGGCCGGGCTGGCACTGCATGCGACCACCGCCGCAAGACCAGCAGCCATAGTCACCAGCGCACTGGCACTTTCCGGGTTGGCAGTCTGCGTGGGGAGAGTAGCAGGGGAAGCAGCTGCAACGAGCCTCAAGACCACGGAGGGCGAGGAGGGGCTGTAAGATACAGTGTCAGTAGAGCTTTATGATGAGTGTGGAGAGGGGAGTTTGCTTACCTTGTCGATACCAGTGTAGGTGTAGCCACCGTCCTCAATGGTGACGGTGTCGGTCGCAGGAGTGGCAGTGACGCCGAGAGAGAGGAGGAGAGAGACGAAGAGAGTGGCCTTCATGATTGCTGCAGAATCTGTTGAGGTTGAATAGTTGAGTAGATGAGTGAGGATGATGAGATGCAAAGACTGCGAAAGCCCTCGAGTTCTTATAGTCTTCAAAAGCTATGAAAAGGCAAACCATAGTGACGCTCGCCCATCAGTGATTCCCAAGATAGTATTCATCTCACGATGTCCCGAGACAGTCTGTGCTGGACTTCGCCGCATGCAACTGAATCCTCTCAAAAGTCCTCAACCATAAGAAATTAGTCCATCATCATCATCATCTCGGGTTGACCCTCTACTCATTGGCTATCGCCTCACCGTGAGGTATTTCTCATCTAGGAAATGAGCGGCTACACATAGGAGGATACAAGCTTCACTAGCTAACCAAAATATTACTAGTATCACTTTTACTCACTATTACATGTAGTAATAGTTAGTGAACAAGTCACAGAGGCGAATAAGTCGTTGTTACGACACTTGCATAAGGGAGGATCGTCGGGTTTACAAGGATCCTCCTCGTATAACATAGACGCTGGAGATTGCACGAGTGTGGCACGTCGCCCGATAGTCCGAGTGGGAATAAAGGTGCATGTGCCGCAAGCTCGGATTCCACTTGGGGGCTCGGGACCGAGATATTATGCTCCATAATTGATCAACATGGACGAGAATAGCCGCGAACCGTCCTCTCCTTTTGGAACATTTGTGATTCCAATTGTATTACTTGAACTTGAACGAAAGTACTTGTAAGATTTGGAGCTGTAAGTCAGGGTTAAGTCCGACCTGAGAGTGCGAGAGCTAATGCAATGGGTGAGATTCCTACGATTGACGCTCCACTTTCCCCAGGGCTACCTAGCTTTGAATTTGTTTCTCCATTTGCTGACGGTGCAGTGATTACTATTCTCAAGGCACCTGGACAATCTGACTTGTTACTGAACAGTGGCAGAGCAATGCACGATCCTGCGCGTGAGTATCACAAACACTAAAACTGTACAACTGTTGTCTTATTCGATTACTCAGCCTCTGTTTCAGAAGTGATTCCAACGCTTGGCACAGTGTCTATAAGCACTTGAGTGATTCCATTTTCATCTCACCAGTCCTGAAGACTATGCCCAATTAGAACAAGGTCTCCCAACTCAGAGCCTTCGAGTCTCAAGTCCGTAGGATGGTCGAGTAGTGGCTTAGCTCATGCAATAATGTCCGTGGGCCACTTTTTCACGACTGCCGATTGGCCCGGGTAGCTTACTCGGAACTTATATGCGGCGCGGGCCGCGGATTATTCCGTATAGCGTATGGTCTCCCTTCACTAACTGAGCCCAACGGGATTCTCCTCCGTAAAAACACTTCCATTTACAGACTAGGTTCCTGAGGCAAAGATCTTCAATCATGTGCCGCAAAGAGGCATTAAATCTAGACTCACGTAAGACGGCATTTCAGGAAGGTGGCCTCACTCGGCTGATTTATTCTAATGCCGTGGTATGATCGACGAATAGTATTCCAAATAGAGCGTTTCATGTGAAAAGATGACTGCATGGCCCTTCTGCCCTATGAACGTGGCGCCTTTCGGATCTCGGCATATATACACCCCCAGAGTTTGACCTATCGGTGTTTATGAGATACCCGTTTCCGCGATTAGCACTATTTCGTGAAGAGGACTTTTGGGGGCTTGTCCGACGTTTCCGCGGAAGCTACCTTTTCCGTTTACCGCTAGCTAAGACGGTGTGAGATTCATGCCTGTTCAGTGTAAGGGTACAGCAATACTCTCAAGACCAGCCCTTCTTGACTGAGCCCTTGACGGGAACCTCCAACTTCACCTCCGTGAGACTCCCAAGCAACCTCCTCCACATACTCGCACTCTCCTCATCTGCCGTCCCCTCGGTTAACGTCACCCGGCTTCCTACAACGATAAGCGCTCATCTTGCCCGAGTCAGAGCAACATTCATCCTTCGCATGTCCTTCAAGAACCCGATCTCACGGTGCTCTTTACATCGCACGGTCACAAACACGATGACGTCCGCCTCACGACCCTGAAACCCATCGATACTCGAGACTTCGATTCGGTAGGGTATACTGGAGAGCATGCGCTTGAGGACTTCGGCTTGGCGAGTATATGGTGTTAAGACCACGATTGAGTGCGACGGGCTCTCGGGTTCTGGACCGCTGGTTCAGAGTTTGCAGATGTGAAGGCAGACCTCTGCTTGTCCTCTATTCTCCTTTAACTTTTGGCCTGGCATTTACTTTGCGTCGCAGTTGATGAACATAGCCCGCTCATAGTCTATCGTCCCTGGGTCTCTTCTCTGTTTCGTTACCCTTGCTGGCGGGAATGGGAAGTTAGATCTAATAGGTGGCCTAGCGGAGCTGCTGATGCCTGACTCTAACCTCCCCTCGTAGAACTGCCCTGAGTTGAACTCGCATAGCTTTGGATGTATACGATACTGCGTGTCCAATATCAACGCCCTCAAGACTCCGTTGCCCTTGGAGTGCTTGACTTTGGTGTAGAGTCTCTCAAAGAGTGAGATGTCAAAATCGAGCGCCAAGGCAGTCTGATTGACAGTCGGCCGTAGCTGTACATGGTCTCCAACCAAAATTGCCTGTGAGCAGCCTTTCACAAGTGGGACTGGCGAACTCAGTTCTGTTTGTTGAGAAGCCTCATCAACAGTGACGATGTCAAAGAACTCTGAGCAATTTAACCCAATACCTGCTCCAATGCAGATAGTGAAGATGGTGTCGCTACGTTTTGCCATTTCCGTGGCCTTCTTCAGAGCCTTGTAGTCGGAATGAATCTCCTGTCCCGCCATGGCGTTGCATGTATACTTACGCAGATCATCCACAACTTTTTGCAACTCCAAATAGTTAGCAGACCTCACCTGTGAGCATGGACACTTGGTGACATACCTCAGTTGAGACTCTTACCAGATCTGACTGAGTCTTTCTAGCAAATGGCTGTTTCTGGAGACGCTGAATATACCGACGCATCATGTTATCCACTGCATTGTGAGTCGGTACCGTCACCAGAACACGTGCTTTGGGATCAGCCGTTTGCAGAGCATAGATCATCTCGACAATTGTCTCTGTCTTTCCAGTTCCAGGTGGGCCCCAAAGACAAAGAAGGGAGCTGTTCAATGCCAACTTAATTCAGAGTCAAGTGCTTGGAGCTGCTCTCTTTGGATATATCAAGAACAAACAGCTTGGTGGTCGTATCCTGAACTTCCCTACAGATCGAACCAAGGTATTATGCTTGCCTACTGATCTTGTCTGTGATGGCGCATTGTTTATTCTTCCTGCCCAGTTTCTATATGGTACGGATGCTGCAATCCCCGGCCCCTAATTCCTTGTCACCCCAATCCAGAAGAAGAACGCTGCCTGATAGAGTGCTTCCTGCTGGCTCAAGTGAGCATTGCTGGTCGGGTTTGAGGCATATACTTTGCTGCTATGCCGACGGTTGTTGACAAGGTGAAGACTTAGTGAATAGTAGAATATTAAGCCAATAAGAATTAATGGAAGCAAATCTCTGAGAGTGATCACAGGGACATAATCAATTGCAGGCTTTATAGTGTCGGCAATACGCACTAATCCTTACGGTCCATACCCTAACTCCGACCCGAGCCTAGAGCTTGTGGATAATGACGGAGATGTTGTGTTTACAAACTTGAAGAGAGTGAGCTCCAGCCACATTATGATCCGGCGAACCTAATAATGAGATATTAACATAAACCTGCTTTCAAGTCCCAGGTTCTAATAGCGTTACCTAGGTAGCTACGGTAGAGGTTGCAAATAACCAGGGATTAAATTGATGCTGGCTATGGGTATCAACCTCATCATGACGATAGCGACCGACTAATTGGATTGACGGGTGTGTCCTTCAACGTTTACTGGGCTTCGGTGATCACTCTCCAGAGATATCTCGGTGGAGCGAGCAGTTGAGAACTAGACTGGAATAGGTGAAAAATAATAATATGCTACCGAAGAACTTGCGTAACTGGGTAATCCGACGATCCAGGTCCTAGTTAGTACGGCGGGCCGCTCTAGCTGGTGCAGATCGCTGGCAAGTACTCTGTACGTGCCCCTTCATTGGTTTACAGCCTGTGTCTCTGAGACACGGCACACTAGCGACATATGATATGTGGAATATTCACATTTGGGCTACTCTATTCGCGCAAGGAATCCAGTACCTGTCTAATTGGGCAGGTCGGTGAGGTCACTATGTTGAAACACTTGTCTCATTTATGCAGTTTGAGTCAGCACAGATGTTCGAGATCAGTTGTGGCAGGCAGACTAACTCCAAACCTACGTCATAATGGATTATCGGAGGCGAGCCGTAAAACACAAAGCTTTCGAACCAGCGATCTATCAGCACTAGACAATCAATAATTACTTCATGTAATGTGTTAAATGATGTCAGGTTTTCCGTATATGTTGTATCCGTGGATGTGAACATTGTTGGAGACACTTATAACTGGCTATTTAATTCCCTTACATTCGATCATTGTCCGTCAGCTTCAGCAGGACCCTTGACAGCTGAAAGCTTCAGCTTGCTTGGCTGGTCGATCACCGACAATCAGCACCACAATGGGCTGCCAGAGTTTATCTTACATCATATTCAGCATTTACAGGCTTGGCATTGCCGGTATGAGAATTACTGACCGGAATTGTTCTCAGAGATTTGGGATTTCTGCAAAGCCGGGTAAAAGCTGGGCCCATCTGACTCCCACAGGTATAAAAGACCAAGGTCAAGCCGTGTAAGTTTAACATAACTTCTTACAACAATCCACTATTTCAATATTTCTTCATTGTTCTCACGTTGAGCCATACTATTGTACAATGAGCTTTACATTCAACGGCGTCAAGAAAGACGGCAATGGCGCCTACTACTACAACGATGGCGACGTCGAGAGCCATCGAATTCCCCTTTCTGACCAATGCTATGGTGACGTGCGAATGAGTCGCGAGCAGCTCGAGGAATGGTTCGGCATCAGCAACGACACGCTGCCTGATCTCCCAGCCTACTACATCCTGCCCCGCCTCGACAGTACCTGGGGCGGCACTGCCGGTGGTGGCTGGTGGAACGTCACTGGAGACATTGTCGTGTACAAACCAATCGAATGGGTTCCCTCTGTTGCAAGAATCAGAGACTTTCCCAAGAACAGCATCGTCACCAACATCGAAAAGGAACGTGTGGAGACTACAACAACCAAGCTGTATGCAAAAGCAGAGTTCGCCTTGGAAGTTTCAGCTGGAGGCAACTACATGGGGATAAAGGCGGAAGCCAAAGCCAAAACAGAGACTGGTGTCGAGTTCGAGAAAGAGGTTAGGAACAAGGATACCTACACTCAGAAGGGCGTGGTTGGCGATGTTGCACTTGTCGAGGTTGCAGTGGGATTGATGCTTCGTGTTGAAGAAATCTACACTCACAACATCAAAGTCTGGGTTGATGGCCGCGAAAAAGGTGACTCATTGGGATGGCACGGCGGCCCCTCATGGAATGATATTCATATTCCATCGCGATCACTCAGCAGAGTAGGTGGCCTCCAGTTCTCGAAAATCACTATGACTGGGGGCGGACACTCTGCTGGGCTCTATGTCCAGACACTTCCAGTTTTTGACGAAAACAAGGAGTTAAAAGATTTACACATCGCTCTAAGCAACGTTGGTTGGACGGACTGGTATGCTTATGTTGCTGGGAAAAAAGGCCGAAGTTCAGGACGGCAGCTTTTGGCCTACCCCAACTATCGCCCATCGACAACTCTGATGCCACTGAACAAGACTCCAGCCAAGACGGAGTGAATAAAGACAAAACTAATAGGCAGTCCTGGATATGCAGTTAGTTGTTTATCTAAGGAGCTTTAACAGGGTCCAGTTGGTTACTGTGGAAGCCTTTGGGATTAGCATATATTGTGGAAAAACGAAAACTGTATTGCGATTGTTAAAGACTACCCGAGGATAGTCCACTAAGTACAATTAAATTATAGAATCAGAGGGACATCAACGATTGTCCAAGTGCATCAAACAGCGTAGTTGTGCCAAAGCAGACCTCATTAGAGTCTGGCCCGATGTCCACCAGGCCACCCGGATTTTGAGCATCATTGGCTTTGATCAACAGCTCAGCCAGGCTGGGCTTCATGACCCGTTCAAACAGTTCCTCCCACTGTGTCCGGGGGACGATACTGGTCTCGATAGACCGTGCAAGATGTTAGCCGAGTAACCCCGATCGCGTCGCTGGTTGACATCCGTCCATCCAGCCATTTCGAAGAGACATTCCTTGTAGACACAAAAGACCAAGAGCCGATCTCTACGACAATTTCCCATGTATCGCAGGAGCAGGATTCAAAATCAGTCTCCCAAACCGCCGTGCCCTTTTACCATACCGGTGTCTCCTAGACTCTGACACACACTCATACATTTCTGATCGACTACTGGTTTCACACCGTCTGTGCCACTTGGAATTCTTTTGATTCAGCCAAGAATCTGAATCGAAGTGTAGCCTTGAAAGCCTTCCCACATTCCGCAGGACTTGCCTATAGCTTGCAAAGCATGGCCGCTGCATATCTGGCGGAGTATCTGCCGCACTTTCGAGGGATCGCCATAACTATGACTCTAGCAGCCGTAAAGGCCATCAAAAGGGAATTGAGCATGGCTCTCTGCCCTCATGTCCTTCCACGACATCTCCTGCTATCTATGTTCTGCATCGGTACCTCAGCTTGCTGGACTGACCCACTGCAGTTTGGCCTCCCGTTCCTGAAGGAGACAAAAGCCATACTCAAGTCCTACAACCAATCGAAACACTTTCTCTCCAAAGATGATCAAGATGCAATACTCTTCTTCAATAAGAGTACTCTGTATTGGGACATGCTGTGTAGTACCATTGGCGCACAAGACACGGACATCATTGACCCTATTACTACCTCTTCAGCTATGTCGTCGCAGCCATGGAGCAGCCAGGGTAATTTGCATCCATGGACAGGTGTCTCAACCGAGATCATGGAGCTCTTCTTCCGCTCCATCCTTCTATGCAAGGGATTTCGAGCCCGAATGACCCAGGATCATCGACAGAGTTCACGGTCACTTCAGGCCGCCCTCCGTGATATTAAAGAGGCACGGGAGCTCCATCAGTGCCTGAAATCCTTCCCCATACCAGCGGAACAACACATTTGCGACACGGGAGATATGTTAACACCTAAACAACACCTGGTTCAAATAGCAGAAGCCTACCGACTGGCTGCCATGGCCCACTTGTACCAAACCTTCTCTGACCTGAGAAACCAGGATACATTACAAAATGGATACGATCCAGTTGACGCCGAGTACCGAGTCCTGGACTTAGGCTTGAAGATCATACGTATCCTCGAAAAGATTCCCTTGGCCTCTGGTACTCGTTGTATTCAACCTCTTCTCTGCTTGACGGCCGGGATAATCATGAAGGTTGATATGCCAACAATAAATCCGCAGCAGCATACCTCGACGTTGCTGAGCGATATATTATCAGCCGATCTGCGTGGCGCACCGCTTCACGATCCCCAATTTCAAGATATCCATCACAATACCTTGGGAGCTACAAAACGCTCTACCGAAATTAGCCAGGGACGCCGATTTGTACTCGAGCGCTTAAGCATACTGGAAAGTAGTCTCCCTCCCAAGCCTATCCGGGTCGTCAAGGGACTGGTTCAGACCGTTTGGGCAGCCTATGATGTCCAAGGTGCTGGGGTTAGTCAAGTGCACTGGATCAACATCATGGCTCAGTCTAACTTGAGGACGATATTTGGGTAGTCAATGCTTAGGTCTGCTACTTGGTTCTGTCGGAGCGGGACAGCAGCAAGTAAGCTCATCCAGATGATGCTGTGTGGTACCTCGGACAATTTTGGATCTAATAGGACATGGGCGGACCTTGTACTTGCAGAATGGAGTGAGAGATGAAAGGCTTGGAAGGACAACCAATCCAAAGGAAGATAGCACAGGGAACAAATAGAAACCAAAGATGGGACTGATCGTCAAATTAACGGGACGGGTGACCTTTTATTATTATGATTATTGCCATATACTCTTGCATAGCTGACCCTTGTCACCTCTCTGAGGAGGCGATTTGCGGCGGAACTCTAGAATTCCCAGTATTATACGTCTCCAGCTCAACCGAGTACGTATAATCAGCACGTATACCACTCTGCCCATTCACCAATATACCCTTATCAGAGTCTTCATCACTCAATCGCTCCCAGTTGTTGTCCCCTCGGTTAACGTGCGTTGACGTTATGCCTCGATCCGTAGGATTCGTAAACACGCGCTTGGGCCCCCGAGAGCTGCTGTCGCCTATCTTTCCACCACCAATCGTGATGAGTGTATTGGCGTTGGGTGTCCCCGTTGAGCCTTGTGACTCTTGGCCTCGGACTCGTTTGTATAATATTCGTAGTGATGGAAGGGAGGCGGCGATGCAGCCGATGCCGATCTCGACGCAAGAGAAAAGTACGATGTAGCCGATATAATCTGCGAATTCATCAGCAATAACTAGATCAATATAGTTACAGGTGTCAACTAACACTTGAGATTATCTGTCGGTCGCTTGTAGTGAGAGATAAAAGGGGCACGCGCAATGGTCGCAATAGAGGCGCTTCATAAACATTAGTACATATGACGACAGAACAGGTGCGATTCAAGAGCTTACACTGAGGCCAGAGAAAGAAGGCATAGAACTTGCAGCTTAGCTCTGATTGTCATCTGGGTCTTCCAAAGCAAGATTCCCGGAAGCACGATACAGCCGACATCGGTAACAATGCTTGTGGCGGTATTCGTATGGCTAATGCCAATAAGTGTCTCAGTCGTCGCGCAGTTCGCTTTTCCCTCCAAAATAAGAGTCGTGTTCCAGTTTCCTTCAACAGGTCGACAGAAGGTAAGAATACCGAAAAAGGTGACGCAGAACGATGCCCACGTAAGAGCAAACAGACCCCAGATGGCATACTGGATAAGCGGAACGGACTTGGCTGCAATTCTTCTGAGTGTGACGCATACCGAAGTTTTGATCAATGCGACGGCAACGACATAGACCGTTATCCAAATGATGTAGAACTTTTGCGCTTCAGACTGCATCCATGTATTGAGATGATCGTCTTTGGAGCCGATGCCGACTTTGACTGCGTGTACGGCGAGACCTGAGTCGGCGATGTAAACGACCTATCCAATTATATCCGTCAGTAGTAGATCGCAAAGTGTAAAGGAGAGCGCGCTCACCAAGCCTGCGACGATGAGCCAATCATCGATTCCAAAGTTGTCATCTGTCACTCGAACCATGGTGCGAATTCCGACCGTGATGACAGCCAGACCAAGAAACACCAAGACAAGGACGGTCATTGTGAGAGGGAAGTCCTCCAGTACAACGGCTCTAGCATTTTCGTCAATCATTGTCGATCATCAAGTTGGGGATCTTCAGTCAATCGTCAACCAAATTATCAGCCAAAACTGCAGACTTCAATCAGAGTCAGTCCTGAGTTTCCGGGACAAATACGCCGCATCGTTCAAATACCTGCACTAACGAAAGGGGCCAGCTTTGACAATGTTTCTTCACAGCAATATCACATGGTTCATCAGCACTTATCACACAAGCGAGAGAATCCCCTTGAGAAGCGATTCTGGCATGCATTGATTCTACCTCTGTTCCTGGGACCGTTCTCGTTCGTAAGAGGCGAAGATGAGCACAGTGGCGAGCTCAACAGCCAATAGGAGAGTTTATTAACTTCCCGGGCCCGACGTGCTCAGAAATCCCCCTTATTACCGAACCTAAACCCTTGCTGGAAGATTGGTGCGATTTACCACCTAGCGGAACCGATGCGGGCCCATGTACCGGGTTCTCGATCCTTATGGGGCCTCAACGACGAACCGACTGTTGATTCTCTCGCAAGCGAGGGTGTTTCGCAACCGTTTGTTCTAAAGCTCCGATTAATGTAGCATCAACCGTTTACACGCAGTGGAGCGCATCGTATGATCCTCAACATCAGATCAAGTGAGAACACAACTTTCGGATCCTTCGTAGGCAACCATGCTGAAACTATTTCGTTTCTCGCGAGCATGTCCTATCGTGTGATTATTTGTAAGTCTGTGCCATGATTCATTGTGTGAAGCTCTCTCGGTTTTATGCTGGGAAGAGTCCGTCGCTCTGTAGGAGAGGAGATGCAAGGACGTGACGACTGGCAAGTCGCATCTCTCCCATTGTCAGACACAGTATTTCTGCATCAATCGATTATCAAGTTTTGAAGCGGCGATTACTCTGCTTCAGATCAGAGGCTCAAGTCATGCAGGTACCATGGCCATGCACAGTGCACCTTGAACATGTTTGCGGTCCCATTGATCTTATCCAGCCCTTGACAGCGCGAAGGATTCTCCTGCATATGAATGTGAGTAGGAACAGAGTTACCTCAGCCTTGAAGTCGCATGGCTCTGGATAATCACACCATATCGCTTAAAAGAAACCATCAGTAACCAGTACAACCATCTCCACAGATCTCGCGTCTCGGCCCATTCTTAGCGTAGGTGCAACATCTATATAAACCAAATTCTCATTGGCTATGGCGGACAGCATCTCCATTGAGAAGCATCATCGCTGGTACAGCACTTCCAGTCCCCCATCCTTTGTATATTTGCTTTTCTGTTTCAGCTGTGCGCCGCACTTGTCCACTACTCTGTTGAGCGATAGCAGCAACGATGACTGGTCAACGAGTAATCAACGTCCGACCTATGGGCGCTGAAACAAATGCCCCAGGTAGAATCTTTCAGCTTTCGGACTTGGATCACCTGATGCCCAAGCTCTACGTGCACATGATTGAGATTTTTGAACTGCCCCAGGATGTTTGCAAAGACTCTATTGTCGAGAGTCTGGTCACTGGGTTGGAGCGTACACTGGTTGATTACCCCATCCTGTCGGGTCAGTCATCCGCACGGCGTTACTCAGCACAAAGACTAATTGGCGTGAACAGGAACTCTACACTTTGACAATGAAAGTCGACGCATTGTGGTGAAGAAACAGGCAGAATCTCACTTCACCCTCCACATCAAGGACGCTAGCCCTGAAGATTTACCCGCCTTCCCTGTTCTAGACAAGCATGACTTTCCCGTTCATCTTCTTGATGCACCCAAAGTACTACCCGAACAGTTCGTCGGCCCCCACTTTCCAGTCCCGGGAAGTGACATCTCCGTCATTGGTCCCGCAGTAGGAGGTGCCCAGATAACATTCATCGAAGGTGGCATTATTATTGGCCTAGCGATCACGCATCAAGTCTGTGATGGGCCAGGCTTTGAGAGCCTATTCACAGCATGGGCGAGATACACCGCTGCCGCGGCCAATGGGAACTCGCTCAATGGGTTTGCAGCATCTAGATCTGAGATACCATCACGCAGTATCCTATCACTGGAAAACAAACCCAAGCTAACTGCTGAAGAGCTGGAGAGGTTGAGTGCCAAGTTCCCTATTATGAAACTTCGAGATGGTCCTCCAGCTCCCCCTCCAGCAGACTTCAAGATGCCAGTTGTCAAGACTCGTATATGGCACTTCCCCAAAAGCAAACTACAACTACTCAAAGCAAAATGCAGTGCTGGTCTGGAACCAGGAACTTGGATCTCTACTTATGATGCCATCCTGTCTATAATGTGGCGTGCAACTGTCCAAGCCAAGTCCAGGCTTCTCAAGCCAGATCCGGCTATACCATCCAAAGCAGTTCATGCAGTCAATGGCCGTGGGCGCACCGGCTTCCCAATTTCAGATCGATACATAGGCACTGCTATCACTATGCCGCATTCAAAAACATTTACCATTTCTGAGGTTCTTGGTGACCTGGAGACGACCCTACCAGTTCTTGCTCGGGCAGTACGCGAGAGTACCAACTCTGTCAATCCAGAGTACATGTCAGATCTCATCAAGTATGCAGCAGGGTCTTCAAACCTTCAATGGTCAGAGCTAGATATGCATTGGGTGCTTGGTCTAGACTGCATGGCTTTTGACTGGCATACCATGAAATCATACGAGAACCATGACTTTGGCTTTGGGACGCCTGCCGCACTAAGATGGCCGCATCCGAATTTTGAAGGCTTCTTCTTTGTACTTCCGTCTAGAGCCGGAGTCAGAAATGCTGGGGAGGATGAAGGTATCGAAGTCTGTTTTGGTTTGGAGGAGACTTGTTATGCCCAGCTGGAGAAGGATGGAGAATTTGCGAAATATGCGGAGCAGAGGGGCTTGGGTGTGTGATATGCCACATCGTATGTTGTTGTCAGTTGCCTGTCTTTCCGCGGCGAGTAGATCGCCCGATGGCTTGAAAGGATGTATGTCAATTGTGCCCATATGCAAGTCAGTATATTTTACACGGCCAGAACCAGGATAGGAAGTTCACCGGCTCAAGGTTGATGAAATGCGTCATACTGATGGTGAGGCTTCTGTACATACCCAGGGCCATTCGGCCATCTCCCAATCAATCTTGTTGTGACTGAGTACGGCTTGCTGTAGCCATCAGTTCAGTTCAGTAAGCCCTATCAGCATCTCGGCTAGATTGCAGCAGCAATCATGAGATGGCTTTCAACTCGGACTAAATGAACGTTGAATGCAGTTGCACTGTGTCCGCCCTGGTTGACACGCGCTACAATAAAGAATTTGTTTCGTCAGTTACATCTTGTTGCATGTGATGGTGCCCAACCAGACTGTGCTACGTCTAATCCCAAGCCACTTACTTCAGTCAACAATAAAGGGACTTGTAGGGGCTGATACTACTTGTCATTTAACACGGCAGATGGGGAACACAGTACTGAGCATAACGAAACATGCAATACCGATGAAGATGACATTTACGTAATATTTACGTCGAGGGCAGAAAATCACTAGCCGCTTCATGAATATATACAGCACTGCTCGCTCTACAATCTCATGATAGTCTGAGTAGCAAAACATCCATTTCGCTTGGAATAATCTGCAACATCATATTTTCAAACCCCATCACTCCAGCTCATGCAAACATGGCGGAAACCGGCGTTGCGCACAAAGTCATCTCTGTTATTCTCCGTCTTTCCGAACTCGCCTCCGCTATAATCGTCCTGGGCATTCTCTCGCGCTTCACCTACCTTGCGGGCATCGCGCAGGTGCATATTGACGGACGCATCATCTACGCTATCGTCGTCGCATGTCTCGGCATTATTTACTCCATCTGCTTCTGCCCGCCGTTCAAGTCCTTGTTCTTAGGCTTTCCTTTTGACTTTGTCATGTTTGTCATGTGGCTCGTGGCATACTGCTTGCTCCAGACGGTAGCGCCTTGCCATCCTCTAATCACCCCACGCCTACTGATCCGCATTCATAGAGAACCGGGAGTCACACTTGCTCTGCGAGTTGGTACTACAATTATTGGGGCTACTACTGGGGTCGCTATTGGCGAGTTGGACCTGTTGGGACGGTGAATGTTAACTCGGCGGGTTGCGGCTCGTGGAGGACAGCCCTTGCGTTTTCATTCATTGCGTGGTTTCTCCATCTTCTGAGTGGCATTCTCGTGAGTTATTTCCACGTTAAGCAGAACACGGCAGAGCTGACGCGACCAAATACAGGGTATATACGTTTTCCGTACCTATATCAAGCTCGACGAGACAAAGACCGATATAAAGCAACATGCGGAAAAGCTTGCCAGGTAAGCATGAACCATTGCGGTATTTAGATGGTGGACTAATGATTCTTGCACTCAAGAGGGGACCCCAAAGTCCATGGTTATCAGCGAAATTCCGAAGCGACAGATAATGTCTAGGCCACAATCCATCTCACACTGTTCCAGCGTTCTAGCCAAGGGAGGGTGCAGGCGGGGTAATGTTAATCTTTTGGAGTAAGCAGCCACAAACTGCGGAAGCCGAATGGCATAATTTCATTGGTCCACGGAATATACCATAACCTACACAGATTGAACTTGGTGCAGCATGCACCTAATATAATCCATTTAGTCTTAATCAGGGCCATCCCCAAATAACTTGCATATCACACACAGATACAATGACATTTTGTCGATTCATTTGTGGTTGAAGCCACCTACAAGACTCTTGGCACACTCGACAGGATACTTGGTAACAGCTGCCCGCACACCATCACTCGGGGCTTACATCTACCATCTTCGCTGGTCCTACAAGAGCATTAGACTTTCTCGCCATCCCCGCAAGCATCAGACTCACCAAAAACAAAGACAACGACAGCCTCCCTACCCCGCCCGCCTAAGATCTCGACTCCAAAGTCAGATACAGCACATGAGGCATCAAATTTATTTGCCCCAACATACGGGACACTCCACATAAACGCAACCTCGTTCCTCCCCTCGAATCCGACGATGCGGTATGTGATCGAACCATCAAGGCCTCCGCCTATATGACTCGACTTGCAGCGTAGCATGCCGCTCTCCCCTGCTAGAATTGTCTGCGGCGGCTGTAAGTCTGGCGTCTTGTTCCATTGGCCGTGGTTGAGAGTTGGCCATTCAGGCTCTGTGTTGAGCTCCTCGTTGGTATGGTTTAGAATAACGATGAGTAGCTCCCTCGTGGCCATGGCGTTGTTGGTCTAGGAAGTGTTGGTCAGGAGGGAGATGTTGGTCAAGACTGGGTAAAAGAGGTGAAGATATGTTGGAGATGTGGCACTGCAAAAATAGTCGTTGAAGAACGCCGCGGCTCAATACACTTTATATGGCTCCATTGGAGGAGACCAAACACGACACGGTCATCTTGCTGGCCATAAGATTAAGGTTCAGGCTGCCGACACAGATGATAAGAAAACATCACCATGGTCACCTTGTGGTGTTGAAACTGGGAAACCAGAATTCACAGTCCCCTCGCCATCCATACCCCCACAGCTGCAGAGCTCAAGCCAAGGAATCACAGATTATTGAGGGGATCCCCTAAGCTAGTTGACAACACACCACCATCCCGAGAACCCACCTTTGCCAAGCTGCATAAGGCGCGTCAGATCATCGTAACACTCATTTGAGTACAGTGTCCAACCGTATACTGGGAAGACACCAACGGTCAAGATGGTGGGGAAACATCAGCGGCCGATCAAGTTTAGCGGAGACGATTAGTGCGGGGAAGCTGTCAAACATTATACCAACAAAATATCAGCGCAGCTTGAACGATCTATGACACTAACAGGCACCGAAAAGGTTGCCACGTGCCATAGCATTGCGTCTATGTGGGAGAGAAGACGTCATTGTGATAAAAGGAACACTGGATAGTGAAAGGCTGTAACCTGGATCGTCAGGGCACACACCCAAATTTGAGTTTTAGTAAAGCTTAAACTATGATACCCTATGACACAGTGTCATTTAGACTCAGGCAGCACGCGCCAAAGCTGTTCGAGTTCTTCGGGCGTTCTGGACACTCAAGTTTTATGTGCTTGCTTCGCCAGTCTCTGCCGTAGGTTGCTGACAGCGGTCACCAAGTCTCGTGATGTTTATCTAGCATAAGGGTGCCACCCCATCTATCCAAGCTCGTTAAATTTAATCATGCCACGATGGATGTCTCTGTGTATAGGTTTGAAATAGTTGAGGATTCATAGTCGCCTGACCCTTTTAGGGCGAGGTATTGAGGTCTTCTTCAAGTCAGAGTACAGTTGCTATGCCCAGCATCAGGATGAGGAGTTTGCGAAATGTGTAGAGCAGAGGGGATTAGGTGATTTATATGTCACGACGGTATTACACTAATGCCAGACCCGTTAAACGGGTTTTCTTGATGCTCTCAAGTATGCTGATTGGACCCCTGCTAGAGTAAAACGTCACCTAGTCTTGTCATCACACTTACATGAGTTGCTGTCCACTCAGGTCCGCACTAATGCCATTGATGATTGTTTACTCGCCTCAGTATAAAGAGCTGAGCTTTTTGAATGCCAAACGGGGCAGGATAGGCCGAATCTTCCAGACAAGGTATAGTTTTATGCTGTTGCTCGGATGTTCGGGAATGCCAAACTCTGCGAGATGACAGTGGGTGATTGGATTACAGTTGGCACTTTCTAATGCTTGCTTTTCGAATGTTACTCGCTTCCGCATTATACTTTGACATGCCATTTTATCCAAAGTTTCATTGCTTCTGCGGCAAGACTCGGGTCTCTAGAAGCGAACCCGAGCCCACGATGTAACCTCGACTTCAGCCGCAGCGAATTCCATCAAAAGCCTCACCACTCTCCGTCCAGAATACCACGTATACAGCGCCCTTTAAGACTTTCAAATTCGCCGCCGGACAACAAATCCAGACAAAGAAGTCTCCGAAGCCCGCGAAAGGTCTTCTAATTTCGGCACTCTGGTAGATTAGTCTAGACAGAAAAGGGTAAGGGATCTTGCGCCCGTTGTGAAAGGCTAAAGACAAGCTTTCAGCTAAGGTTAAAAAGTGTAACGTCGTGAAGCTCTAGAACTAAGTGGAACGGACCTGGGATTGTTTCAGTCGATTTAGTTTCGACCAGTGTTTGGCAGGAGGTTTTATAATGTTGACTAGACGTTTCGAGACTGGTTGGTTTTGGGACGTGGCATGATTGTCGATAACATCAGCCCATCAGTTATTGCTTTTTCTTTATGTTTTGCATGTCATGTTTCGGCTACTGGAATGGCATTCTGACAGAGTCCCAAGAGCCAAGTTCACGGTCCAGTGATCTGCGCTTCAATCGTGGAGATAATTCCAAGCGACGATTCAATGCTGATCAAAGCATGCTTTACTCCTAATAAACCTCTTGCAGCAAAGCTTGTCTCTCACTCGAGCGCCTCTTTACCGTTTCAGATCTCGGAAAAAGCGGCATGCAACCAATAAACCCCTACGGCCCGAGACTCCTCGGTTAGCAGCACATTAGCCAATACCCATGCTCTGCCCCGTATCTTGGCCATGCAGGGATTATATTTGTACCAGTTCCTTCTGGCGTGTCGATCTCTTCGGGAAGTCCCTCCGAGCTCCCTATTCGAGATCCAACACCATATTCAACAAATGGTACCAACGGACAATTTCCTTGTACTGTGCCGCAGACGCATGAAAATCAGTTACTAACAATACGTGTCAAAGGGCCGAAGGAGAGCGCTGCGGGAATTTGCTTGCTTTTTCTCATGTCCAATAAGCTCCGTTTTCCGCCGACCGTTTCGAATCCTTGCTTTTTCCCACTGTAGGTTGAGATTAATGACAGAGTGATTCGGATTACCGCATGCATATTCCCAGTAAAATATCCTTCATCATGTCTTTGTAAACCAACTGCGCCAGTGCGCCCCGTATCTGGTGGCGTCGCGAAGCGATCTGACATTGACCACCATAAGCACTTTACCCCTGTATTTGACAGTTTTTAGCCAGATGCATATGACATCCGTCTCACAAAAGGCCCGGAAGTTTGTGGTGTGTCAGCTCGTGTGTGTGCTTGCCCCGGTACTGGATGATCTGTGAAAGCTTATGATGCCGTTCATTGTGATTGTGCTGTAGTGTAATGATTCTCATGTGCTGATTTCGGAACCGGCACCGCCGCACACAGGCTGTATGCAGGACGTCACAGAAGAGAGCTTCGGCTTTTCATTTAATCGACGCCAACCCCATCTCGTTAGACCTCAATTTTGAATCTCAACTTTTGGTTTTCTTCATTTATGAGTTGAGCTGCCTGCTTTGTATCTCGAGATATGGCTGGCGTCGCTAAAGAGGCCGTGGTGGTAAGTTACCATTCCGATCTGTCCTGGTCCACTGCCTTGATCAATCCGAGCCATGATCTGCATTTCTTGGCAAGATTGAGACCATGACTCGCTTGCTAACCGCGATCTACGATGCAGCCCATCGAGGCCGTGCTCTTCGGAATATCAACGCTCCTCGTGCTCGCTCGATTAGCCCTTCGAACAATTCGACAACACCAGAGTCTCACCGTCAGCGATTGGTTTCTCATCGCCTCTCTACTCGATGCCGCTGCGTTATTTGGGACCGATACGGCAGCGTATAACTTGGGGGGAATGGACGAATATGATCCAAGTGCGCCGCCGCGAAGTATTGAGGATCAGATCACGTTGATGAAGGTCTCGTTTGCGGGAAACTATTTCTACGACACGGGTGTATACTTCCCGAAGCTGGCGTTGTTGGCGCTTTACTTTAAGCTTATTCCACAAACACTACCGCTGCTACGAAAATTCCTCTATGGAGTTACTGCTTTGACGGGGTCGTTTATGCTCACGACTTGTTTCTTGGATACCTTCTGGTGCGGCTCAAACGTATCTGTCAATTGGGAGATTGATGGAGAGTGCAGTACTTTTGACTCAAAGACTGTCTTCCGGATTGATTGGGTCATGAATCTCATCTCCGACATGCTTGGTATGTTCATTTCAGTGAAGGTATGCTCAAGTAATCACTAACATTATTGACAGTCTTTGCACTGCCTTTCCCGCTTCTCTTTGGTCTACAGCTCAGCAGGCGGTACAAGGCAGGTCTGGTTGCGATCTTTGCATCTGGACTCATCACATTGGGAGCAAGCATTGGTAGATTTGCGACTGTCGAGGCAATTCATGCCTGGACCAATGTTTGTGAGTCAACATCATCAACTTCAAGTCTTCCGTCATGACAGATTTACTGACTTCCTCAGACGTCCTCTCCATGACAGAGATCGCCGCCGCAATAGTCGTCGTATCTCTCCCCGCCCTCAAATCCCTCCTCCACGGCCTCGGCCTGCGCTCCTCTAAGCAAAACACTACACAGACAGGTTCAGGCTACAACAAGCACTCAGGTACAGTGACAACCTCAAGTCACTTCAACAAGCTGTCAAGCGGCCGTGACCACCACAGAGAACTGTACGCCTCCACGGCTCGCGTGGCGGTGGGCGCCGAAGAAGACTCCGGCAGTGAAGTGGAGCTGACCAACCTTCAAGGTATCTACAAGTCGGCCCGCATAAGTGTGACCTACCAGCGAAGAGAAGACGGTGACTGGCAGGGGAATTCGGGACGGGGGTGAATATGTGTGCTGTTAGAGTATGGATGGTGGTGGATGGATGTAAAGCGTTGCATTAGATATGCAGGTGGACCAACAAAACGGGAAATGGCCGGGAATAAGAGTGACATAACAGTTGGTCTCACTGACCCCGAGTTATGTATAATAAAGAAATATACACATAGAATATGACAGTTTACCATAGATCAGATCATCATGCATGAATTCTTAACTTACCCTTTAGTTCAATGCAGAGTTTTACTGAAACGTGTGAAAACCTTGAACCAACAGAAAGTCAATATTGAATCTCTTATTGGTGCATTAACAAAAAGACTCCCTCCCTCCATCACAAAGCTCAAAGATCAACCAACACACACATCGTCTCAACACTCTTCCCCTGTCAAATTCTTTCCCATGTTACATCCGTTGGTCCCAGGTTTATTCTCGTTTGCATATCGACGGAACTGCAACCCGGCCAATTACCACCTCTCATTTACAACCCCTCCAGTTTTAGCCCCCATGTCAAATGCTAACCCCGGTCATTTTCTCAATTAAAAATCCCGTAAAGCAGAAATGCGATTGCTTTTTCCGTTTCCCGATACGTCCCTCCTGTCCATGGCCCGACTTGTGCCGTAGACTTGCAGCGGGTAAAACTCACCCCATGGATCCTCCAGGGACCTTTTAGTGTTGCATTCTATGCAGTAGGTCGTTCGATATTGTTGTTTTTTTCTTTTTTTTCTTCTGTAGCCGAGGTGCTGGTGCTGTAACCATGCGGCGTATTAAATAAGCACCATGAACTGGAATTTTAAAGTATACCTGCAGTCCTGTGAACCTTAATTCTTTTTATTCTTCTCTATTGCCGCGAGTGCACCGTTATATTTCCCGTTGTTTTTGGACTGGAAGACAATCGGAGTTCACAATGGCGTTCTTCATCGATGGAAAGGATTGCATGGTAGGTCACTTTAGCTATCGATCTTCATATCTGCAAGCATACTCACAAGCTTAGATCTCGGAATGGATCTTGCTGGCAGCCTCTTATGTCTTCGTCGGTCTTCGTATCTACGCGCGTCTCTTCCGTGCGCGTGAGAAGTTGGCTTGGTCCGATTACCTTCTTCTTCTGTCCGCCGTTAATGCTCTCGCCCTCATCATCTGCGACACTCTGACTTTCCAGATGGGTGTCATGGATGAGTATGAGACATCTGTCAAGCTCTCCAAGGTGAGACGATCTCAGCCTCCTTAAAGCGTCACGCGACTAACTTATCTATGCAGATCTCCTTCGCTTCCAACTACTTTTACGATGTCGGCATGGGTTTCCCCAAGATGAGCATGCTTGCTTTTTACTGGGCCTACTTCCTCCCCTCCACCGGCATGGGCTCCGGTATGCGAAAGGCTCTGTATGGCATCACTGCCTTTGTCTGCGCATCATACATGGCGATCCTTTGGGACGACACTTTCTTCTGTGGAAAGGATGTTTCCATTCAGTGGTCTCAGGAGGAGGGTGCTTGCAGTGTCTTCTATGCACCTGAGCCCTTCATTCTCAACTTTACCCTGAACTTGGCCTGTTATCTTGCCGGTATGTTGACGTTCCCTTCTGCCTGCCGCGCTCCACCAAATACTAATTGATCTTGTAGTATACGCCCTCCCTCTCATCCTGCTGGTCCAGGGTGTTCTTCAGCCTTCCAAGGGTGTCACTTTTACCTTTGTCCTTGGTGCTCTGACTATCTGCACTACTATTGTGCGATTTGTGACTCTCAAGGTTGGCACTGGCCAAGAGAATCTTGTTTGTAAGTCTTCCCTCTCTCGGATCATACCAACTCAGCTTCTGATGTCTCCTTTCCAGACCCTATGAGTATGCTTGAAATGGCACTTGCTATTACTGTCGTCGCCCTACCAGGCTTGAAGCCACTTGTAGATCGCTCCCCAAAGCATGAGACGAGGAGCGAGGTGTTTGAGATCAAGAACTAAGGAAGGACAATATTCGTACCCGGTCCTACAGCTACTTAGCTCGTTACTTCTCTTTCGCGAGAGCAACTATTGTTCTCTGGTATAAAAGTGTTTTAAGCTGTGCTACACTTGTCCCATGCTCTGTGCACTAGATATTGTAATACATTGGTAAATTGAGGCTGCATTTCTAATAATAGAACATCGCTTGCGTCCTGGCGGTCCTTGGCGAACAGTGGCTTGGTATCTTATCTCTGTGGCTGTGTTTAACTCATTTACCGCGTTCGTGGCTGTGTTTCGCGTTCATTGCTCTCTGTAGGGTAAACCAGCGTTACTCAGTCATAAATCCTAAAGAGAATCATTACTGTGTAGCTTCCAAAACAGTGAAAGATTTCAATTAGACAAAACGAGGATCTAGATCAGAATTTTTCTTTCTTAAATGCCGGATAATCCTGGGTTTTAACCGTATTTGTTGGTGAACATTCTAATTCCCAACTCGGGGCATAGAAAGTCCCGAATCAACACCAGTTTTCAGATCCTGACATCATCACATCAGACTCCCTCGGGTCTTACTTACACCCGAACCATAGCTCGAGGAAATGTCCATCCAATCACGGTGATGAAATGAGACCATGCATGGAAAATCGCAAGGCAGCCAAGTCTATTTTTCGCGTCGCAGTATCTACTCTATAATGAATTATAAATGACACCCAAACCCAATCTGTGTGAGCAGCTTGACTCATCTCCATCACTTTTCAGTCAAGCAACGTCTTTAAATACTCAAATATGGGAATCTCAGCTGTTCCACCAATCGCAATCATCGGCGGTGGCCCATGCGGTCTCACGTTAGCACGTCTGCTCCAGACCGCAAGCATCAATTATGTCGTTTTTGAGCGCGACGAGTCTCCAACATCAACACTAAGAAGCCAAGGTGGTACGCTAGACATCCATAAAGAATCAGGCCAAGAAGCGCTCCGTCGCGCAGGTCTCCACGACCAGTTCAAGTCATTGGCTCGATGCGATGCGACAACGATGACCTTGATGGACTTTCAAGGGAAATTCCGGGCTTCGTTTGGAGAAGATGATGGTGGTGATAGACCAGAGATAGACCGTCGACAGCTGCGACAATTGTTACTCAATTCTTTGCCAACGGATCGTATTCGTTGGGGCAAGATATTGGATGCTGTTTATCAGAAGGAAAATGGAGGAGCGCGCGATTGGACCCTCAAGTTTCGCGACGGATCGACTGAGAGTGGCTTTCGACTCATTGTCGGAGCAGATGGTGCTTGGAGCAAAGTACGGTCTCTCGTGAGTGTTCCATGACCTACACTGGTGAGAATAATTAACTAATTTTATTCACAGATCACTGACGCCAAGCCCATCTATTCTGGGAAATCGTTTATTGAAGGCAGAATATCACCAGACAACTCACAATACAAACTCGCGCAACAAATAGCAGGCAAAGGAACAGCCGTGGCAATGAGTGCCAAATCCACCCTCGCAGTCCAACAATTATCCGATACCTCATACCGGATGTACATGGGCGTAGTAGCACCTGAGTCCTTGACGCGTCCTGGCGGTGACGCTGATCCAAATGACATGGACAAAGCGCGAAAGACGATGCTTGGATCTGGAGGCTTTTACGAAAACTGGACACAAGACTTGAGACGTTTAATCAAGGCGTCTGAGGGACCGTGGCGCCCTTGGCCACTTTATCGCCTCGATAAGACCTTGTTCTCTTCTAATGATGAAGATGTACACCATGGCCGACCTAGATGGAAACGCGCTCCAGGCGTTGTTTTGCTCGGAGACGCTGCGCATCTCGCTACTCCAAATGGTGAAGGCGTGAACCAAGCCATGTATGACGCGCTTGTACTATTCGACCAAATCATCTCCGAAACTGGGGTTCGCGAAGGACCTTATGATCAGAAACATGATGCAGAAGCTCTAGAGCGGGCAATTGTTGCTTATGAGAAGGAGATGCGACCTAGAGCTTACGAGCATATCCAGAGCAGTATCGACATGGAAGATATGATGTATGCTGATGATGGGGCTCAGCGCATGATAGAGGCTTTCAAGTGTGCTCATGGCGAGAGTTAGTCTCACCGCTACGGTTCGAATTACATACCAACGCAACTCTTAGATAGCAGAATAGTCTGTATTTCACCCCTTAGCAATGCATCCACAGCATCCCAGGTCTTTCAGGCCACGGACCAGAACCGCATTAATTCCGTCATGGCAGTGCACTCTAACCTCTTGCCCCGACCAATAATCTCATCTGAATTTCGGATTACTTCCCCCACATGTTTCCGTGGCGCATGGCTAATCTAGATGACGTTAGCTCCCGTAACCTTGAAAAAGCCGAAAAACCCACATATTTTTCGGGTTGTGGGAGATCTAAGTGAACGCGAATGCATCCAGTCCTTCATTATGCCGCCATCAAGGCTGAGGCATCCACTCGGATCGGTATTGCGTAACGGACGTGTAAGCTGTAATTCTCCGAGCCACCAATCCGATGAACTGTATTATATATAAAAGCTAACCTAATCGCTTCTGAATATGCTTCTTTACAACCTTCTCACTCGTCAATCCTTTGTTCAACATGGTCTCTTTCAAGTCCCTCGCTTCAGCGGGTTTCGTTCTCGCTGGTCTTGTTTCCGCTCATCCTGGTGAGAAACATGATCATCAGAAGATCAAGAGACAGATCCAGACCCGCGACACTATCGCCAACCTGGGCCAGCGATCGCTGAATGCGTGCTCTAGTTCTCTGCATGCCCGGGAGCTGAAGGCTCGTTCGATTGCTCGCCGAGCAGAGAAGGTCGAGAAGCTTCGTAAGAGACTTGGCATCAAGACTGGTATGCTAAGAATTCTCTTTTCGACTTTCTTTCTGGTACTAACATTTTTCAATAGCCGCCAAGAAGCACCGCCGCGATGAAGATGATATTGTCAAGTGGGAGGCTGTCAACCACAACAAGACTGGAGTCTCAAAGAACGACATGTTCACTCCTCTCGAGACAGTCTTTGGCGCCAACTCCAGCTGTATCTTGTCTCCCGAGATCACTGCTGGTCCTTACTACATCGTCGGCGAATACCTGCGATCCAACGTCATCGAGAAAGAGTTCTGCGACGGAGTACCTCTGTTCCTCGAGGTCCAATACGTCGATGTCTCGACCTGCAATGGAGTCCCCAACTTGGCCACCGACGTTTGGAACTGCAATGCCACTGGTGTTTACTCCGGTGTCAGCTCCCAAGCTGGTCTGAACACAACTTTCCTTCGCGGTATTCAGATCACCGACCACGATGGTGTTGTTCAGTTTGAGACCATCTTCCCTGGTCATTACGAGGGACGCGCTACCCATACTCATCTCCTCACTCACGCCAATGCCTCGGTGTCTTCCAACGGCACAATTCAGGTCTATAACAGCCCTGTTCAGCACATTGGTCAGCTTTTCTGGCCCGAGGATCTCCGTGAGGAAGTTGAAGCTCTTGCTCCTTACAACACCAACACTGTCGAAGTGACCACCAACGAGGAGGATATGTGGTCTGTCCTCCAGGCCGATGAGTCTTATGATCCCTTCCCTCAGTACGTCTACCTGGGGGACTCTGTCCAGGATGGAATCTTTGCTTGGATTCAGATTGGTATCAACACTACTGCGGACTACACCTCGGATGAGTACTACGGTGTTGCTGGATACTTGGCTAGCGATGGTGGCCATGCTTTGGACAGTGGTATCGGTGGAGGCGGCGGTGGCGGTGGCCAGGGAGGTCAACCTCCTTCGGGCAGTGGAACCCCTCCTGCTGGCCAGCCCACTGGAACTCGCTCTGCCTAAGCAGTCAGAGATAGACTCTCACGCGGGGTTAAGTGAGGCTGCAGAGAAATGTCTTGAGCAAATTGAAGTGAAGGCAACTTGTGGGCGAGAGTGAGATACATAGATCTATATCGCTCAAGGGCATGGCGGAAGGGGAAAGGGAAACCTGTAAAAACTAGACTATATTGCTTGGGAGGATGGGTAGAGTGCGCTCAATAAAACACGAAAATTCGAGTATCATAGATTCATGTTGCTTCTCCCCGAGTCCCATGTCTGATCAACTACCGGTGTGCTGTGCTGAGCTAGCGTGATCGACACCCCCTGACTCGCGATGCTCCACATGGCCAAGGTCTCAGCAGAATCGATCGGATGTGCTAGTGGTATTTCCATCCGACAGCTTGGCAAAAATAATTCGGGATTCGGACTCTATTTGACCTACTAAAGTCAAGCCATCGATATGTTTATACCCATCAAGATAAAGAATATCGTACAGACAAAGCAAAGAGATATTAATTCAAAATGTCGAAGACTACCTATTCATATAGGAATAACCCCCCCCCCCCCCTTACTCTTGACTAGCCCAACCATCATCATGCCAACTCAAATGTCTTTCAACACTTACAAGTAACACCATCCTCTCCCGCGCTCTCCGAACACATGCCCTGATGACAATTGTCAAAGCATTTGTCAAAGCATTTGTCAAAGTCATCATACACTCCATCCTCGCACTTTGACTCTTCCTTGGCGCAGCCAGTGCAGTTGAAGTCTCCCGTGCCCAATTCTCGCTCGCACTTACCACCATCACACCTGTTCTCGCATTGCCACAGGCCGCTATATATGCCAGCGCTGCAATCGCCCTTCTTCCGCTCTCCGTAGTCGCATTCGAATCGCTCCTCTCCATCCTTGTTCTTCGTCTTGGTGCAGCCATTTGCAGTGCAGTAGGTCTTGCATTGGTCCTCGGTGGCGAACAGCTCTTCATGAAGACAGCCCCTGTAGCAAGAAAATCAGGCTGGTTAGCATGCTGGACATATCGGCATCAGAATAGAAGATCCAGGCTTATACTTGAGCGAAGAGACAACAGGGATTCCAAAATGCGATATTTCCTAATGGTCCCGTGCTCCTATGCCAAGGATTTGCTGAGATACTTTCAGGCTAAATGGAGCGTCAGAACCTTATCGTGTCATCCATACATTTATCTCGCTTTCTATTGCGCCACCTCTCGCCTTCCTGTTGGCTCGTGCCAAGCAGAATAATGAAGTCCTAACAGACCACGCAAATTAAACAATTAAGCTTAGCGATAAAAATGCAGCGGCCCTGACTCCAAAGCAGCAGGAAGTCCATGCCGAATGATCTGATAACCCCTGAATTCAAATACTCCACAATTAAGGCTGTCACCAACACGTCACTGTTGGTTACCTCAACTCAACATGCTTGCCTTGTCTCCTCCTCTTTTCCTCGCACCTGTCCTGTTCTTCACACCCGATTGGCGCCTCCTGCCTCCACCTTGCATATTGAGCTGCCCCTCTAGCACTAGCAAAGACAGGATCAATTACTGCTCCCCCCTCATGAACGAATGATACTTTTCCCCCGCTATCGCTTTCTCTCTGCAGGTACCCGTTACCTACGAGCGCGCTTCGTAAGGCTTGAAGAAAAGCCGGGTGTGTCGCGTTCTCTCCTGTCAGCAATATTGTGTCGAGGCGGAATCCTTCGGGAACTGTGCCGCAGAAACCCTGCAGCCTGTCGGTCACGCGAGCCCAGAAGTCGGGTTTGTCCTCCGAGGTAGCTAGACCTAGTTCAAGGTCTACAAACGCCCGGTCACCGTGTCTGGGCTGGAGATCCGTAAATGCAGACCGAGTCCTGATAATCTCTCCACGTAAATCGGTAGGAGTGATTCCCACGACTAGGGTTGTCTCCAAGGGAACATTGCCCTGCTCCTCCGCACATTGCCAGAAGCTTTTGTAGTGTTTACACAAACCCTTCCTATGCCCCGCGAAAACAGCATATGACTCGAGAAGCTGGCTTGGGTATCCGCCGGCAGCGGGCAAAGGAAGTACAACTTTTGGACGGGGCAGACCAGCGGCCACCCACGGTCGAATATGCGCATATTCGAGCGCGTCCCAGAGGTCTGGTTCTGCCAAGCCTTGAATCCGGAAGTGCGACACAGCCACTCTATCCAACGGACTCGTGACTGCGATAGAAGTCACGTCGCGTAGCGAGACAAGTATGGTGGCGATAATGCCGACATCGGGCGTTGCTGACCTTCCGATCTTTTTGTTGAAAGATCGTCGCAACTTCTCCCATCTGGATGGTGGTGGAGGCGGAGGAGAATTGGCTAGACGCTTCATAAGTGCTGCATATTCCGGGTTTGCAGGAATAGACGCAATGTTTTTCACAGTGCCATTATAGAAGCGTACAGCAGCGGTCCTAGTAATTAACCAATCGGTTTAATTATCGCTGGCGATAATGAATAATTGGGATCTGAAGTAAAGGGCAGCGTACCCGGAAGATAACGAGAGACTGAATCCAATCCAGGCGCATCGTGAACACTGGCGGGTAGACAATCAGCGCAAGTAGGAAAAGGCTCAAAATAGTCACCAGAAGCCTTTGCGCTGCCAATCAGGCCAAAAAGAAGTGCTAAGCGCATGGTGGGATTGAGAACGACAGGAAATTTGGGTGAAACGTAATGGAAGAAATAGTTAAGTAAGACAAGGTGCTTGACAAGTTTGAGCGGGTTCAGATGGTATGTCACATGGAAGAGGTCACATGACAAATTGTGTCAGCCATGCACAGCCAATAGCCTATACCCTGTACTTACTACTGACTGCTATTAGATGCAGCTAGGGATTTCTCACTTACTTCAATTCTATCACAATAGATATCGGCCTTGACTTTTCTTTTTGCTTTCAATTAACGTATTTACCTATCCTCAGTAGACTACAGCAAGCAATCCTTGACTTGCTACTTCAACCGCAGATCTCCTGTATTATGTTACATATCAAGTATAGAGACAACTAGGGATTGATAGTCTTACCTCCTGTTTCTTTTTTAAAATCCATATAGAAAGAATTCCATATCGTCCTTGCTATGCAGTCTTCTACGCCAGTTATATTAGTACATGGGGGCTGTACCTCAAAGCGAAGCTTTCAGGCGTATGAAGCCATGGCTTTGGAAGCGACCAATTAGAAAAGTGGAAAACCTTGGCCTTGCTGTAAGCTCTTGCAGAGTCCTAGGCTTTAATATCAGAGCCAAGATACATAGTATAGTTATTACCTCAGAATTCCCCTATTGACATATTATAAGGATGACATAGAAGAATAGGGGCTCTATTATAAGATAGATAGTTAATAATTTCCATGTTATAGTCATTCCTAGATACCGAATCTATCTTACTTATAATATAAGTAAACTCCTTCTTAGATAGTTCTATAAGCATGACCTGAAATGAAAGGATGTTATTTTCCGGGAATAACTAGTAGGCTTGAGGCATGGCTACTGTCATAGAGGGTAGAAAGAATAGTTCGTCTATGTTTTAAGTCGGAATTGATAGAAAGAAAGCGTTAATATCGACTCTGGTTGAAAGCCAGGAGCTTAGTAAAGGAATCGGCCCAGGTAGCTAAATATGCAACATCAGTCAGCTTTCTCCTAATCGACATCATGTTCGGACGCAACTGGCTGATATGCACATGACTTACAATCTGCGCGCTCTTTATGCTAAACAGTAATGGGAACCAGCATATCCTGCATCTTGTTTCAAGACGAAATCCGTCCTTAACGCTACTAGATCTATTTACTCTTATGCATGGATTGCACTATTACTTCTGGATAGTGATATAAATCTCCAACCGCTCGCAGTTGTTCTTGTACACGGCACTTCCCTTACGTTCCGATTCCTACTTTCGAGCTTGGGTTTCATGCGACGATGTTCACCAATAGTTGTGAGCCAAAGCCTCAGGCCCCCGCCTTGCATATTACAGTACTGATACTATAAGCTCACTCCTATTACATATCGAAACTGGTGGCTGAGCTGGACATAAGCCAGTTGTCCACCAACTTCAATCTTTCTAAAGCTCAAGCTGGCTGCTCCGGAACATCCGAGATAGCTAAAGGCCTTTCAATAAGAAACAGAAGTCTATCTAGGTCTTCTTGAATTTCTCCTGATAAAGTCCTTCTTTTAATCTTATCCGACTTCTTACTTCTTACTTAACTCCCCTTTGCTAAAGTCTAATTCCTTTACTTTCCTTTTTTCTACATTCTCTACAGTTTCACCCTTATACCATCACAAGTATGCCTGGGACATGCCATGGCCAGTACATATAACCTCATATCTTTTACGACGTTTCTTCAACTCATAGCCATATCCAGCACTCGAAGTCACTGACACCAAGTGGGACTTCTGCCCAAATTTAGCAGCATCCTCCATTATGATGGTCACCTTCGCTCTAGCAACAATTGCACACGCTATCCAAGCCATCAGATATCGCAAGCCGTATTACTGGACAATTGCGATGAGTGGTTTGCTTGAGACCCTAGCATATCTCTTTCGGATTCTCAGCATCAACAACCCGGTGAGTCTAGGGCGCACGGAGAGTTGGGCAACTCTTCGTTATTTTGGATGTAATGTGAGTCATTGTGCATCTCTTGAAGGTGACAAGGCACTGACTTATTTAGCAAGTATGATTACATATTAGAAAGTAAATAGATGTGCTAGGCATTAATTATTATCATATCTAGCTCATTGTGATGATTTGACTCACAATCCGCCACGTAATCGAGGCATGGTCATCCTCACGTGGTATCTCCGCGTTTCTACGGAGTGACATCAATCGCTGGAACTTAGCGGGCGCACCTCAATTAAATGAGTCTCTGTTAGGGCATATGTCACTCAGGGGGCCAAGAATAAATAAACTCGAGACTAAATTGTTATTTTCTTCAAGAATAGCTATAAGAAGCAGTCCATTGATCAGTTGTCAAATCTGGAGGCCGCAGCAGCTTCGTGAAAATTCGCGCACTTTCTGTTTATGGGTGGGGTGCACAACTGAAACAACCCCAACTTCCGGGTCAGAACGGAGGGCTTCTCAAAACTGGCTTCCAAGTAGCTGCTATCGAACTGGTGGTGGCTTGGCTACAGAGCGATGTGACCTTCTCTACCATGGTTTTTGCGGTTCATTAAGATTACTGGCGAGCGGATAAAACGCCAAAGAGTGGTTTTGACGCAATTGGACTGAGATGGGCGTCGAATCGTATGCGGAATGTCACAGGCTATCATACCAATGCAGACAACCTTCTGGGCTTTTAGTCGTAAGGCTGAGCAGCTAGTTTAAGCTTGGCCGTAGGGGCTGAGCACTGCAGATTGAGATGTAGATAACAAGACCATTTCTGCTCCTTGCACCTACATCATTCCCTTCCTGTCCCACCATGTAATTTACCTAGTCTCGGCTCCCAACATGCCATACTAATACAAGACCGTGCTCTTCATAATTTCACTACTCACAAGGTGCGGGAAGCTGAGAACTTCCTTCGTGCAATGGAAGCCAAGTTCTGGTTCTTATCGATTGTAGTCTTGGTCACCAGCCTCCATCTTTCAATCCAGAATGATCCCGTCAAGGACTTTTGCCGACGATTTGGACACCAGACAGCAGTGGTGGATCGAAAGCTATATATCGATGGAGGATTGGTCAACTGGAAACCGCTAGAGACCGACCCAAAGAATTATACAAGTACGCTGTCTCCCCGTACCTTGCATGGAGTGAAGTAACCATTTCTCCAGATACCTGGCTGGTGTGGCATGACCTTGATCACAATAGCAAGGATAATATGCCGCAGATTCATGCGAACCTCAGCAAGAATGTCTCGGTTCCTTCAGTACATGGCGGTGCTCTTTGGGCAGATGATGTTAACTACCGTTTATTCCTCTTCGGCGGCGAATTCTTTAGCGGCAGCCCGACCACTTCGAACTTCATGTCCTACGATATATGGTATGATCAGTGGGATGATTTCGGACCGCCCTCCGACGATATCAAGCGCGTCAGTTATGGGGCTGCTACAACAGTAAAGGAGCGAGGGGAAGGGTAAGTTGACGGCTTTCCTGGCTCAAGTGGCCCTTATACAATAACCAGTACTGACCTCTTTAGATATTACTATGGAGGCTATCTTTCGAGAGCTTCTGTGCCCGACTGGAGCGGCGAACGACGTGCGACATCAGACTTAATTCGATACCAGATGGACAGTGATACGTGGGCCAAGCTCTCAGGACCTGATGATATAAAACGCGCTGAAGGAGTCATGACATTTATCCCTGCGAGCGACCGTGGTATGCTGGTCTACTTTGGAGGGTTTCAGGACCCTGGAGATAATGGCACCATGGTCTCACAGCCATTAGACGAGATCTTTCTCTATGATATGATATCGAACAAGTGGCACGTTCAGAAGGCAAACGGTACAATTCCTGAGAGTCGGGGAAGATTCTGTGCTGGAGCTGTATGGGCAGAGGATCGCAGCAGCTACAACATGTAAGAAGGCCCAGTCAGATTGACGGAATCTGGCCTACTGCTTTCGTGATGCTAACTCATGCATAGATACATTAATGCAGGACATGGGATGGAGGGGCCTGGATTCGATGACGTCTATATCCTCTCTTTACCTTCTTTCACATGGATCAAAAGCTATCCTCTCGATCAAAACGGGACAGGCTACTACCCATCTCACAGCCTATCATGCGATGTCATCAACCAAGGCTCACAAATGCTCACTATTGGCGGCGCATTCCCACTGGAAGAAACATGTGATGTCGAAGAGGTTTGGGGAGTTCACAACATCGATCTGGGCAACCAGATCAAATCAAACTTCAAGAAGGTCTGGGCAGGCTATGAGCCGAGTCTCTTCGGGTATAAGGTTCCTGGGTTTGTGACAAGTGTTATTGGGGGGACGGAAGACGGAGGTGCAACCAAGGTCAAGCCTGACCAGGGATTTGTTAATCATGATCTTGGCACGTTGCTAAGCATGAAGGCAGTTTTTACCAATCGAACAAGGCTTGATGATGGACGCACTGATCCTAAGGCCGCTGCATCAGAAGGAGGATCAAGCTCAAAATCAGGACTGTCTACAGGGGCAATTATTGGTATTGCTGTTGGCGCTGGAGTTGTTGTGCTGGCAGTTCTAGTTGGCCTATGGCTGATGCGCAGGAACCGAAAGGCGAAGGTTAATGTCCAGTCAGCTCCCACGACAGAATCATTTTACTCTGTCCCATATATGCCGCAAATCTCAAGCCCGCTATACTTCCCTCACTCTCCCGACAGATGGCACCGCGGAAGCCCCGGAGTTCAAGAGTTTGAGGGGGAAGACCCAGGTCAGGTTCACTACTGGAGACCGTTTCAGGTCAACGTGGAGCCGTGTGAGATGGATGGGCAAGGGACCAGAACACCCGAGACTCACACCGAGATCGAGTACATTAGAAGCCGTGGAATCTCTCACTGAGCCGCTGGTAGGAGAGTTTGAGAAACAAGGATGTATGGATCTCAGAGAACACGAATTCACAGAGTGCCCAAGGGCAGATCTACAAACGATCTGCTGATTAATTGATAAGAGTTAATATATAAGAGATTAAGTATGGCTGTGCTATTTAATACGCACTATGTTTACCTTGGGTATTTTTAAATGATGTTATTATTCCTCCATGCTCTTGGCGAGTGCAACTCCTCCTCGCTCTCACTCATGGCTGTTTTCGTTATCTTGACTTCCCACTTGGTCTCCTTTTTAATGCCAAGCTTGAGATCACTTGGTTGTCTCGAATCAAACCCCGACCCTTTCTTTTCAGGGCCATCCTGACGACTCACTGAGGAGAGTGTGTACGCCTCTCGACTTGAGAAAGCTCTTGGTGTCCCAGGCCCAGGAGTGCGCGGTGATGATCCGTAGCCAGATGGACCGAGTGATAGAGGCTTGCTCGTCAGGTTCAGGCGGAAGGCTATTTGTTTGATCAGAGGCCGCAAGGTCGCCAAGCTGCTTGCTGTGATGGCCAATCCTTGCTCGATTGTTGACCAGATGGCAATGTCAGTGGTATTCCCTGGTAATAATAGGTTAGTTGACTGCCACGTAATCAAAGGAGGGTCTTGAGCTTACAGAGGAAATCGGGCTTTCCAAGGAGATGCAAGTACGGGAATCGAGCAATGACGGCTGCGCTAGCACTATATGCATTGTCAATACAGTTTTTTTCATCCGTGGTATAAAAGAAGACGTACATGCAACCCATAGCTAGCAGAGGGATCAGTGAGTATTTCGTTCGCTTGTGTAACTGCAGATTCCATACAATCCACCCAGGAAGCAGCGCAAAAACAAGGTCAGAACCAACAGCAAAAACACTGTAGAGAGCCGCCAATCCAATGACGACACCGGGATCAATGCATGTGCCATCTTGGTCCTTGTTCCAGAAGTATGATATAGGATGACACTGGAATAGGGTGACGAAAAAGAAGATGCCGCACGAAAGGGCAGTCGAAAACATGGCGAGGTAGATGGTCCATCGTTGGATCTTTTCGGTGGTCACTCTGAGCAGGAAATAGCCGATGGAGAGTTTGCAGGATATCATGGTGAGGGCGTATCCGAGGTAGCAGAACCACCAGCACATCATCGCAGTGTGGATTTGATTGGTTTCGAGGTCGTCGTGGTGTCTTCCCGTGCCGAAAGTGACACCAACAGTCGATGAGGTCGCATAACAAGTGAAGAATACCTAAAGAAAAAGTAGGGGTCAATTGCTGGAAACTTGTTACCCCTTGAGGCTCAACATACCATGGCGACAACCATCAGCCAGTCGTCCTTTCTGAACCCATTGACCATGAACAACCGAACATAACATCTCAATAGGCATGTGATCAGTGCCATGGCGAAGAAGGTGATATTCACCGCCATGAGCTGCGGCCCTCGATTCTCGATGTGAGCTGCCATGATGGGGACAGATCAATTGATGGTTTCTGCACAAATAAAGTTTGTCAGGATGGAAATCCTGCCAAGAGATGAGTCCCTGGGGGGAAGGGAAACTTTATATGAAATGTGGATTGCTATTGTAGTCGGTATTATACCTGCTTGTACTGTACTAACCGTTGCATTACGTTCTAATTGCGGTATTGCCGTCCGACTGCAACGGCTACGGTGCCCCGTACGAGGCCAAGATAAGATAGCTCGCTGTATAATTTGGTGCGCAGACAGAAATACCAGTTTGTTTATACGTTATGTCAGTGTCTGTCCGTTAGTCCGGCTTTCTGTCACCCAGCGTTAGCGTTCCGGTACTATTCAATTAGTGTCTCCCGTTCAAGGAGGATCAACGGCACTTGCCAAGGATCTGAGACAGAGTTGGTGTGCGTCTGCCAGGGGAGTTGCCCCATTTGGCGTACATCCGATGTAACCTCAGTTAAATTCCGCGTTTGACTAGTCTAACTCTGGCTCGGCTCCGTTGATCATGAACAAGCACCTGCTACGTTGAGCCCCTATAATGTTTGAACATAACGACCTGCAGAGAAGAAAACAAGTACCGGCTCCGGAAGAAACACCCAAAGGAACCAATAAATCCGGATATCCAGTTATTATAGAATGTTCATGTATAGAAACACTAGACCTCACGTGGCGACTCTCCACTGCATCTGGAATGATGAGATCAGGGATTAGTGGGGCGAAACAAGGGGTAATCTCCAAAAGAGGGGAACTGACCAATGTTCACATGCAAAGACGTTGAATGTGCCGATGAGATAGCTTCCCTCTAGGCTCTAGCATCGAAAGCAAAGTGGCACAAAGTCAAGTAAACCATGGCAACGCTTTAACAAGTATTGTTTAATTGTGTACTGGACATCGTAATATTCATCGAGTTACATAAAGACCCACGGATAGAGATTTCCTCCAGGTTTGCCCCTGTCCCACTTATCAGGGCAGTACATCCCCACCTGTCTACCCGATAGGGCGGTATATCCGATTTACTCACTGGCGGTTTTTGGCAATAAGAGGGGACGTATACCTCTTGGTGGCTCATGTGGTGAATGCAATTAATATGTATCTATGCTATAAGGGTACGTCTGTCACTTACACAATCGAACAACCCCAATGCGAAAGACTTACTCTAATTGCCTTAACTTCCGCTTGAAGTACGGACTTGGCGTCGAGATAACGAAGGAGTTTCCAACACAAGCTGCAATGATGTCACCTTCCCCCGTTTCGAGAGCCACAATGGATTTGTTTCAGGTCTCATACGTCAACTAGACTAGGCGTCTCAACTTCGCAGTCTAGTGCTGGACCCGCCCGAGTGGTCGCTCAGTTGGCAGGCTACTGGCAAGATTACCCTAGAGCGCGAATTCCTTGGCCATGGAACCAGCATTAAGTGTCCTCTTGTTTGCTTGATGAGACGCCTGATCTCTAGGTGAGTTCGTTTTAACTGTGCAGATGTTACAATTTCATTAATGGTGATACACCTGTACTATGTCGGATTGGGTAATATGCTGCAACTGTTCCACGTCGTTGCTACACCTCAGTCTTGACAGCTTGATCTTTTCTCTTGTTTGCGAAACCTGTATAGTTGGGGTTAACACGTCAACGTTTCATACCTGATAGGAGTGACGTATTCAATGGTTTCAGAATGTGGAGAGGATCCCAGCGTTTCCAAAGTTGAAGGTCAAGTAATGACAACATAGTTCAAAGAAATACAACACCGAGCGCTATCGTTTTCACTCCGAGCTAAACAGACCAGGGGGATGAAGTCACATTACAAAAGATAACAGGATTCTCTAAGTCAGGTAGTTAAAGCAAGTAGAATTGAGTACTTAAGGGGACTATTCTGAGAATAAGTAAAAGACAAATAAAACAACCTTCCCCCGAGAATGAAAAGAACGTAATGGTTGAGGAACCCACTCGTTCCTTTAGTACTGGTAAGGGCTGGCACCCAAAAGCGCAGAAGGCGCAAAGTTAGCTGCAACAGGGTTCAAAGAGCCAAAGCGCTCAAAGATTGCAGCCATAGAGTTATGCGCTGGCTGCAGTCCACCATCAACCCAACCTCCGAGGAATGACGTGCAGTCACTGTTGATCAAGACTCGGGAGCTCGAAGTATCGTTCAGCTTCTGGTAGTCATAGAACATGGAAGAGATGAGCTTGTCCTGTCCTGGAAGACCAAGAGAAAATGCACCATAGGAGTACTGATCGAGGGGCCAGTGGACGAGGTACACGTCATCGTCAGTCACCGGGTCGAGGAAGTCGGCGTAGTTGGGATAGCTGCTATCTCGCATGATACGGGCAATCTGCTCCTTGAGGATAGAGAGCAGCTTGTGAGGATCTTGGATGGCCAAGATGGTCTGCGAGAGATCCTCCCAAGCATACGTGAGAAGGACCATGCCATAGTCTGGATGTCCGTAGTCGAGCGTGTAAGCCTGGGGAAGGTCTGTATCAGACAGAATAACACGAGGGAAATCAGCTGGCTGGTCACTCCAGAACTTCTTCGTGCGGATGAAAAGCTTAGAGGAGGCAGTCATGTGTAGATCGGTGATACCACGGTTGACAGCAGATGACATGATGGGCTCGTTGGTTGTGTCCGAGACATCCGCGAGGGCAAAGTTCATGGCTCGGCTCGAGGTGCCAACAACAGCAAGATCATACTAGGCCTGGTCAGCGATGGAATTACCGTCATCAGAAGATGGAGTCTCCTGGATAACAACATAGTCAACATCGCCGCCGCCGCCGCTGGTGATCTTGGCAACAGTGTCAAACTTGGTCTTGAGGCCCAGGTCCGGAGCCCTCTGCCATTTGACGTTGGCCAACTCCCGGATGCCGGTCGCTTGGAGACCATCATCAGTCATCTTGGCAAAGACAGCCTGGTCTGACTCGAGGCCATTGACGATGAGGCGGAAGATGGAGTTGAAGCCAGCAGAGTAGACGGCGCCAAAGCCACCTGAACCAACGCCGAGGGTACCGAATCGCTCAAAGTCATCTTCAGTCCAGACCTGACCACCCGGAACGTCCCACTCGTGTTTCTCCCCAAAGATGCGCTGGAGTGCAGTGTAGAAACTGTCATTGCCAAAACTCATCGAGGTACTTTTGCTATTCCGGGATGACTTGGTTGCGTGTGTCAACGTCAGATGAACTGAGCCACTTTGTGAGCTGCGTGACTGCAGTAATCGACTGAGAAACACCAGTCAAGCCCTTGGAGATCAGAGACCCCCAGCCGTTGCTGACTTTCTCGAAGCCTTTAACAGTGACGTTCTGGCTGATCCAAGAGATAGGAGTCTCCTGGCAGAAGACGATCGTGGGAACTTTGCCTGGATCAGGGAAGTTCTGAATGAAGGTGTAATGGAACTCATTGGCGTATTAGTAGAGAAGGTCCCCAGAAAAGGGGGAAACGCATTTCTCCCATTTCACTAATCTTGACACCGTCAGGGGTTTGAATGGTTCGGAGACAACCGCCCATATCATCTGTGGCTTCGATCAAGCCGACATCACCACCGGCCTTGACGAGGTTGAAAGCCAGAACCACATTGGTGATGCCACCACCGACAAGAGGGATAGAGAAGTTGGAACGCTGAGGTACAAGAGGCCGATCGGTTTCACCCGCAGCCTGGTTCCATGCCGAGTACACAATCTGGGGTGTATCGACCCAGCCTGAGAGCGGACCTTTTGCTCGCCGATCTTGGAGGGCTGCCTTTTAGCACAGTGGGACCTAAAGACTGGCTTTGATGGAGGAATGGAGGGATCCTTTTTAGGGTGCTTGGAACAGTCTTGATTTTTTTTCTCTTTTCTTTCAGCTGAAGAAATCGTATTTCTTACTAAATCGTTAGGTATTAAGTTCGTCTATGGACTTCGGACAATTTCCTATTTGGCCGGCAAGCCGGAAACAACACCCCTGTATCGCTCCCGTGCTGGAGAGCGGGCCGGTGCGAAGGAGAGACCAAAATTTAACTAACTGCCGAAAACCCACACTTTTCTCTCAAGCATTTCCATTTCCACGAGGTGGTATCGGAGCCTGGAGATGAAGGGGACATTCATGGGTCCTAAAAAAAGACTTGCATTCTGAATAGAGATGGATTTAAGCAGTGATGTCGACCCGACAGTGCCAAATTGATAGTGGATCGATAGGATTTGCCGGCAATTTCTGGCTGATATGCCACCCAACCTTATTCAGTGATAGGGGAGTTGGTGATGCCTCCATATATAATGGTTCTAGAACGAGGGAGAATATCGAGAAGTGATCAACAAGGAACCGGTTGAAGTTGACTTTGACCCATAGTGCCACCTTCGGAGTCATGCCTGGCTCTTCATCATCCAATCGGCTGAGGCCTGTCAAAACAGCATGATTTGATGATAGGCTTTCATACGAGCGCTTCAAAACTTTAAATTGTCTCTGCCGCTTTCTTATTCGTGGGACCTTATGTCTTCCCGCTCTATCTATTTGAATGTGCTCCGGACAACCTTGTGATAAATGCCAACATTTGAGACATTGAGCTCACGGGAAGTCTCGACGCCCTCTGTTGTGTGAATGTTTTGGTGAGCCGAGGTAGGGTATAGCTAACCAAGAGAAAAGAAGAAAGAATAAAGAATCCCATTGGCTGGCATACTATCATGGCGGAGGAAGGAGAAAGAGGAACAATATTCATGTGATGGCGAAAACAGTTATTTAAACCGAATGTTTTCAGCTGAAAGATAATGGTGCCATTCCACAGCAAGCTCAGCATCATGGGTTCCAAGTACGCGCCTGCAATGCTCTGTCTCATGGTCGTAGCAGCCCTCGCCGTTTTGAACGCTTTATCTTTCTTGTTTTTCCTGCATAATCAAGACCAGATCTTCTCAGTTGATGACTCACAGTATCTCTCAGTCACCTCTGATGTTATCTCTTCTGTCTCATACTCCTCGGATCCTGCTCAGGGACCTGTTACCTACATTTCTGGTCTACTTGCTAGTACCACTGCTGATGAGCTTGAAGATGTCATCAAAAGCTCTTTGGAGCAAGATGATGTTTTCTCGGAGGCTTTCCTCGCAGCTATTCTTGTCAGTGCGGGCGATGAAGGGGATCTTGATTCCTCAGTCGTGAGCTACCTCAATAGCCTCAATGCCACTGTCATCTACGGAGGAACGGGTGGCCCTAGTCTCTACGGCAACTCTACCTTGACTCCATGCCCCATGTTTGGCCTTGCAGATGGCGATAGTCTCAGCCTTAGCAAAGTCTTCCGCTTGTATGTTGATACCTACAGGACTTTCGTGGTTGGCACATATGAAGCGGGAGATGGCTATCGCACTTTGACTTATTCCAATTCGGAATGGGGCGCTCCATCTATCCCTGTCCCCTCAAGACTTTACAGTTTTGAAGATGACAGACCTCTCGCTGGGAAGCGAATTGGTGTCAAAGATGTCTACGATCTGGAAGGCATACAGACCACGGGTAGGAGTCTAGCTTACTCTTCTATTCACCCAGAAGCCGATACGACAGCTCCAGCCCTCCAGCGCATAATTGATCAGGGCGGAATAGTTGTTGGCAAGCAGAGAACAGCCCAATCCGCCTCACCTCAGAGCCCTTGGGATTGGAACGACGCGTTCTATCCTGGCAATCCCCGCGGCGATAGGTTCCTGACATGTTCTGCATCCTCTACTGGAAGTGCCTGCTCTATCACTGCATATGACTGGCTTGACTTTGCCATCGGTACCGACACCGGCAAGTCTATTCAGAGAGCCTGCTGCCGTTGCTGGCATCTTCGGTAACAGGCCTTCTCAGGGAATGATTGTCATGGACAACATCATCACAAATGCTTGCAGCACGGATACTGCTGGTGTCTTTGCACGCGATCCTGTTGCTTGGGCCAAGTTCGCAAAGGCCTGGTACGATCCTTCGCTTCATCAAGACACCTCGATCAATGGATTACCTTCGTTGTCAGTTCCTGATGCACAGACATTTCCTAACCGTCTTCTCTATCCTGTCGACCATCTACCGATGCAGAACCCAGCTGCGGAAGCTATTCTGCAGAAGTTTCTGGATGATGTGACAGATGCTGTTGGTATCACCGTCGACAAGATCAACTTGACGCAGACCATCGAGAAGACCGTGGATCGCCCACTACAGGGCATGCTTGACGATCTTACTGTTCTCTGGACCCACAACCTGATCACTGAGAGGGCCGAGCCACTGACCTCCAACCCTTCTATCAATGAGCTTTATCGCTCATTCTTCCGCAATGCATTCACAGACGATAGTAGCTACAAGTCTGCAATGGAAAACCGCACTCGCGATGCAGCTCTTTGGCACAAACAAGTACTCTTCTCGACAAACAGCTCTTGCTCCGAGTTCATCCTGCTCTATGACATTGGCACAAGTGGTCTTCCATCCTTTCGCGAAGAGGGCCTGAATGACTCATCAGGAGCTGCATCCCCTGTCGATCCCCGAGGTCCCGAATCGGTATCGACCGTTTCATCTTACTTTGGGGACGTCGATATCACGGTTCCCATTGGGCAGATTACCTACCAGAGCAACCTCACGTTCCAGGAGGAGGTCATGCCAGTCACTGTTAATATGGTTGCTAAGAGAGGATGCGACTTTGTGCTGTTCAACCTGATTAATAAGCTGGTTTCTGAAGGTGTATTGAGTTCTGTGAATACAGGAAAGCAGGCTTTCCAGGAATAAGCACCTTAAGCCACCTTTACCATAGAGAGTTTCCCTACAGACAAAAACTTCAATTTCTCCCAAAGATGTCGTCCCTTTATTAAAAATCTCCCATGTGACTTGTGTATCTGACTGAGTGTCTAGTCAATGACCTCAAACTCGATAGCCTCAACTGGACATAGTTTAATCGGTGGTCCGCTCGGCTCTTCACCTCGTTCCGGAGGCTCAAACTGGCCAGGCGGCGCGAACACATCTTCTTCCCTGCCGTATCGCCACCGCCTGATACTCTCGTTGTCCCGAACTTCCAAGAGATAAGTATGACCTGGCGTGAAGCATCTCTCACCTTCTATTGCGTATGCCCGCATAAGCCTGTATTTAAAGTGTGAATGGGACCTCCGGCTCCAAAGTGCAGTAATGTTTGTCATCAGAACCTCCAAGCTCAGAACTGAATCTTGCACGTTTCGGTCCCTTGGTCCGTTCCAGCTGAAGAGGGATACCTGCCGTCAGGTCTGTGTGATGGGTTCTGGGGCATGCAATATTGGCGTGACTGATAGAGAAGGCGGCGGCTTAGTACGGCAAGCAAAATTTGGTGGGTTTATAGCCATTAAGAGGTATACAGACTTATGCAATGTTCCTCAGGAAGTACTAAACACGGATTTATCTGATTTGTTTCCTTCGATCTTCGAAGCGATGAGCAGCAACGAGGGGCCTGCAGGCAAAAGTCGGGAGACGTGAGCAGGAGAGGAATTAATTGGGTTCCGTTTAATGCGATACCTAAGGGGACGGTATCTGATGAGAACAGAACTAGGGTATTTGGCGATATTATCCAAGGAGGCGAGGCTAAAGGACTGTGTAGGAATTATCGCCAAGGGGCAGATACCATTTACTCTAAATTAGACAAGCGCGAACGAGTTTATATTCATAGGTAAGGCTTATATTTATAAAACAACATATAGCGAACTATTAAGAGGGAAAGACTGCGACGTTTAACTTATCAAGATTAGATAGCTAGAGCCTTGTTTATATAGTTTTATCCTACCCTCACTTAACAAAAGAAACTTCTAGGCATACTCACGTTTAGAATAGTCTTGGGCAACATAGCGCTGGCTCAACTCCACTCCATCAACTGCCCCAAAGAGCTGAAACGGAGCATAGTCAGCAGAAGTCTCGATAGACCGTCACAAAGAAGTCAGAGATTGGGGTTTAGACGCACCTTCTTTATGTCTCCGTAAATGCCGAACTGCACTGCCGTCATGCCACTAACCATAACTGCGCGTGCTTGCATACCTGTGTAAGCACCGCGCAGTCCAAGCTCGGAAGCAATGCGGAATAAGCGGCGTGTTGTGCTTTCATCCCTACCTGCCTTTTCCTTGTTGATTCTACTCAACATCGTATCGGCCGGTTGAGAGACAACTGCCGCTGCCAATCCAGCGACAAGCCCAGCCCCAAGGTTGATACCAGTAACTCCCATCGAGGATAGTTCTTTCTTATCTACAACACTATAGGCCGTCTGGATAGCTTTTTCGTAGACTAGAAATGTCGCCATGGTATAGGGAATCCTAAGATGGCCGTTCAGATTAGCAGCCAGGTATATATCGAGCCCAGAGACCGGATTTGGTCTGGACGCACGTACTGTTTGAGTAGGATAGGGCTCAGGCCAGAGTAGAGGCCTCCGGTACCCTCTTCTCTTGCTAGCTTAGCGAGGGCGCTTATGCTGTCAGTGGCATAGCTAGGCTGAGATACAAGTCGTATTCGAACAGACTCGAACGGGCAAAGTGCGATATCGCCGAGGAACTCGGCCGCAGCGGCTGAGCCAAGATATACAGCATTTCGGTGATTGGCAGCAGTTGATTGTCCGAGATAGTCTACTGCACGAGCCTTGAAAAATTCATAACCGCCAAACTTGAAAGCACCCTGGAGGCAGTAGCCGGTGATTGTCGGACCTAACCCCGTAAGGAGAGCTCCTGGTCCTTCAGCTGAAACTATACGTCGTGCACTCTTGGAAAGACTGCTGCTGTATGTAAGTGGGTCGAGCTGGATCCTTGTTTTAACCCTGTGCAAGGGATAAGAGTCAGCGACCATACCGTTCGTTGTAGGGCAGACCAATGCCACGGCCACCATTGCAATGTTTTGTAGTGGTGGGTTACTTACACATCAACGGGAGTAAGGACGGCATGAGTGAAAGAACAACAGAAAGCGCCAGCGAGAGCGTATCTTGCGTAAAGAGATAGGCTTGTTAAATTTTCACTTGTTGCAGCGGCCATGAGCTTTTCCTTGGTTGGCAGGATTTTGTCTTTAGCAGCGCTGATTGCTTCTGCGGGACTTGGTGCATGATTGATGAATTGGAAGCTACTGATAAGAATGAGCAAATGGACCAAAGAGAAAGAAGACAGGCTGCAATCGCCGTGTATTTAAAGGGTAATTAAAGCCACCACCACCTTCTCGAGCTTTTTTTCTTCAGCTCAATCAATTCGTCGGCCATGGCCTTTTGTTGCTGCTCGCTCAAACTGTTTCCCGCTGCATTCAGAACCTTTAAGTGCTCCTTCTTCAGCTTATCGAATTCCGCGTCTAACTCTTTGTGCCACGGATATAATACGAAAACCTGGAATCCCAGGGCAGAACTGGCCACGAAGAAATTGGTCAGGGATATAGCGCGTGTAAGTTTCATTGCGGCTAGTAACGTAGGGAAGGCGTCGAGTAAGGCTTTTAACTGTGTATCGGGCTGGCAGATACTTAGCAGTGAAGAGGACGGGGCGGGTTGAAGGCTGGAGCTTACGAAAATGAACCTGTATTAGTGGGGAAACAAAAGCATCAGGGGTTACAGTGCCAGGAAGGAAAATACAGAAGAGAAGAGTACGTGGAATCCGTTGGCGGGGGGTTTTCGAGAGAGGCTGTCTTTTTATTGACATGTGAAGCGACATGTGACCTGGCTCCAGTTTGTCGGTAAAGAACATTTTAGCCCAGATAAGAGAGGGCCAACTGTCAGTTTGACAGGCAACCCCACAAGTTCATGCTTGCCTTGGATAAATTCCACGTGTCGGCTGTGTTGTATCATGCATATTGGTTGAGCCTTTGACAGTAACCATACTGTTCGGATAACCAACTATCTTGGACTGGTTTAGAAAAACCTTACAAGGTAAAATTTTAACAAGTTTTTCTTGTCACAGTTCAGGCCTATAATTATCAGAGAAGCTTTTTAGGGAAGCTTCTAAGCGAGTATCCCTTGTTCGACTGCTTGGGGGATGATGTTGGACAGGAGGAGCTCTCCGTGTACAATGTACAATACAGCGGGATAGGTCGCAAAGCGGCTGGAGCGTTCTATGGCCATCGTATGATTCTGAGAGAGGAGTGGAGTAAAGTAAGAACTGGACCTAACTACAAAGAGCGATGCCGTGAGAAAAAGGAGTCTCGCTTGGAGAAAACCGGAAACCTTATTTCTTCAGGCAATAAACACGGGGCTTTGAAGTACCGAGTCTGCAAGTGAAGTGGCTCTGCCTAGCGTATACCCACAGGGACTACCGAATTTCCTGAGTTGGTGCGGCATACCTTTACTGAATGACATTTTGTTTAAAGTTTGCCCACAAGGCGCAATTGGGAGGATGTTGTTAAACTAGAAGGTGATATCTTAATTGTCTCTAGTTATGGAACCTGCTGTATTTTCTAGATCTGTAAGATACTAATCCTAATTGATTTAATTAATTATATAGTCCCTCTTATCTTTGGAATGCAGCTCGTTTTCGGGAAACGCGGTGCTCAAGTAGCCTTTGCGGTTTAACAGATGCCAGTGCATGGCCCTTTATAAACCCTTGTTATTTAAAATTACAACTGGATATGCCGACGCCGATTTATCCGATGTGCTGTTAAGCTTCAAGAAGGGGATTTAAGCTTCTGGAACCTATATACATCTTAAAAATACGAGAATTTTAATAACAGTATAAAGTATATACTCTAAACAATTATATATCAGGAGAGCATATTTTCTGCTGTAACTTTCACATTTCACATCTGTTATCCTACCTCATTCTGGTGTCTCTCCCCCCTCCCAAACTATCTCAAGATGGTCCACCAGTACTGGCTGGTAACGCTACCCATCCTGGTGCTGGATGCTGCACAAGGCGTTGTTGCAATTCCCGGAAGCCACGCAAGGAAATCGAACCCATCGCCTCCTGGACTGCATGTTCTGCCTCTGATTGAAGATAATTCAGATGACTATCATTCATGGATTGCTGAAGTTGCAGCTGGCACTCCCCCCCAGAAAATGAAGCTGAATTTGGACATAGCCAAATCGACAACATGTATGAGATTCCAGTCAACAGCCGATATTCTTTTCACTGACAATTCTAGGGTTTATTTCAGACAAGACCTTTGCGGAATGTGATGGCTGCAATGATGGATACTACCAACTCAACAAATCCAAGACCTCGTCCCCAATTCTGGGCCATACTGCAGTCTCCTATGGCGATCCAACGACATATCCGCCAAGTAACCAGACCTTTGATCTTGATTTTCACAAGGACAAATTTAACATTGCCGGCGTTAGCATTCCTAAACAGGTCTTTGGTCTTTTCAACCCCTACAAGGATGAGTTCTCCGGAATTGGTGGGCTTGCACTTGGCCCCAATGTGGAACATGGATATGCGCCGGGGAAGATATACAGCTCGTTCTTGGATAACCTCGTTGCCAACAAAAAGATTGCCAGCCGTACTTACAGTATTGACCTACACGAGCACGGCTCTAAGCCAGGCAAGTCCTTTTGTTGTGCGAACAGACTATTCCACTAACGCTCCGTCGGATAACAGCTTCAATTATTCTTGGTGGCATTGACACGGGTAAATTCAAGGGCAAACTTGTGAAAAGGCCGCTGGTGAAGGATGAGCTTGGCACATTTGGGCAAGTACTCAAGTCTATCTTTCGAGAAGAAGATGATCTAACCTTGGACATTTAGACCTTCAATTGTTCTCACAGGCCTCCGCCAGACCACCCCCAAAGGAAAGAACCACGCTAGTGAAGTGACAAGCTACGAAGTTCACAAGAACGACTCGGTCTTCCTCCTCGACAGCTCGAATCAGTACCTCCGATTCCGCCATTCCTTTGTCGATCCTCTTTACAAGACTCTCGGCGCGGTGAACGACGGACATGACGCCTATTTCGTGCCTTGCGAGAAGCGTAACATGCCTGGTAGTTGGGACTTCCAATTCGGCGATGTCACGATCAAGATCCCTTACAACAAGATCATCACCACGCAGTCAGCTGATAAGGGCAAGACTTGTTGGGTCGGTGTTTTGACAACTTGGAAAGGACAGCTAGTCCTTGGACGTAAGTTGACCTTGCTTCTGGTAGGAGATTTTGTGAATACCTGCTGATACGTGAACAGAACCTTTCTTGGAAGCTGCCTATCTTGCCTTCGACCTCGATAATAAGCAGGTTGCACTGGCTCCACCAGCAAACTGCGGTGAAAAGCTAGTTGCATTTGGTTCGGGCCCTGATGCTATTCCCAATCTGAAAGGGTGTTAGTCTATAGGCTTAGATGATGGCAAAATTTGGCGTAGTAGTACGCCATAAGGCTTGGTGATGAGGAAAGACAAATCTGGGCTGCGTCATGTTCCTGACCTTGTCTAAACTAATAAATTCACTTCCTATAATCTTAATTCAACTTTCTGCAACTCAAGACAATGTAAATAGTTGCAATTTATACCTCTATCCCCAGCTTGCCAATAACATTTCCTCGATGTTTGACCAGAAGAAGCATTGCCACTTTATTATATTCTACTATCCATCAGTGATAAGCCAACATCTCATCCCTCGGGTCTTCCGGCTCTCCTTCGTAATTGGGCCTCGTATTAATGGCTTTCCATTCCTGTTCAAGTATAGCAACAGCATCAGTGTTGGCTAAACGATCGCTGTCCCACATAACATACCCCCACTGGCGCAAGGGCCGTGATACAAAATCGCCGAAAAGGTTGCTATATGCCTCTTTCCAGAAAACAACCCACGCCAATGGAGGCGACTCATAACAGTCGCCATTGAAGCTCATCTTCGCTCGGTCATCCTGAGCTTGGTCTTTTTCAGAGTGCTGGTTCTCGCGTCTTTGTTCTTGGAGGAAAGGTATAGTGCTCCGGAAAAGCAGGTCGCTGACGACCGCCACAATCTCCTCCGAGACCACTTCAACTAGTTTCAGGTGGTCTTTTGACTTGAATACAGAAGACAGAACGGAAAGTCCCCTAGAGACCATGCCATTCCTATACCACTCTGAGGACACTAGAGGAGTCAATAACACATTTCCAGGTATATAGTCATTGTACTCACTATCACTGACAAGGTGATATGCACCGGGTGGCGTATGTGGACCAGTCCTTACGATATCGAATGACGGGTTGTCTGGGTGCAAGTCCCATTGGACCTCCTCAAACACACTGTCATACTTGGCGTGCATAAAGGCGTTGATGCACAACATTTCTTCAACCTCCCATGCTTCAAAGTTATCCAGAAATAGGCCAAGCCTTTCTTCCTCTTCAAGCAAACTATCTCCATAACGGAAGCCCACGTCTCGGGCGGGCCCAAAGAGGTTACTGAATATTTGGAAGCGGTATAAGCCACGCATGATGCGCCTCTCCTCTGTTCTGCTGATTTCTTTCGGCGAGGAGAGAGATTCCATATTTGCATGAGTCCAGGAGACGTAGTGATTTATCAGTGGGCGAATAACGGAAGAATGGAAAGCGGCGATGCTGAGGATCTCATCCTCATCGGGGCGTTTAGTAAGTACATCTGTCATCAATGAGCGATGCGATTTGTAATCCTCAATGAATAACAAAATCCTTTCCCGATTCCGTTTCAAGCGAAATTCAGGACTGTTGCATTGATTGGCGATATAGGCATCAACATAAATATGGCCCATTTCAAGTTGTAAGCAATGCCACAGCCAAAACGCTCGGTCAAGTCGATACTGTTCATGAAAGGTAGGAGATGCATGAACCAAGGCAGAAAGGTCTGATATGGAGTCTATAGCAAGTAGAAAACCGTTCCGGATCTCAAAGGGAAGCCGTTCAAGGTTGGAAAGAGAGGGAGCCCTTGGGCTAGCGGAGACAGCGGGTGTTGCAAGAGGCATCTGAATAGGCCTCTGTTCCTCCTTCCGAGGACCTTTCCTCTGCAGCAGCCGTTTCAATCTCTGCATTTTAAAAGACGTTCACGAAAAGAGAAATTCCGAGCAGAACTACAGGTTGTAAGCTTTATTGAACATGAGTAGATATGGCTTGGGCTTGACTGCTGGGCTTGTTATGGTTGGCTGCTTACCTGTTCGCTGATTCCTTGCAGAAGTTTCCGCTCGCATGTGTCAGCTTTCCCTCAAACGATTGACTGACTGTTGAGCAAAAGTTGGTTGTTGGGAGATGTTAGAGACAGAATTGCCGGAAAAGCACATCAGAAACGTACGTTCGAGATATCCCGCGGCTAGAGCGGGGCAAGTCAATCAGCCAATTAAATCGCGTCGTCTGGCGCCCGGAAACGCGCTTATCACCAACAGTCACAACGAGGCTGTGCTGGTCTGTCATTTCGGTTATCAAGCACAGCCTTTTACCGATTTCTACGGAGTTCGAGTGTTGCTGAGCGTATTTTCATGCTGCATGCAAGGCCATTTAATTGGCCCCGGCCAAGACGCGCGTCTAAATGCCATCGTTGACGAATTCAGTCTCTCAAATGCACTCATGTGATCATGCCGGCGAAGGTAACGGTCTGTTGGTCCAGGAATAAAACAATATGCCATTCAATTCTTTTTTAAGCTCTTTCCCAGGTTTCTGTCGGCTGGTTTCGACCAAACCTGAAACTCGCGAGACCAAGTCTATCGGCCATGCGTTCGACCAACATGCCGATGGACTTTGGTGTTGGAGATCCTTTATATGTCGAATGTGTAGGTGATTGGGCTGCGTCTCAAGTATAAGAGAGCTCTCCATCTCTTTCTAGGTCCATAGAAGACAGAAGATCATTCAAACAGCACTTCATCATTCAATCTCGTTGCCATTGTTCAAGTCTTTATTTCGTGTCAAGATATCGACGCGCCATTTACCAATACTTGCATCTTGTATCAATTTGTTCGATTTACATACTCCCTATCACGTTCTTTAAATCAATTGTACCTTTATTCCCATCATGTGTTACTCCTGCAACACTAAAGGATATTTCTCTAGCCGATGCAAAGACGGCAGAGGTCCTATGGTAGAGAGGCGAACGGACGAACTTGAGATGATGGCAAGGGTAAGTATTATAATATGATCGACCATATATTCTACATGTCTGACTCATTGTAGCCTGCGCAGAACTATGGGCCCGGAATCGCTGCTCGCGAGGTCTCACGTCTTCCTAGCCACCTGGAGGCTCGGGCATCCTCCTCAAGCCGCTCTGATAGCAGCTCCAGTCGGGCTAGCTCTAGGCCACAGGCACAAACTAACATTCAATACGAACCATCAATTATGTCTGTTGACTCGAAAGAATCGCTTGCCAACGGCTTGATGTCTTTCAGATTCGAGATCAAAGACATGGGTGAACGTATTGAATACCTGATTGCTCTCAGGAAGCGGCTCTCCCATAAACAGAAGAAGATCAATCCTGCGGAGTACGAGCAGGCACTAAACTCGCCGTCCATGATTGTGCTTTATGAGGCGTACAAACAAGCGGCTGCGTATACTACCCAGTGCAAGAACGCCTATGAACAGAGGATGGCTCAGTACAATAACAGGTTCCTCTTTGCAAGTAACGAAGACCAGATGGAAATATATGCTTTGCAGGAGAATTGGGTCAGGGCAACAGTCAAGTAAGGGCAACCTTGAACAAACAAGATATAAAGTTTTGGGGGCTGATGATATGACTATCTTAGTACTGCCGAGCAACGATTGAACTATCTACAGCAGTTTCCATTTGCCTACCAAAACAAAGAGGCAATCAGGGGTCACATCCTTGCAGCAGAAGGTTCAATGAAAGCGGCCTTAAATGCCCTGAAGGATGTGGAGATGAACAAGAGGGGTAAGTCATATGGAATCTGTTCAGCGATGATAGCATTCCTCTTTGCAACATCGGGTAATCTGACTGTTATGTTAGTTTTATTTGCGAAAATGAGTAGGGAAGGCCCGTGGGTTTAGTTATTCTCGTAATAAGTATAGGTACTTGAAGTTATCCAGGTAAAGGCGGCTTGTCTTGAAATTGTCAGAAACATGTTAGCGCTATAATGCTTGAATATATATTTCTCAACGCATATTAACAATATTCACATTTCTTAAAACTTTTCCCTTCTCTTTTCTTTAAACTCTCTTCCCTAATAAGTAGCTGAGATCTTTATCAACAATTCCTGACAAAGTCTCTCATAAAGCCAGTGTCCTTTTTGAAAAAGGAAACTACCACGTTCTCGAGAACAGTATGATCTTGGTGTATGGACTGCATGACGTCACGACTGAAGACGTTCAGCAAGCGTGCGACCTAGCGACTGAGACGTATGCAAAGAAGATCTTAAACTGGCCAAACGGAAGACTTGAGATGCCAGAAATCTTCAAAGTTAAGAGCCACGATGAAGAACTGAAAGATTTGGAGCATTGCATCGAACGATTTGTTGGTCATCTTCATGACGTCTTTGAGGCGTCACCACCCAAAGACTTACCCACCTACCCTCACGCGTTCGTTGTTATGGACGAGGACTGTTTGAAGGCTGATGCGACTGCTACTCTGGTTCTTGCGCATAAGCCAGAGGATGACTGGAGAGTTCAGCATTGCTCTGTGCCCATTGGCGTTGAGCTTGGTCTGGCGGTTGAGAGCTTGAGATTGGGCGACGTGACCGAAACAGATATGCTTAACCAGTTTACCAATTAAATCGATTACAGATCTTATTTTTAGTCTAATAATTGGTCATTCATAGTGACCTTGCATATAATTCAAGACTCAAAGATTCATGCTAAATCCGTATAGAAGCTCCGTTCGTCTCTCCATTTGCCCTTCCCAACTGCTAAACATCCCAACATCCATTCCATCAGCTTGTCGCCTCCTTCTTTGCTTTCTTAGCAAGAAGTTTATCCAACGTCTCATGAGCAGAAAGCAGCGTCTCGCCACTTGTACCAGTGTGATAAGGAGTATTCGTCGGTCCATCAGATACGCGAACGACATAGTTCTTGGGTTGATCATCGACAACCAGCCGCAGCAGGTCAGGTCGTGAGTAGTGACCTACACAATCAGTCAACGTCTTTGCGTAGTCAATTTTATCCAGATCAATGTCGCAGTAAATCAGGCCATCAAACAAGGGGTCAGTAGGCTCAGTCAGCTGTCGGCCATCCGGACCAAAGACAGCTGCGGCACCACCGCCTCCAGCGAGCATGAAACCGTCCTTGTCTGCGTTCCCTTGACCCTCACTGTTTAACTTGGCGCCTTCGGCGGATAGTGGCTGGTTGGTCACGAGGACGTATACAGCACCTTCCAGGGCATACATGCGACTGGCTGTGACCTCGTTGGCCTCTGAAAAGACTGAGTAGGGCTCAACAGCTGATTCGGTCCACTTTGCATTGAACGGCCAGGCCGCGATATGAACTTGTTCACCTTGGCAGTAGGTGTGATACTTGAGGAGAGGCTGAAGGTGTTCTATTATCACGTCATTAGCAGAGGATCAACATTATGCGTCAAACTCGTCAACGTACCCCAACAGTTCAACATGCCAATCTTTCCCAAAGGGGTATCCACCACGGTAGTGAGAGAATCCCCAGTGGAATCGCCAAAAATAGTCCTCTCAACATGTGTAGGCTTTGTTTTGCGACGATGAAGAAGAGTATTTCCGTCAGGACCGATAAGGACCTGAGCGAGATACAACGAAGCTCCAACCCGCTCAGTGAAACCAAGACATACGTAGATGTTGGTAGCTGCCGAAGCTTGACGGATCTCAAGCATCTCGTCTTCAGTAATATGTATATTCATATTCCTACCTATAGCCTTTTACTAGCTATAGTAATATATCAAGGTAAACCCCAATACATATCCTTGAGTAGCCAGTTATTCTCTTGGTTTAACAATTCAACTTTCTTTTCTAACTCAAGAATTCGATCCCTCGCTGCATCTAGGACCTGTCCCCTGCTAAGGGAATACCCAATATGGCCTGCAGTATCTCTGTCAGTGTAGGTAGAGGCCTGTGCCGTAGGTAGGACTGCAAGAAGATTCTCAAACTGAATCCTAAGCCGGTTGCGATATTTCTTCTCAACTTGATTATGGCACTTTCTGGCCCGTACTATGTCCCTTGAAGGAGCTGGTTGATGATTTTTTCGGTTCTTTGGTTTTTGTGATGCTGATCGGAGTTGGATATACGGATCCTGACTAGAATTCCTTCTGCTAGGGACTGTCAAGCCTAAGGAGCTATCAACATCCCTCGCGGAAAGGTCAGGTCCGCGAAAGGCCCGGCTATATTGCTCCATGTTAGGTATATAATTAACTTGGTTAGAAGCTGTTTCAGCACCTATTTGAACCGTAGTTGATGGATCAGCTTGCAGAAAATCGGAATTTTCGAATTGCATCATATGATCCGCAAGGAAATACTCGGAATTCAAAGATTCCTCTTTGTCATGTATGCTTCCTTCAATAGTGGCTATTTTGAAGGCTATAAGCAGTGGCTCTATACTTAGCCGGAAGCATATATTTACCTTGTCTCATCGAAGGATTAGGAGATATCTGTGTCTTTGTGTTAGTTTATTAGCTTCTCCTGACTATAAGAAGTAAATTTGATAAGGGAAGGACGTTGTAATGATGTGGACCCAGTTTATATAAGGTGATCATATGCAGGGGAAGACACAACAAAGCCATCGAGAATCTTACCTGGAATTGTGTCATATTGGAGACCTGAAAGAAATTATCGAGGCCATCCTGAGTATTCCAATTGGCCATGTTGACGCCACAGTAACACTTTGATTTGACACCAATCCTGATAAATCCGCCGAGGGAACGATTAATAAGTATTGTGAATTAGCCCAAGTTGCCAAATTATCAAGTGGCTGCATTGACGATTTATTTAGACTTCGAAAATAATGCCACCTCTCTTTCATAGGTAGGCCCAGACAAAAGGTTGTCATCCACGTCATCTTCTCAATAGTGGGGTATCATATATTTTTCTAGGCAGTTGCCGATAAATATTAATTAATCGTATGTCCCTGGCACAAGCTGTTCCTTAATTCAAACTCGGTTATCGGCCCATTTATTCTGAGCGTTTGTAATTGACAGTAAACATAAGAGCGGGCCACCAGTATTGGTAAAAGATAACAGAACTTTATATCTCATTTTATTAGACCGTTAAAAATACCATTTTCCTCTTAATATTTATTATTAGTATTTTAGTAGTTAGGTTAGATAATAGAGAAACACTTTACTAGTAGTATATGCAATACAGGACACTATATAGTTCTGTTAAGCCTGTTTAAAACAGATTCTGATAAATTGTAACATACCTGTTACGACCCTCGCGGTTACGTGAACCCCAAAAAAATTCTCCATCTTACTCACCAATCAGGATAGGACAAAATGATTCCTTTTCGGTCCCTCATGTTCGACTAACCATGTAAGGAACGAAATACCAGAACATCGGTCTGGGACCGAACTACAGTTATCTCAGTCCTCCAAGGAAGTCTCACCCGGTACCTTCCACGACCAAGTATAAAACATATATTCGTTAACACTTTTGTAGATCTTAGATTACCAGCTATTAATAAAACATTCCTTTATATTAATTAAGCCTAATACGTATTAAATCTACCATTTAGAGACGTGATACTTCGACAACGCTCAGTTTACGCCCTACGCAAACTGCCAATAATAAGCCTAGCACGGCTCAGTTTAACACAATTGGACCCAACCTCACAATACCTTTCGAGGGTTCCTGGACTGAAAGTTCACCTCATCTTACCTCGGAAATGCTCAGAGTGCTCCAAAAGTAGTAATTCTAAAGTGGATAGGTTCGAGTCATGCCATACGCTACTTTGTGGCTATTTACTTTATGGTCTTAAAATACATGCAGATGTAGTCCATAATCAACGAAAGGTCGCGGTTTAATTACTTAACATTTATCACACACCTGGGTTCTGTAGCTTAACTGAACGTATTGCTACTTTACAGAAGAACTGAACTAAAGCTCTTAAAATATGCAAGATTGCGTGGCGTTATGTGGTGAATTTTTAGTGGACTTTCTTTGTATTTTCTGGCTAATACTTATTTTCAATGAACATTTATGATCCTCCCAATTCGATCATTACTTACACTATTGATAGTTGTGCAGTGATCAGTACGCTTCAATACAATACAAAATACAAAGAAAAGAAAGGGGCTGATATAGAGTAAATTCAGTAAATACAACTGCAATTCATGAAAGTTTGTAACCATAGCTTTAGAAGCTTCTCCTGGAACAAGGCTGGCTTAGCAACTCTTGGTCATGAATCGGGTGATCATACCGAGTCATGTATAGACTCCTCACTTCCATGAAAATCACCAACCTATTTTTGACGCATGTAGAGGATTGCGGGCATTTTTGGCAGCCTGATTCTAACGAACTTCGAAGTTTTGCAAGTGGAACACTTGGTATTTTGTCGCTCTTCGTCTCTAGGTACATCCTTTGAAGTGGAAGACATTAGCATCTCGCGACAATCATAATGAGTCATGCAGTCCGAGCCTTCCGGAGCCTACTCGCCAGAAGCTCGCCAAGCGAATTACCAAGCTTCTCGTCGACTCAACTCTAGACAGCATGATACCGAAACCCGATGGCGAGCTATTGCGCTTGCCACTTGGTCAGTCTAGGCGGATCCCACCCCTGCGATTCAGCACAACCGAAACATTGAACCAAAACTATATCCTCAGCGAGAGAGAGGATAATGCGAAAAGAAGAACAGAAGAACTCGTCAACTGCAAGTTTCGGCTCACTCTCTCCCCTCCCAACTTGACACAATCTCTTGGACCGTCTTCTCTTTTTAATAAAATCTATTGGTATTTAGATATTGTAATTAAGCTAGTTAAGATTAGGTCAAGAGAAAGCTACTAATTCGAGCTTGGGTTTGAGCCCGTTCCGTATGAAAACAGTCTGCATGTTTCACAAGTGCACAGTGTATCCGTCAGTGGCTTGGAAAAGCATCCCATAGTGGCGTGTAGCATCCGTGCTCTGATGAACCAACGGAAAAAAAACCGGAGGTGGTGGGTTGAGGGTAACGACCCACTTAGTGATGTCTCAGAACCATACAAAACCTTGCAGTGCCAGCTGCTCTTGGTATGGCTCCACTACCTCTTCTTTGAAGCCCGATGCGGAGTGGATTTGATCTATTTAAGATCTGCCCCACTCCCTCGTCCAAAATTCTGACAGATCGTCCGAGTCCCGTATCAACCAAGGACCGCCATGCGCCGTGACACGCGTTGCTGACGTGGTATCTAAGGCTCACACACTCCAGCATGAAGTTGGCCGCTCCCGCTCAGCCGCTCATGATAGAATCATAACATCTGTCTTGTTGTTGACACGAGTAAAAACTAAGAAGCGCTCGTTAAGTGAGTGGTGATATTATCCCCTGAGTCGATGAATAAATTATTGTTCTTATCGCAACATGGTGGATAGGATATTCTAGTTGCAAATTTGTGCCACCGTTGTTGATTGTTGTTAATAATGTTGTCTTGTATCTTTTTTATTGCATCACACTGGCCTCTTTTAAACAGATGCCTATATCTCAAGATTCCTTTGGTCTTCCACGGATGATTAAGCGGAAGAGAGTACCCAGATAGACAAAAGAGAATCTTAATAGCGTGTAGCACTTCAGCGATCATAATGCCTTGAGTTATTCATTCAGCTAGTATTCCCTTGCAATGGTGATTTTTAAAGAGAAAGAAAATTTGTTAATCAAATAGTCAAGAAAAATGCCGTTCCATGCAATTCAATCTATTAATTACCAGGCGTAGAGATTAAACCTAGTTACTTAGAAGGGCTACTGAAAGGCTTTAGCTATCTGGTACGAAAACTCGCGATATAAGTCAAATCCTTAGGGTGCGATGCCTTGGGCTAGCGCAACATCTCTGTAAAAAGTTCGGTTTTAATAGAGCATGCTATCATTGGCGGCGGCCTTCAAGCTGGTTCTGTCCACTTGGCAACGTACCTCGTGTCACAATTCCTGACAGGTTGGGCTATCGGCGGGCTCGTCATACTTGTGCCTCTTTGGCAGAGTGAGGTTGCGCCTCCTCATGTTCGTGGCCTCCTCGTTGGTTTTCACCGTGTTTCGATCTTGGTTGGATACTCATCGTCTGCTTGGGTCGGATTCGGCTTCTACTTCGTGAATGCGGACGGGGCTCAGTGGCGTCCTCCTTTGGCCATACAGTGCTTACCTTCTCTTATCCTCGCTTGTGGTGTCTACTTCATTCCTGAGTGTCCCTGATGGCTCATCGATAACGATCAGCATGAAAGAGCTGAGGCTGTTTTGCGGCGTATCTACGGAGACTCCAGTGATCCCGACAACCATGCAGCTCGGGCTGAATTTGCTCAGATTCGCGCTCAGGTAGAACTTGAGCGTCACTTGCCACCCTCTTGGGCTTCCCTCCTCACCGTGCCTTGTTAGCGGAAAAGGGCCTTGATTGGTTTCACCACTATTCTTGCTGGCCAACTTACAGGAACTACCGTCATCAACAACTACGGACCTTCCCTGTATGCAGCTCTCGGACATGGTGCTTCTGCTAGTCTCGCACTCTCGGCTGGATGGTTGCCCGAAGGACTTGTCTGCAACGCCATCAATGCCGTCCTCCTTGACTACGCCGGAAGAAAATGGCTGATGGTTACCGGCCTTATAGGTTGCGCCATTTTGCTTCTTGGTGTAAGCATTATGGTTGCTCTTTATGGGGGCACGACAAATAAGGGTGGTAATTCGGCTGGTGTCTTCTTCTTGTATCTGCACCTCACCTTCTATGCCACCTGCGTGGATGCCTCCACTTATGTGTGCGGCTCTGAGATCTGGCCTACCCATCTTCGAGGGAAGGGATTTGCGATATCCTGTGCCGGTCTTTTCGCTGGCTCTCTTACCCTTCTCGAGGCTGCACCGACTGCCTTTCAAACCATTGGTTGGAGATTTTATTTGATCATGATGGCGTTAACACTTATTTGTGCCATCATATTCGCCCTATTCTTTCCTGAGACCAAGGGAATGACCCTTGAGGAGATTTCAGCTCTTTTTGACAATGAAGTTGCTATCGAGGCCTCGAGTGATACCAAGACTTTGTCCAGTAGCAGCGGCAAGAAAAAGGTGAAGGTTTAGCTTTTTGTGTACCGGAGTCTCTTATACAATTATAACCGGACTTGAGATGTGTTTTTTTTTCAATTGGGTTGTATTTTGATCTCTTCACATTAATTTTAAATTCTCTCTGAATAATTCGATAGCTATGTACAATCGAGCACCCCAGCTCTTGATAGCCTTCACAACAGAGTTTCACAGTTATTTGTTGCACCGCGGCTAGCACGGATCTACATATTACCGCCGTAGTTAGCTGTTAGTGGAGATATGGGTACTTCACCTACCAATGTAAGACTGCGCACGTCTGATAATCAATCATGTTCTGGCGGATAAATCCCCGACTGGTTAATCCACTTTCGGCGTAACCCCCATAGTCAGAACATAAGTTGTAGGTTCCCCCGCATCGACTGTCTGGCTTTCTTCAGAGGAAACACTTTGTTGGACATCTAGAAACCTTCATTGACTGTTCTCACCAAATATCTTCTCTCCCGCAGTGATCATGTTCCGTCAAATCCACTTGGATAAAGGCTGGAAGTTCAAGCAAGCCAGTTCTCTGAACGATGGCACGGCTTCGTCCTTCCTACCCGTCGCGCAATTTCCAACTGTCGCTCATATTGATCTTTTGCATCACGCGTTGGTCCCTGATCCCTATATCGACATCAATGAACTGAAGTGTCTTTGGGTCAATGATGCGGACTGGACATATCGTACCGAGATCCTTCCACTCGATCTGAAACCGTCTGAAAAGGCAGAGCTTGTCTTTGAGGGCCTTGATACAGTGGTTGACGTGTATCTGAATGATTCGCATATCTTGTTCAGCAACAATATGCATAGGTCTCATCGTATCGACGTCACCGACATGCTACGGGGTAGAGAGGGACCATCTGTTCTTGAGCTCAGGTTCAAAGCTGCCCCAGAATATGGCCGTTCTGAACGTCAGCGGATTGGATACAAGACGACAAAGGTTGGAAGAGGTGTCAACTTTGGCGGGTCTGAGAGACTCTTCGTCAGGAAGGCTCAGTACCATTGGGGTTGGGACTGGGGACCAGCCATGAACACCTGCGGTCCCTGGAAGCCCATATACTTAGAAGTCTACGAGTCACGAATCTGCGATCTCCGGGTTACCCAAGATGTTGCTCCAGATCTCTCTTCTGTGGACATTAAAGTCGAAGCGCACTTGGAGGGTCACAACAGTATCAATGAGGTTCAGGTTCAGTTACTGGACGTTGAAACAGGGGCCATTGTGGTGGATGATAAAGCATCGAAATCGACTAAAGGGGCTCTATCCTTTACGATCAAGCTCAACAAACCGAAGCTGTGGTACCCGTTCTTGTATGGAGAGCAAAACCTCTATCTCCTCCAAGTCAGCATTCCAAATCACACTGTGAGTAGAAAGTTGGGTATCAGACGGTTGCGCCTACTGCAACACCCGCTCAAGGATCAGCCAGGGACGTCATTCATCTTTGAAGTCAACAACATTCGTCTCTTCAGTGGCGGTTCTTGTTGGATACCCGCGGATTTCATGCTGCCGCGAGTGTCCAAGGAAACCTACGAGAAATGGATCACTCTTGCCAAGGCAGGAAATCAGTCTATGATTCGTGTCTGGGGAGGTGGGATTGTTGAGAGCGATGACTTTTATGATATATGTGACCGTGAAGGCATCATGGTCTGGCAAGACTTCTTATACGCATGCGGCAACTACCCTGGTTCGCCAGATTTCGTTGCCAATGTCAAGATCGAAGCGGAGCAACAAGTACAGCGTGTTGGTCACCATCCCTCTCTTGTCCTGTGGTGCGGGAATAATGAGGATTACATGTGCGCAGACGGAGATCGTTGCTGGGAGGTTGACTACAGTGACACGACTGGTCCATGGGATAAGACCACATTTCCAGCACGCGAGATTTATGAACGCACTCTCCCTTCCGTCATCAAAGCATCAGGAACTGACGTCCCGTATTGGATTAGCTCTCCTTATGGTGGAAGCTTCTCCAACGACACAACGGTTGGTGACACACATTGTTGGGATGTCTGGCATGGCAAGCTATCACCATACCAGGACTACAAGGCCTACACGTCCCGCTTCATCTCGGAATTTGGCTTCGAGTCAGCTCCCAGTCTCCAGACTCTTCACCGAGCTATCACGTCTCCCAAAGAGCGCCATGGACAGTCGAGGACTTTTGACGTCCACGACAAAGGTCCCGGTCATCAAAGACGGTACCCAATGTACATGGGTGAGAACTATCGCTTTCGAATGAATCCTCTCAGGGATTTTGTATACTGCACGCAGTTCCTTCAAGCCGAGGCGATGGCGTATGCTTATAACTGTTGGCGACGTGAGTTCCGAGGGCCTGGGGAAGAGAACTGCGCTGGCGTCTTGGTCTGGCAGCTAAACGACATCTGGCCTGGTATTAGCTGGGCCCTCGTTGATGTTGACATGAATCCCAAACCAGCATACTACATCACTAAGCGAGCATTGGACAAGATGGTTGTTGGAATGGAACGAGTCGTCACCGAGAAGCCGCCTTATATCACCACTGGTTATCTCGATAAGAAGCACAAGGTCGACATCTGGGCTGTCAATGGCCATCTCCATGAGATGAGAGTCACGTTGGAGGTGAAGGCGTTTGATATTCAAAGTGGAAAGTCAATCGGATGGACACGCTCGGACGAGTCGAAGGAATATGCTTTAAAAGGAAACCGTTCAACTGAACTTTTGGCTGGGCTGGAGATTCCAAACCCAGATGAAACAGTGTTGGTTGCATATCTACGAGACATCTCATCTGGAGAACAAGTGGCAAGATGGGTGAGCTGGCCGGAGCCTCTCAAGTATGTGCACATGTCTTCTGATCTGAAGGTCAATACGGAAATAGTGGACGATGGATCAGCAGTCATTGTGAGAGCCAATGCACCAGTCAAGGGAGTTGTGTTAAGTGCATCCAGCAGCGATGGCAAGAACTTGGTCTTTGACAACAACTTCATCGATCTGGTGCCAGACGAAGAGGTGAGGATCGGGGTAACCGGCCTCCTGGGTGATCGTGTTGATGTTAGGTTTCTTTACGACTGGGAGCTCGAGCCGGGATTTGAGTTGTAATACTACCTCTTTGGGATAAGTTATTGGAGACCTATTACATCATATCGTTAACCCACATTGACAGGGTTTGCTAGGTAGCTAGAGTAATATAAGCCTGATGGTTAAGGTTGAAACTGGCTTCGCAGCTTGTTAGTTTTTGACTCCAAGAGTCAGTGAGTCCATTCATCCCGATCATAATACATACTCAGACAGCCACAATTCAGTCTAGACCGGCTGTATTGAATCTGGGTACTGGCCGTCCCCTCCCGCCCCCACATGCTCTATATAGCTGCGTCTAAAACTGTAACTATTGCTTATTATTAGAACGCCGTGGCTAGCTGTGCTTCCAGAAAGAGGGAAATAATTTACCTATGGGCGGTTTGCTAAAACAGGCCAGATCTAGAACACGTCAAGCGAGACAGCCTAGGGGCTTTTAGTCACGGAACTGAAACCTATTCGCTGAGGGGTTCAGCCTTACTAGAATGCCAGAAGCATACCTATTTGCAAAAGATATGGGTCAGAGAAAGCGGGAAGTAGTGTATAAGAATCAATACCTGCCACATCAGTGAAAGCTTATATTATGCAATAAGTAATATTGCCAAGATCAGGCTGCATCACAGCAATGATTTATACAGGGCCGATATGCTCTTTGCGTTATTTCTTTTCTCTTATCTCGTAAGTATACCAGTTCCATTATGGCTTATTAAAATGTCACTGTTGGTCACAAAAGTGCATCAAAACAAACGAAAGTGGAAGCGGCTGCATATTCTCGACCGACATTGACAGGGAGATAACAAGCCGAGAGTAAGCAACAGGGGCTTAAACTTGCAGCTATCCCTGTAATTCGCCGCCTGAGCCTCAGAATCCATCAAGCGGCTTCTTAATAGAGCGGCCGGCATAGCGGGGTAATAAGATAATGGGACCGATAGCAGGCAATAAGCTCGATGATTGGGGGCAGATGAACGCATCTGTATGCCAGTTGTCGCTTGCCTCCTGTTAGTTGTGATAATATTCAATGCTTGAAGTCAATGGTAGGCAGCTGAAAAGCGAGTCTCGCGATAATAGACATTCTAGTCGAGATCAGCAGGCCCGGTGTAGATCTTTTAGCAGGCGGTGCAAGGGGATACTAGCTTTATGATGCGATACCAGAAGGCTCTATTATCGCTGCCACCGGTCAAAAAGGACGGCCCGGCCCGGCCTGCCTTAGCGAGGAAGTTGAACCGAATACTAATTAGGGCCAAGACAGCAGGAAGCGAAGGCAATGCTCTATTTCTTTGGATCCCAGATAACAAGCGTCCACTAGGCCGTCGAATTGCTGATGACCGGGTCATGTGTTCATTCTATTCTGGGGGCTGACTGTCAGACTGTTATGGCCCGGTCGGTGTAATCTTGGTAAGTCATTGCCGATTGTGATTGGCGGTCCTGGTGGTGGGGTAGGAAAAGTCAAGATAAGCAGGCTATCCTGCTCCATCCCTCATTATTTGATTTTCTCGTCTGGCTTTCTTTGTACAGCATTAAATCGGCAAATTGTCCTACTCTGACTACGATCACGTCCCAGCGCGCGAACATGACGCTGTGCAATCTTTGCAGGACAATCCCCTTGGATACACTTCCTACGGTTCCTCAAGACATTAAATGTGGATATATGACCGGGTATCCATATATCCAATACTTCCGTGACTGGCGTTTGGAGGATAAAGGTTTCTTGCATTACCAAAGTCTCGATGCTTTACAAGGATCCGCATCGGATTTACACTGTGTTCTCTGCAATCTTATTCTAGAACAAGTGCTTCGGTGCCAAGCAGAGCTTGAGAAACTCAAGCCGAGCTGGGAACTGTATGGGGCATATAAGTATGCATGGCCGCTCTGGGAGTTCTGGCTAGTCAAGCCTGCCTCTGGGAGAGATGGCTTTTGGGTTATGACATTCACGGATGAACTAGGATTCAAGGGTGAAGTAAGGAGAGGTGAGGCAAGACTGGTTGCAGCCATTGGTCTCTGCGTTAAAGATGGTATGGTTGCCCAATCCAACCACAGATGACCAGCGTTGATAATATTAGGTAACCCACTGGAGGGAATTATTCGCGGTCGTCCAATTGAAAAACAGAGAGGAACACCGATAGCACTCGGAAGAGTGTGCAATTGGCTAAAAGACTGTGACAAACACTCTCACTGCAGCCCAACAGAAACTTTCTTGCCGACCCGTGTTATTGATGTTGGCGACGAATTCAACAGTCCTTATGTTAAGCTACGCGAAACGCAGAAATACGATGCGGGACGATATGTGGCATTGAGGTATCTGAGTCCATAATCTTAAGGCATATAGGAAGAATTATGCTAATATATAATATAAAGCTATTGTTGGGGGAACGTGCCACAATTCACAACTACCAAGTCTACACTTCAAGATCGAAAGGATAGTATCATGGTATCTAATCTACCGAAAACACATCAAGATGCCATACAGATTACCCAAAGGCTTAGAGTGAGATATCTATGGATAGACAGTATTTGTATATGCCAGGGTGATAAGGAAGACTGGGAGCGAGAATCAGCCAAGATGCTTTCAGTCTATGCTAACTCATATCTAACTATTGCAGCATCTAATGGCACTGATAGCTCTGAAGGATTATTCAGTGAGATACCAACAAGAAAATACGTTCAGATTGATCTAGTGTTTGGGGACCTACAAGGTCAAGTTTTAGCCTTCAGCCTTCCGCTCCGAGAAGAGGCATTCAGCACCGAGTGTTTGATGGAAGACAAACATCCAAGCTTTCCCACCTTTGTGGACTATATAACCTTGCCTAAAGAACCGCTCTCAGGACGCGGTTGGACTTTACAGGAGCGCGTTTTGTCTCATAGAACCCTTCATTACAGCAATCAACAAATGCTATTCGAATGCAATGAAGCATTTCTCGGGGAGGATGGCTTGTTCTTGCGAGCTAGATTCGAAACTGTCCATCAAAAGAGGAACGAAAGAGAAGCCACAGCAATTGATCAGGAAAGCAAGCATTCTATCTACAAAGACGCGTTATTGAAGTCATGGTATAGACTGGTTCAGCTATATGGAAAACGGCATCTCTCAATACCATCGGACAAACTTCCTGCTATATCAGGTCTTGCCAGCATCTTTGCAGAGCGGCTGGATGACCAGTACCTGGCTGGCCTTTGGCGATCGGACCTCGTCGTGGGGTTGTGTTGGCAAGGTCTAAAATACGGACGCAGACGCGTGAGAGAGTATAGGGCCCCTTCTTGGTCATGGGCATCGGTAGATGGAGATGTTTCACCAGGCATTCCATATACGTATAAGATATTGGCGAAGATAATGGATGTCGAAGTTACACTCAAAGGCGCAAATCCCTATGGCGAGGTCCTGGAAGGAAAGATCAAGATCTGTGCGCCGATGAAACGTCTATATCTGACTCGAAGAGGATCGACGCAACAGGCTGAATTTGAACTACGTACGAAAAACGCTCAGACTGGACGTATAAGTTGCTGCTTTGACTCTATTGAGTTCACTGAAGACCTTTTCAAGGAAGCAGGGGGGATACCCGAGAATATTCGAGCGAGGGAGCTTTTTGCTTTACTTCTTATAGAAACACCAGGCTTCAGCGATGGGCAGTTACCATTCTGGGGCTTGGTTATTGAAAGGATTCAGGAAAAGGAAGAGTATCAGAGAGTCGGGAACATTAGGACTTCCAGGAAAGCATTAAGAGAAGAGCTTAAAGGTAAAGGACAGGATCAAGCTCGGTTGATTACACTTATATAAGCGCGAAGTATATGCCAGAGAGAGTCGGAACAACCGAGACTGGGAACTCGATCCGGGATTTGAGTTGTGATACTACCTCATTGGGATCCATTACAACGTCTAGTCATACTCCGTTGTTGGGATTGGTTGGCCAGAGTAACATAGGGTCCAATACCAATACGACCTCTTTTCTCTTCTCGTATAAAACTTATCTAGTGCAGTGTTCCATCTGGCAATAGGCAATACCGTTGCTAGAGAAGCACATGGTCTAGCAATATATGTATGTTTTTAAAGTGCAATGGTCATGGCCGAAAACAAGGCTTTAACGTATAGCTTATACTTTTCCTGTATATTGGTCTAATTTACCAACTTCAAGGCTTCATATTTTAAGATAAGCTTTACGCTACAGGTCTTAGTTGCAAAAAGCACAGTGGCGGTCAGGTAACCTAAAAGTCCAGTACCTCACTAGAAGAGTAGCGCTAGGCAAACGACAGGGCACCCCTTGACACGATCGTCGATTCAGAGAATTAGGCGGTCTGAGCAGATCGAATGTTCCTCGAAAACGCAAAGACCTCAAAAGCAGGTCGTCTCATCAGCAACTAATATGTCTTCTATCCATCAAATAAATCTCGTTCTTTTAGATGAACATGCACTCTGACCTAGATGGACTGGGAAAACATTACTCGTCTATGATGGTCCCCCCAAGACTCCGAGGCTGCTGTGATAGCTGCACCAGAAGCAAGCTCAAGTGCAGCGGCGAAATGCCTTGTTGTCAACGATGTCGGAGACGAGGCCTGGACTGCATTTACAGCAAAGCTCGCCGTGCTGGGCGTCCACGTCTCAAGCCCAAGCCAAGTAAAGCATCTATCCTATCCTCTGTTGATCAGAAACCACAAACCGATATCGCGAGTTACAGCGACCAACCTTTCAACAGTCTTCAAAGTTCAAACGACGACCTCGTTCTGCCATCACTTCCAGATCTTGTTTATTATTCGCCACACTGTCAGGATATCGCATTATTGACGCAAGATCCTTGGACTTCAACGCCATGTCTCAGCTCAGATGTCACACAGCCGTCAAGCGTCTGCGGTTTAGATGACTTGATGCTGCAGGATGTTCTGTTGATTAACGCCGACGGCTTTAGTTCGACGTCACCTAGGAGTTTGCAGCAAGAGTGGAGTCAAGAAAGCGCTTTGCACAGCGATGGCCTAGGAGATGCCCGTCCAAAACATGATTTAAGCGGCGAGGGGACACTCTGTCATAGCTCCACGAGCCCACTGGGGCTCTACACTATCACAGGCCTGGACACAGATGATACCAGTAGCCATCTGACAGAGGTCGATATGGAGATTAACTCCATCATGGCCACTATCGCGGACATCGCCAAACAACCAATGGGATCGCATCATCTCCGCGACGAACTATGCACAACATGCTGGCCGCAGCTCTTGAGCAAATCCCAACTGCTCATGTATATCGCTGGGTCAGAGAACTCATCTCTCTTACGTCTGGATGCAGTACTACAAGTCTCGTGGACAGTCGAGCAGGTACAGAAACGGATTTCAGGATGTCCTACCTGCATGTCTCGGAGTATGGAGTTGTCTAGCATGCTTGCTCTGTTGTATGACTGGATCTCATCTCAGATTTCATATGCTCTTGAGAATCCTGCGGTTATCCAGAGTTGTCGTCTGACGATCGGTAACTCAGTCCTGACAGGGCAAAACGGCATTATCGGCACATACGAACTCGTTAGATACAGGATCATGAGAGCCATTCATGTAATAGAGAGCATAAATAACACGAATGCGACAATGGGGGAAGGGAATTCTGGCCATCTATACCAAGTGGTCAGACTTATGCTTGAAGTAGCTAAGAGTCGATTGGAAGCCATGTCAGGAATGATAGACCTTTTAGAAAGCGAGCAGTTCTGCAGTATATAAGAGTAAGATAAAATCTAGTGGTTTGGAGAGAGCGTTCTTGTGGACAGAATTCAACGGACTGTTCTTTCCTGTCTGTAATGCAAATCCGCGTGAGATAAAAGGACTAGATAGAAGAAATGTGTATATTGGTTGCCCTGATTATATGCCTGTCCCCTCTATGTGGTCATATCTGTCCAGAAGTGTCCTATCCACCTTTAGAAGTATGGGAAATGTAAAGATGTTCTTGCTACCATAATCTTCACACGGTCCATAGCCAGTTCTATTTCCTGGTCAAATCGCTGAGGGTGATGAACAGACCCTATTGTCCCGGACCTGCGCTTCATACCAATCCACCGAAGATTCTGTCCAATTCTTATAGCTGCGTCTCTGATAAGCCTTCTTGCGATGACTGTACTCTCACTATCATCGAGGATAATACTTCCAAATACGAATTTCTCTTTTGTGGATTCCTCAGGCGCCTTCGGACTATCATCTGACCGGTCAGACGATAGGCAGCTGTTGTCAGGTGTTTGAGTCCTTGTCGCTGGAGTATAGACTCGTTGTTCTGCTTCGAGGAGCAGCAGAATGTCTTTCAAAGCCAAGAGCGCATTTTCGATTGTCCGAGCATCGTTTGAGCATTGAGCACATGCTCGAATTGCAACCAATAATGTCGTTATTTTTGTATCGAGATTCATAACAGAACCAAGACTGCTCTTCTCAGACCGAGGGTGGTCAATTGCAGGAAAAGAAGTGCCGCTGTGGCATATGCAGGCTGGTTCATTGGACCTTTTTTGCTGGTACTTAAACATCGGGCTACAAGGTTGCTTGTTTGTTGGCCAGAGCTTTGACGATGTTTACAAAAGAGAATAAGAGCAATTCTCCCACGAGATGCGGTTTTTATTATTGCAAGAGATGAATCATATAAGTAAAATCCAGCTTAGATAAAATTGATCAACGCGACAGGCATGAACAGTTTTGCTTTTATAGATAGCACTTTGACTTGATAGTGACAGGGCTGTCTCGCTTCGTTTGATTGAGCCTATTATTATCGTCGCCCGCTTGCAGGAAGCCTGACTCAGTTGGCTCGGTGATGGGGACCCGGCAATCACATAAACTTCAGAGACTACGAGCCATCCCAGACTTGGTGAAAGTATAATAAACTATTTATAAACTCTATATACTTCTGAAGGAAGTGGAAAGATCTATATGCAATAATATCTATAAACTAAATAGACTCAGATTTATCTCGTCCACCACTTTTGGCTCGTCAAAGTCAGAATTCCAAAAATTGAGGTCCAACTCAAAACCCCCAACTGAAACATCCCCGCGAGCCAGGAAAGAACCAAGCGCCACACCAGCCTACCACTTGTGTGATAGATTTGTAGCCCGCCAACATCAGAAACATATTCCGTATCTTTTTCTCGAAGGGCATCTGGAATAAGCATGAAGCTCCTCCAAACTGTCAGGATCGAGATCTCCAATAATATCCAAAGCGCATGTCTGGGGTATAGAATCACACATCTCAGCAACGTGTAGGTGACCAAGAGCATCAGTGGCCCTTTCAGCCAGATGCATGCCACGTTGATAAATGGATATATGCTTCCTGTGCCGTCTTTTGTGATAAATGGTTCGTCTTCCTGTTTTTCTTTGTCCACGAATTCCAAAGACTGAACGCGTCTCGGCCGCATTGCAAGCCATAGTCTCAATGTCTTCTGCACTGTTAAAGCCGGATATCCCATGCAGAGAAAGGTATAGTTTGTACGTTCCCATCGAGAAAACATCAACAACGCCTTTTCAAGAGTTTCAGGAGCCATTGTATGAACAACAGCGTTACTCTGATAAACCGTTCTCCAACCGTCGCAGAGAATGCGGTATGCTAGCTCCATATCTTCGCCATGCTTCAAAGGTGAGCCAAGGAAGGTGCTTACACATAGCCTGTCGATATGAGATTGGACTGCATCTGCACGAAATGCCGAGAAGGCCCCCGGGAGAATCGTGACAAACCCCTCAGCTGATAAAGCGGAGCGAGGCAGGTTACCGATATGGTCGAAGACGATGTCAAGTAGACGCGGCAAAAGGCTCCTGAATGAGAAAATGCTGTGGCTCGAGATGTTCAAGACAGCCAGATGTCCAGCTACAGCACCGATCGAAGGATCCCTCATCAGAGGGCTCACGATGTTGCGAAGTGCACCCTTCTCCACGACGCTATCTGAGTCAAGGGAGATGATGATACTTCCGAGTGCAGTAGCGAATCCCGACTGAATGGCTTTCCTCTTGCCCATGTTGACGGCATGTTGTAAGAGTCGAAGTGTTATACCGCAAGTGGAGACTGAGCCTGCAGCCTTGTTTACATGTTCCCATGTATCATCAGTAGAGCCATCATCGATAACAATCAACTCAGTCCTGTCTTTAGGATAGTCTGAGAGTTCGATAGACTTGATTGAGTTTTTAACGAACTCGGACTCGTTGTAGACTGGTATAACGATGCTGATGAAGGGTAGCTTGTCATCTTTTGAGGGAGGTTGCACAGGCTCATATCTGATCCATCGCCAGACCATGTGCACGTACTCGATTTTATAGAAGACAGCGATAAGTTGAAGTATTATTGCGGGCAGCCCAATAAAGATTGGAGGTGGACTTGGCCATGGTATAAAGGATAGTAGAAGCAATCCAAATATGTTCAAGATGCCAAACAAATGGCGAAGTTGAGAGTCTGTCATTTTAGGGTGCCAAAGGTTGCTTTTTTAGTTTCAATTTAAAGGCATAGACAATGAGCCGAACTAAATCTAGAATAATTAAGCCCTGAAGCTAAAGGAGTGGCAGTAAACGTTGATTTTGTTGCATTTAGCTTGTGGCAAAAATTGCCCGAGTGTTTGGTAAGTTTACCGGTGAAGCTTAAATTTTGTGAAGTCCATCAGTTACTCCAACGACTTTACCGTCGGGTCTTTTTTCATTGGTCGCGAAAAGATAGTGAATGTAAAAAGGTGTTGAGATCAAATGTCAGAGCCTTCATAGGCTCACCTCAAGTTGAGAATTTGCCGAGGCCCTACATAGCCATCGGGCTTCCCGCTCTAATGTAACGTAGAAAGAGGAGCTCGGAATACGACGCAAAGGTCCATCGGTCTGGTCTCTATGAGGCCGATGGAAACTTCGTGACAAGGTCTTGGCTATCGAGCTCAACACGAGGACTATACACTCATGCAGGAGTTTCACACCGCTTCTTTCAGTGAGCATGTCTTTGCAAGCCGAAACCAACTCTCATAATAATCATGTTTGACGACATGACTGATGTCATTCACATAATAGGCGGTGACGAAGAAGGGTGCGAATTTACTGGATCAACGTAGGCTTTCGTCAGGTTGTTGAGTCCAACAGCCCAAAATAGTTACAAGTGTTCCTTCAAGCTTGTGGATGACACCAATGCCGAAAACCACTTAATTTCTTACAACTACATGAATAATATCACCCAGGAAGCAATCAAAGGCAGGTTCAAAGTAGTTATACATATTCATGTATATATATATATATACATTTCGCTCGGATTCGAATCACTTTGCATGCATGCATGTTATTAATATTGCTCTATCCAGGCACCACAAGAGTATGCAACACCAACTATACAAGACATACATGCTTCAAACTGCATTAGACAAGCGACGAGCCCTTGATTTCCTCCTGTCGTATGTAGGCAACAAATTGAGAGGTGAACCGTTCAGCTGCTGCGTCAACGTATCTCGTCCAGATCTCAGCAAGTCCGTATAAAATCCCAAGCCAAGCCGGTAGGCAGAATAGTAGCCACGTATTACCTGCGTATTCAAGCTTTGGAGACGCGCCTTCTGGTTGCTGAATCTGTAGATTGGGTGGTATAGCAGTTCCATACACCATCCATGTGAGTAACCATCTTAGTAGCGTGCCATGGAGAAGGTACACCGCGAAGGATCGCTTCCCAAGCCATACCAAGACACGGTGGGATAGAATGTCCGTATACCCAGGGAGTAGGGCTCCGCCAATTGTTAAAAGGCAGAACCCGAAGGAAGATGCAAATTTCGGAAATTCGGAGTCCTTGGGGACAATTGCTGATAGGATCTGATCTTGCCAGCGCGACCAGGAAGCCAGTTCAATGCGGCTTTCAGGGAACGATGCGATGAAGAGGCCGACTCCCACAGACAAGAAACCGAGAAAAGGGATGTACCGAGACTTGCTCCATGAGATGCGCTGAGACACTCGAGAGTTGTGCAAATCATTCATGAAGACACCCCACCAGAATTGCATAAGATACGCTACAGATTTGTCAGCCATGTCCGCAGCAGCGCATTTGAAGAAGACTACTTACGTCTCCCGCAAGCCCAAAAGTAGGCCCATAGAAGTAACGACGCACCCATTCTGAACTTTACCTGCATCTTTGCAGTCGCAGTGATGAACAGCAGCACGAACATTCCGCCTTTGAAGAGTTCGAAGAGCGTGCCCTGGTGAACGTCGTACTTATTCCCGGCTCCGGTCCAGGTGTTGAAGATATTGATAAAAAGCTGTCTGACTGCTAAAGATATCGGTAACTTGTCTTGGACTGTTTGAGTCAGATAATAGCTATCGGTCATCTTCGCAGCCTGGAAGAGGCCCAGTTGTGTCGCAGTCCATGCCAAAGCTGTTGCGATGGCACTTGGATATAATAGTCGTGGAAGCCGCCGAAGCGCAGACTTGGAAACGCAACTCCAGCCTGCTTCATAATTGCCCCGTCGAAAGAGCGCCAACGGCTTCAATGCACATACATAGCCTGTGACGTAGATGAATATGATGACACCCAGTCGGCCTTGGATCATGATCCGAAGAAATGGAAGTTGGAGCAGTCTTGGTCTCAATCCTTCGCCAGAGACTGGAGAGTAGAGATCAAGATCAAAGGCACGTGTAACATGGGCGATCCAAACCAGCGTTGACGCAATGCCACGGAGTCCCTAGATACCGGTTAGCTGGTAGTCATAATATCACGCTCAGCAAACAAAGCTGCTTGATACGCTGTCTATAATTTTCTCGGCTTTATTTATTAACATACCTCAATCCACTGGATGTGTCCTTCTTGTCTGGAAGTCATATTTACTTAATACTGCATATGAAATAAGGAGATACAGAATCCTGCTACCGCCCTGTTACTGATATAATGTTAGGTTATATGAGAAATCAATTGTCTACAGACGACAGCCACCATTTAACGGGAAATTTCCCGATTCTCCTACTATCAGTCACTCGATGTAAGTGCTTTGGTAATGAGGCGGCTACTTGGTCAATTTGCCCGAGAGGATATCCTAGTTGTCTCTACCATATTCTCCACATGGGATTACCGCTATGTTACCTTGGAAAAATATTGCCCGAGGGCCAAAGTTAAGAGTTTACCAAACGTCACTTCTTGTTACATTGCTACCAGGAACTAGGTTCATGCACGGACAAGCACACGTTTCTTACTCCACTACTTAGCGTTTGGTAGTCTGAACTCCGGGCGCTCGTACAGACATCAAGGCAATGATGTGACAAAGGTGACATCGGGACTACCGGACTGATGTGATATTGAAAGCTTGTTTTCGAGCGGTGAAAGATGTTCTCTTACAGCAGGTTCCGAAGCGTTGCCGTGAGCCGAGTGACGCTACCTCGGGTGGAATGCTCGGAAGATTGTATGCCACTTGCAAGGCGAAGATCTACAGCAGGTCTTGTGACTATACAGATTTATACAGAGGTAGGTATGCTAGTACAATTCGTATCCCGAAATTTTGCTAGACTCTTTTCGCCTTTAGTTTTCTCATCTACTCACGCCACAAAAGCCAACTTAAGCCATGTCCAGCTTACAACCAGCTCATAAAGGGATCTTGATTCTATTCGGAATCGCCCTAGTTTTCTTCTAGTAAGGTGCTCAGACTCGTGAGTCTGGGAGTTTCTAATCTTTTCCAGCTTCCAGAAAAGCTCATACTATGGCTCATCCTTCACCTTGAATCAACGCACAAAGGTACACAGTAAGTCAAACTTAGCGCCTGTCGCAACAATGAAAGCCCTCGATTAATCTCTGTAGGACGATGTGTTACACCACGAACCATCGCCCTCACATATGATGATAATCCCAATGAGGGGATATACGACCTCCTGTCGCTCTTGAAGAGCTATAACGCAACAGCGACATTCTTTCCAAATGCCCCGCACCATTACAATACGTTGAAACTGGATAAATACATCCATGATGCACATGCAGCTGGGCATCAAATTGGAATCCATACGTCAGTTTCGCTAAGACCTGTGCAATTTGTTAGGCTAATGCTCCTCAGGTGGGACCATATCAACCTAGATAATGTTGGCCAGAAAGAAGCGTTGGATAATATTGTATGCTATTTATATCTTACCCTTATTCTTAGATGCTAACAGCTTGCAGGAGAAGATGAATGCATGGTTGCATGATGTAATTGGATCGCGATCCAGTTTCGTCAGGCCCCCCTATGGCGCATGTGAAATTGACTGCAGGATGGCCTTGACTGGTGGTGGGTATAGCATTATACAGTGGAATATGGACACATTGGACTGGATCTTCGGAACAGACGACAAGTTTGAGTCCAGCATTGAGATTATCAAGCATTGGGTAGGCAATCAGCCCGAAATCGACAAGGACGACTATGCAGGACCTATAGTCTTGATGCATGGCCGATACCATACAAGCGCCACAGTCGTAACGCAACATCTATTGGATCTCTTTACCTCTAAGGGTTTCAAATTTGTGTCGGTTTCGGAATGTCTGGGCTTTGATAGAAGTTAGATTAATAGAATTGTCTCTCCTGGATGTTTGACATCACGGTGGGAACATGTTATAATATCTAGTGATCTGCCAACTAACTTGTATTCCATTCAAGAGCCATCATGGCAGTATGTTCGTTCCGTCTGTTTCCCATGGGATGCCACAAGAAGGGGGCAAGTCTTCGGACTGGATCTTCGGCGAGTTCCAGGCAGGACTCCAGCCGCAGCATGCACGCGCTGGACCATGGTACAACGCAGAGTCAAATAAGTTTCCACCTATCTCCTTAGAGGCCATAAGACTCCAATCTGTAACCCGCCCGACCCTAACCCTGTCATCACGCAAGTATAAGCAGGGTACTGATAGCTTTAATTTTCAACCTTTTATAGCCAAACTGCTATATAATTTATAGTAATTCAATTAATAGATACATCCCTAGATCCTTGTTAAAGATAAAAGATTAATTCGTATAATAATATTATAACCTTTGCAATTATATTATATATACCTTATAATTTTCCTACTGCCTAATTAAAAGTTTTTAACTTATTCTTTTAGAATAAATTAATTAAAAAAGGATTAAGATATTAAATATTCATTTTTAATATAAATATATTATTATATCCTTTTATTTATCTTTTGTAAACTTATTTATTATTATTAATTTTTTTAAATATATTTTAATAACTATTTTCTACTCGACCCTTAAATTTAATAAAGATGTTCACCATCCCCCCAACCCTATCCCTACTTGCATCACAGATAAGCTCGTCATCTAAGCTTTCTCTGAGAGTCCAAAATGACATAGGTGTCGACAATTTGGTCCAATACTCAAGGGACAGTTGCCCAAACACCTCAGAATTGTGTGACTCATCAACCAGAAGTAGGATTATGGCAGACGGTCTCCAAGCTCTGCAAACAACATGTACATGACCTGGACCTCGCGAAACTACCGGTACATCACTTGTCAGCGCGGCTCCGTGATTCATCGTCTAGTAGCCAAGGGATTAACGAGATTAATGAATTAGAAGTCTTACCGTATCAGGATCTGTGAATACCCCAATTTGATCAGCATGATCAATAGTCGCGTTGGCCCCTAAATTCCAATAAATTCCCTTAAGATTAGCAGGAGCAGCTGCGGCGAGCCGGGCCGTAAAACTTCCATGATTCACGGGTCCGGTACTCGGGCCATCCATCGATCTGGTATTAACAATGCCATCGTTGTGCTGGAACTCCTGTAATGTAATACCTGGCAACGTGGTGCCTCGCCCTCCCATGGCGTAGGCAGGGTACATTATAAGTGGGAGCATGTCTTGCCGGGGTATTTGTGAGCCGGGTCGGGGAATTTGAGAGAAGTACTGCATAATCTGGAGGTGGCGGTTTGCCACGTCGGTAATCCATGTCAATGCCGCATAAAGTGACGGAAGTACCCCGAGCCGAGTTCCAAGTGGTTGAAACGGAGCTGCAACACGTCCCCATACCCCTAGCGGATTCCAGACTTGATTTAATGGAAATAATGCCAGGAAACCATTGATATCTTGAGTTGTAAGAGTATCCTTCGGGAATGGGCGAGTTGCACAGAAAGACATAGTGAAGTAATAGATATTGGGTGAAGGAGTGGGGGCGAATGCGTTAAGGTTGCCTATTCCTGAAATACTGTTATCGTAGAGTCCATTATGTAGCCCAGTCCACCATGTGGTAATGTCGGGCGCGATCCGCGCACGCATTTGGCTGTAGGTCTCTCCTGGGTTACGCGAAAACCCCCAGTGATCAAGGTGGAGGTCGTAAATCCTATCTTGCCTCGATTCGTATGAGCACGATGTGATGAAGTCTATAAGTGGATTTAAGCCACGAGGGGGAAGGAGATCCTGCCAAGGACTTAGTTGCTATCTAGCATCGATAATATCCTGACCGGATAACTTACATTCACGACGTCTGTCACAGTTGTGCCTTTATGGGGTGTGCCTAGAGTGACCACGGATTTGACCCAGCTCCGACGGTCAACGCCCCGAAATTGTGGAAAGTTTGGACCTTTCGCTCCAGATAATAGCTCGATCAGATATCTGATAGTTGTGCCGCCCTGCGAATGACAGATAAAGTTGACCCTATTTGCAGCACTCCATTGCCAGTCGGCCGGAAGGGGGCCGTAAACCACTGATCGGGGGGTTTGAGCGTCTCTAAGCAACAGCGGATGCGGGGATGGATGCCCAAGTCCGAAATCTACTGGAATAAAAGTCCCAGGTGCCCCGGGTGGTGTCCCGGGTAGGGCAAATCCACTATTCAAGTTAGCCTCAAGATTTGCGCGGCAATACAGAGGTATATCACCCTGGACTAGTGAGCTGAGCGAAGATCTCACAAGCCCGTTCTCTGTTGGTAGAGATCGGTCCAATTCGAACCACAATGACGACGTAGCCCAGTTGAGACAAAATCAACGGGAGATTCTCGAATCCGCCGAAATAATTCACCGTTCCTAGGAGGGGCCGTCCCCATCCACTGAATCCAGGAACTTATAAGACATTGCGTTAGTCATACTATATCTCCTTCGAATATTGTTGGATGGATGTTACCTAAAACTATTGGGCAGTCCCTTTTGAGCGGGCCTGATAACATGGACCGAATATTAATAACTTCATTCTGCAATTCGAGGATACCCTCATTTTCAGGGTCAACAGTATGCATTGTCGGATCCATCTTGACAAGAGTAATGGCTCGGTGTCTCTTTAGCCGGTGATGCGCTTAGTAGATTCTGTTGTCCTTGGCTTGAGGGTTTCTTTGCCTATAATGCCTCTATTAACTGAAGTTGGGTTCTTTATAAATGCAGTCTGTGGCTAGAGGTTAGCGCACTTCCATGTGGCCCTGTCCTGTTAAGTCGTGGACAGCTGGCCTAATTATATGCCTGAAAAAAGGCCACTATGTGCCCTTAATAGAGGAAAGTATCCCGAACGCCAATAAGATAATAAATGTCCTCAACGTGGGTTTGAATGATAGAAGCTTGATTCGAAAATTCGTCATTGTGGCTTGCAATACGAAACAATGAAACTATCCGTATCCTTGGACTGCTCGGCAAACTCCGTCGACTTATCTATGCGAGCATTGATTAGACATCGGCCACTACAACGTTGTGCTTACACACCTGCAGAGTTGGCGCTAGTCGAGCTTGGATTTGGCCTCTTGATCTCAACACGAAGAATGGGATGTAGGGATTGGCAATAGGAAAAATAATAGTAGGAGATGATTTGAAGAACGTGACCATTAGTCAGAGGATGCACAACGCAGCCGACGAGGATTGAGATATTCTCTCCTTAGACATTAATTAAATCTAAAGTGGTTTGCGTTAAATGGGCGCAAGTTATCGGATATTGAATCTAAGGACGGTAAGTGCCGTGTTATATTCCCCTTAAGTAAGATAGGCCTAAATATACCTATATAATATAACTTGTCACCACAGCCTCCCGGGCTTTCACTCCCTGGAGTGGTATCTACCATTTCAAACTTGCCATCTAGGCCCATTAACTCCTTCAAGTCAGTCCCTGCAATCGTGTTGGTCGCCGAAGCAACTATCCCGTCGCAATGCGTGATAAGAATGTCAATCAGCTCGCCTATCACATACCCAGTAAGACTACCTAGTAGCCCACCAATGACGTTGCCCACCACCGGGGCAGGAGTGTCGAGTAAGCCACCAAGCCATGTTCCAACCGCAGCTATCGTACCAGCTAACCCAGCTTTCCCAGCTATCTCCGCCTCGATCGCCTGCCCTGCTTTCTCGCCCGCAATTTGCGCCCCTTTTGTAGTAAGATCCCGTCCCATCGATTCGACTTTGCTCTTGACACCTGAATCTCCACTATTCATAATCATATATACGAACAGAGCAATCTCCTCTTCTGCCAACGGGATATTCTCAAGTACAATGTTGGGATACGTGAAGCCGACTCCGTGATCACCTAATTCTTTGGTTACTGTCACAGGATCTCGACCGAATATGCTAATCGAGGCTGTAACAAATAGTGTGTCTGAGACTCGAGAGCGAGTGCTCATACATTGAATCTGGTCTATGGAAAAGTTGTAGACCGAATTCATGCTGACAGAGATGGACTCAGGGGTACTTCGCCAGAAAATTTTGCCGTTTTGGAACTTGAAAAACGTCCCTGGTGCGGTGTTGATAGGTTGCTCGTCGTGAACCGGAAAGCCAAGGGAACCCAGCGGCCCTCCTAATGAATTGTACTTGTCATTTATAGAAGTACTTAGAGCAAAAGCTCCCAAGTTTGGTAGCCAGTACATAGCTCCATGTTGGAAAGATTGCCAGCAGCCGGGCCCAACTCCCTGTTCTGGACTTGTTAGGTATCCCAGCCAACTTAGCTCGGCGTCCATTTGATGCTATTTATTTCTGATGTCGCCATAAATCTCCCATGCTTTGGTTTCTATTGTCCAGTAGACTGCTTCGACCCGGAAGTTGTTAAAGCGCCCCTCCCGTCTCTGGTTGTGGTTTCGTCAGTTAGAGGACAACCAAGGAGTCTGGGACCTCCAACGATT